CAGAGGTACTACAGTGATTTTCTTTACGTGGAAAGAAAGATCATCAGGGGCTTTATTTAAATTGAAAATATCAGGACCCCGAGCTATCCGTTCTCCCTTGGGGAGGGGTTAACGTTTAATATAGTTTATATAGGGAAAGTATATATTTTATCCATTTTCAGCAGAAAATTGCTCAAACTTAGTCAGAATCATCTTGGGTAAATGAGAGTTTTACTTTGTAAAATTAGGATTCCTGTCCCATCCCCAGGGGCTAGGGCGGGGCCCCAAAGGGAACATTTACCAATATTTTCAAATTCTTATCCATTGATGACATGACAAGTATTGTATTTCACTTATTTTACATGCTGATTTCCACATCACATCTAAACAATAAAATAAAGCTACCAGTACCTATGATATAACTCAGGTGACCGCTAAGGCCCTTGGGCCTCTTGTTTAGTTTAAGCCCAAAAATTAGTTGGATCTGGTTTTCTCACTCTTCTAAATGGATCTGGTTATTCATCAAAATCAGTGGACTCTGGTTATAAGCCTACAGCTTTCGAATAATGTTTGGGGTTTTTTTCCACAGAGGATAAAGTGCTGATATTTGGGAATGACAGGACATTTGAAAAGAAAATGAAAAAACTCCACCTTAATGACCAAGTGACTTTGATGCCCTGGACCAGAGAGGTGGAGAAATCGCTACGACGACTAGTGACCAGACCACGAGGGGCTGTAATTAAATAACGAACCATGTGTTATTTACGACTTTGATGCCCTGGACCAGCGAGGTGGAGAAATCGCTAGGACGACTAGTGACCCGACCACGGAGGGGCTGTAATTAAATCACGAACCATGTGTTATTGACATTTTTATCCTGGAAGTCAAAATAAACGTTGTACAAATTGTGTTTAAGATAATTTCATTCCAGCTGCCAAACAAATGTCGACTGTATTATGTTAGAGGTATTCCTACATTGTAACTTTGTAGCTAATTGAAGTGTCCTGAACACCCCTTAAGCTTACCACTTAGATTTGAAGTGTTACAAGGTAATCCTTCAGCCACACTGGATTAATCCAGATGTAAGAGTGACCTTTAGGATCCTTTTAACTAGCTGAATAACTTTTATCTGACAACTCAAATTTCAATAATCTGGAAAAGGTGGTAATTTGTGAACCAGATTGTGGAGACATAACTGTGTCTGTAGGTGAACCAGATTGCGGAGATATCACTGCTTCTGTTGGGGCCCAGCAGTTTTTGTCCTCGGCTGGCTTGGAGGGACGGAAACTGTTCACTTGGCCATTCTAGTAGATCATTGTGCACATTATTTAAATTATATTTTCAATATGTGAAATAATTTCATTTAAATAGTTAATATATGTTATTCATAGTTTTGATTTGACCATCTTGCTTTTTATGCACACTGAAAAGTTGTTTTCATGATAATATTCGTCATTTTTGATGAAATTTAAATGGCATACTCTGGTGGTCTGTAGAAATTATTATTTCATTTTGTCATTTCTAGATTTGGATTGAGAGACAGTGTTTTATTGAATTATTGGTTCCTTGCTTTTTGATACAAATGTACATAAAGTTGTAGTTTTTTGATGAAATAGTATCCTCTTTGTCATCGTTTCTAGAATAGAATCTATAACTCTACTTTTTATATACCTTATACATTTTATACTGATATTTACATTTCTATTTACTTTCTGTATTTAACTGTTTTATAAAATTTTAATAATTTGAACGCTTTTAACCGACTTCCTGATCATTTTTAGCTCTGAAGTCTGAGAGTTCAAGCTTTAATTCTTATATTTGTGAAATCCTGTTTTATTTTCTTGTTTTAGAAATCCTATTTTATATCTGCTATTTAAATATGTCTCAGTATTTAGTCTCATATTTTCAGTATAAAAACACACTAATTGTCATTTTGATATTTTTCTACCTCACATCATAAATTCATCATTAGTTTGGCTGCATAATCATGTCTTCACCAGCTATTGGATATGTTTATGTGTGTTGGAAGTCAATGTAAAAAGTTTAAAAAATCAGTTTTATACTCTGTGCCTTTTATATACCAGTACATGTACCCGCACACAGACTTTTTGACTCTTCAGAATTCTTTGTGCGTCTTGCATAATTACATATATGTATCTTTTCAATGCGTTAATAAAAAAGTTATTCAATTAAATTATTTTCTTTTGTTATTCAGTGCTTTCACTAGAAGCCCACTTTTTCCTGTGTTTGATAATGATGAATTTGGAATAAGCTACTGGATACTGGGAAACTTTCACCTAGTTAAATATTTGCCCCTCTCTGTGAAAATCTGTTTTCGTCCAGTATGAATTTTGCCCTGCACTTATACGTACTATATACTGTTTATTGTGCTCTACTATTCGCTGTCATGTAAGTTCACCCTTATTGAGGAGGATGAAAACAGCGAAAGTTAAACTGTGGCGAATATTTCCAAGTATACAGTACTATCCATGTATCTGCTTTAGCTCACCTGACACATAGCTCACCTCACACATAGCTCACCTCACACATAGCCTACCTGACCCATAGCTCACCTCACACATAGTTCACCTCACACATAGCTCACCTCACATATAGCCTACCTGACCCATAGCTCACCTCACACATAGCTCACCTGATGCATACCTCACCTAACACATAGCTCACCTTACACATAGCTCACCTCACACATAGCTCACTGACACATAATTCACCTAACACATAGCTCATCTCACTCATACCTCACTGACACATAGCTAACCTAACACATAGCTCACCAGACACATAGCTCACCTGACACATAGCTCACCAGACACATAGCTCACCTAACACATAGCTCACCTGACACATACAATTTGTAGCTCACCAGACACGGCTCACCTGACACATATATGATATTTGGACTGTGGCTAGGGTGAAGTGCAACTTTATACAAACAAATTACCTTGACCCTCTTGAAATCTCAATGGACAAATACGTTGAAATCGTAAAGTATTGAAGATTATTTAGGCCCAGAGAAATGATATTTGGCGTTCGTTTTTTATAAAGATCTATAATAACAAGAGTAATGATATTCGATCTGTGTGTTGGGATGATTCACTATCAGTTTTGTTAAAATAAATTGCCTTGAAACCTTTTCAAGGTGACAGGTGTCAAACAGATCAATTGTCTGGGAAGAATGGACGTCAAGGTTACAGGGGGTTGATATGTTAAGGTCTGCAAATGTCTTCAAAAGGTTAATAGGGCCTAATTTATCAATTCCCTATTGCTTGCTGGCTGGGAAAGATTTGTGTTGATGAATATATGTAAGTTTCTCAGAGCAAGTATACTTATGAGAGTCAGTAAATTGGACCAAAAAAACTGCCAATAATCAATACCAGAGGTTTTCTCAAAAGTCATTACCTTATTCCCAGTGATCATTTTCAGCTGAATGTTTCCAGAATTTCACAAAAAAAAGACAGAAACAACATTCCAGAGAGATGTTTTTTTATTGATACAAGATGGATGACTTAGTTATTATGCACACACAACATTCATCATAACAGTTTCACAAAAGGTAATACTTGTATTTTAGATGTATGTCTTCAGATTCATAATGCATTTGTGTACATGTTACATTCCTGACGGTCAGATAGAGGTTGCAGTAAGTCACTGATCCTGAACAGATGTAAACTTCGGACATGTCCATCCATCCAGATGGGTAGAGGGAACTCCCCGGAGAAGAATGAGCATGTCACAGTCTTTAAGATGAACGTAACACACACAAGGGTGATTCCACTTTTAAAATTTGGTGATAAGAGTTTGCAAAAAGTGAATTACACTGCATCATACAGCTGTTTTGTCCGTCTACGACTCATTGGTGATGGTAGGGGGGAAATCCAAATGGGTCAAACTACTGTTGAAACAGAAGGGGAGGTAAATAAAACCTTTTAATTTATAAATATCAAAATTTAGAGGTGTACTGTTTGATTTCAGATTAAATAATTGGTATAGTATGTACATTAGGAACCATGTCACTACTCAAAAGCGATAACTGTGGCCATCTATATGGGACAGAGGGCAAGTTAGGGATAATTCTTGCTACCTTTACTATGCTAGGTGGGAAAAGGGTAGGTGTAACCACTTCTAGATGCCACCTTACTCTACATAGCATACCAGATACCCGGCCCGGCAAAGAAGCAGTTAAGCATGCTCATGGTTCTGTTCTGCAGTGACGTATCAGAGGACAGCTTAAAGACATACGCGTACAAGGAGCTAAAGACAGAACAGCAAAGGCAGTCACTGACTATAAATCCCAATTTGATATTTATTGATCAGCTAGAAGTGAAGGTCAAGAAGCTTAGTGACAACCCCAGAGGACATCATTATACCCGTATAGATCACCAAACCCCATGAAGTCAACTCCGGTTGAGTTAATGAGGACCACAACTGAGGTCAGCATCAAAGTGAGAGGACAGTGGATGATGACACTACTTCATACTTGTACCGACCCAAAGGTGTCATCTTAAATAGGAGCTTTCACAAGTCCTACCTCAGTGTAATATATCTTTATACATATCGGGTGTGCCGACAGGCATCATCGACCAAATAACGGTCTTGTAGTGAACGAGATCGATGATACACAGAGATTGGTGACGAGTATCCTGCTAGGAATCCCAGACAGTAACTACAACAGTTATAGTCGAGTTCTGATAGGAAACAACATCCTCAACATCTTGATGAGTAGAGTGAGGGACACGGAGGAAGCTATGTTTCTTTATGACATAAATGTCTGGGACAGGGGGATATTCAAATTTCCCTTATTTCATAAAGGACTGTAACAAGGAACTGACATAATAGCTAACAGCTTGGACCAAATCACTTTATGTAAAGATCATCTCGTAATGGACCCGGTGAAGAAAGGCTAGGGCATGCTAAGGAGAACAAAGTACCGGATCGACATGACAGGCGACAACATCCCATTCAAACAGAGAGATCGTCGAAAACTTCGTTATGTTTGAAGATGCACGAAACCACCTTCAGACTACTGGATATTAGATTAATGCAATGTTCCCGCTCAGTGTATGGTCGTAAATGCGTCTAGAGAGGAACGCAAGTAAACTAGAGGGAAACTAAAGATACGCATGTCCTTCCAATGGTTAAGAGCTATTGTTGACGTTTTGGGAAGGAATGCGTTGTTCAGCACGGTCATAATAGGTACCACCAGGTGGATTTAGAAGAAGACGTCATTAACGATAAGGATTTTTAAGAAAATAAAGTTGCCCTTTGGATTTGCAACTACTCAGCGGCGTACCAACGTCTGATGGAACATAGTATGCGGGATATACACCTACGAGGAACATATGCTTAGGTTTAACGCGGCATTTAAGCGTCTTGGGCTAGATGGTCTGAAGATTTTCTCTTATAGAGGAAGAAAGTATGTCAATCACGTTTTGTCGGAGAACGTAGTGGAAGCCGAACTGAAGAAGCTGAAAAAAGTCATCTTTGCCTGCAACAGCCTCACCAAAACAAGTTTCATCGCTTTGTGGCTTATAGTCGACGGTTTATCAAGAACTTTGCTGAGATACCAAAATCCAGATAAAAGGTAAGAGCAAGAAGACCTTTGCCAGGAACAGCATAACCGGAAACGAGTCGTCGCCTGTGCGAGCCAATCATTGAGAGACGATCTTCTGCCTACAAACAGTAATTTCTTTTCCGTAAGTCTGTGAGAGATTCCACGCTTACTGACCAGGATCCGCGTTCTTTGTTTTGACCAACAATAACCCGCTAGTATTAACCTCGGCCAATTTGGATGCTAGATTCTGGATATGGGTGGCAGCCTGATTGGAATGTTATTTTTCCATCGCGAAATCAGGCTCCAGTAACGAAGATGAGGATGGAATGGTGTTGTAGCATATTTGTAATGATGCAATATTATCACACACACCGATACTGTGTCCGTATTGTTTTAAAGGTTATCGGATACGAAGCCTACGTAATGATCACAGACACGTTATACATTAATTGATACTTAGGGTACATATGTACATAAGAGAAGCTTGGAAACCTATAAAACAGAATCTCTCCATTGATTCTTAAAAATCGGCAGCTTTGACCGGTGATACTCCCTCTTCAGAAACGATTATATAAAGAGGACCGCCAGCTAGGCCAAAACGAAGGCAGAAGCCCAACAACACCGTTAGAGGAAGCAATCCCTTTCAGGATGAAAGCGAGGAAGAGGTAATAGTAGCAGGGACTCCTATTCTCCATCCCGGAGTAGCTCTGAGGATGCCCCCATCGGACACTGGCGAATTAGTTTTTGTAGGACATCTATAGGTTTGTCGGATTTCGACTATCTAATGATCTGTTCAATGGTGACAGGAAAAGGCCTGATACAGCCTTAATTACCTCAGATAACACTGAGATAAACTAGGGAGTATGTTGATCAGTTTCAGTTCAGTTTCTTTATTCCCGAGCGCCACCCGACTCATAGCTTAATGTCAAACATGCATTTACATCATGTAGTACATGATACTGTTTGGTAGTCGTGTTAGAATGAAACCTTATCTCAGTCATCACAGCTTTGAATGTCACCAATCCTTAGTTATAAGATGACTTAGAGTCCACGAACTGGCCTTGTAACATGTATTTACCGGTAACATGTGTGTTCACCTGCTTTCACACTAACCAACGAGCTTTGTGTATACTGTAATTCTTTTCAGATTTATGATAATTTATCGGTAACTTAATTGTTGCCTGGCTAGTTATCTAGTATACTAATTATAATTCAGGTCTGCTTTTGCATAAACTTTCCGAACCTGCGTTAAGATTTACTTTCCGAACCTGCGTTAAGATGTACATGTCCATAAGACTTCGTCCTGAACATATTGCACGCAACAATTGACGGAACTGTTTAATCAAACGGTTCAATAATATGTACATGGCTGACCTGTATTGGTATCCATACACACTATTTGGACCTGTAGAGGGTTTGACCTGTTCGTGTCACAGATACTCTTGGTATTCTATACACATGGCTTCGTGCGGCTTGGGATAAGCAACCATCGTGTTTGAAATGTGTGAAGTATGAGAAGAGTACCACTTTCTAACGTTGCGTACATAATCAGTAGAAATAGAGGTCCCTGGTCATATATGGCAGACTGGAATATGTAAGATGGCGGATTGTAGCATAGTCTGTACGGAAGCCCGCCTGGATCGTTTCAAAGATATGTGGGCTAAAGGTGATACGAAGTGGCACACACGAGGAGTTAACCCATTACTTATGAAACATCAGAATACCTTATTTCCTGTCAACAAACCGATGAAAGTGTTCGTGCCTTTGTGTGGAAAAGATGACTCGGTGAAATGGTTGGCTGAACAAGGTCATACAGTGGTGGGTCTCGATTATTCTGATATCGCATGCAGGCATTTCTTTATAGACAACCAATTGGAATATGTTAGAGAGGAAATCCAGAATCCTCATACAAAGGGTGATGTTTACACAGTAATTTCTGATACGTTGAATATAACTGTTTATTGCTGCGACTATTTCCAATTTAAACCGGAAGTGCAAAAGGAGTTTGATGCCGTTTGGGACAGAGGTGCATTAAACGCTATGGATTCAGTAAACGTGAGAAAATACGCTTCCGTGATGATACCGCTGATGAAAGCTAACTGTATCAACTTCACAGAAATCGTTCACGGATTCCCAGAAACTCTTTCTATTGAGATCATTCGGGCAGCTTTTGGTGAAGAATACAACGTGCAAAGCATTGATAAAGTCGGACCACACAGTGAACACTATAGGAAAGTTGGGGCCACGGCTTTTGAATTATTGCGTATAAAAAGAAAACATTTGACAACAGAGTGAATTTCACCGTAATACGTGTTCTGAAATGTGAAGCCAACAGTACTAGTGTTTGAGACTGGTTGAACACTCGTGTTATAGCATAAATTTGCAGAGGCCGACTGGTCTTGCCATTACATACATCATTGTACCGTTTTGATTGGGATTGCTCTAGCATTACCTAATATATTTAACATTTGATTTCCTGATCAGGATACCCACGCTCGGGACCGTGTATGCTATAAGATGTATATATAAAGTAATTCGTCGGGGTTTTTTATGCCTCTTTTTGCATTCAAAAGTCATTATGACTTCTCTTTTGACCGTATTCATTGCTATATTTATTAATGTGATATAACGGATACAACTAACATTTGATTACCTGATCAGGATGTCCCCGCATAGCACCGTGTATGTTATTTGATGTATATATTTAGTATTTCGTCGTTCATGTTACTTATTTTTATTTAAAAATCATTATGACACATCGCTTGACCGATTCATTGCTGCTGACTTAACTAATGAGAAGATTCACAATGGATATGTTTAACATTTGATTTCCTGATAAGGATGTCCCCGCTCAGGACCGTGTATTTTCGTTGTTAAATGATCAAAGGGAGGTAACTGCTATATTCCTACACCGCATTATGAGTTCTGCTACACGTTTTGTATTAAAAACAATGACCATAATCACTTTGTCTTGATAATTTGATGCTGATATTTTCCCATGCTAAACATTAGCCACATATTGATACAAGTCATGGCAGACTTTTGCTAAAACAAGTGTATGAAAACGCCACAATGTGCAACGGTCCTGGTCAGCGACACAGGTGCTCGGGTTCTGGAATATATGTGATATAATCGCACCCACTAGATATCGCACCCGTATGATTTATTAGTATGAGGGGGTGCGATTATATCACATATATTCCAGAACCCGAGCACCTGTGGTCAGCGACGGTCCCCGTCAGCCCCGGTTCCAGTGAGGGCAGCTCAGCTGTTAGACACTGTTGAATGTACGTGTTTCTTCAAACCAACCTCATCGCACGGCACTACTGACGAGACGAACAATACAGTCAATAAAACCTTACAAAATAATGACTTTTTGTTTTGTTTTTGAGGTCGTATAAACCAAACTGACTGTGTGCACTTTGCATAAATCGCACGCAATATTTCACGGCAATATTCGACCAATCAAAATTAGTCAGCAAGCAAGATTTATGTAATTTTACCTTGGCAACGAATGATTCTTATAATTCTCAAGGATTGTTTTGTGAAGATTGATCTCCCTTATAGCTGTCATGATTATGTGTTTTCGGGGCATCGTCACTGACTGCATTTTTATGAACCTTTAGTTTTATAATGTTCAGAACACTATTCATAAAATATATAATAATATTTCATTGGTCTCTAAAGTGGAACTCTCTAGGGGAGGAGATAATGACGCAGTAATTCAAACAATGAATATCAGTCCCACATGGCAAAATTAAAACACATATTATTGTTTCCTTCATCTAGAGCAGAAACAAATAGCCAACAGGTACCACAGATGACCGTAAAAAAGTGCTGGTTGTATAGAAATGGCAGGATAAGTGAGGGTATAGTGTGAGAAAGCGTTCGGGAATGTTAAAAAGAAAAGCCTAAGTAACTAATGAGCTTTAGTCGGTTACCTAGTTTGATTTAAACATATTTTATAGAAAAGGGATAATATTTTCGAAAACTACTTCGGTAATGCAACTTCGAAAGTATTTTGTTTTGTCGCTGACATATTTTTGAGGTTGTAATAGATTTAACTGTGTAGTTGTTGTTGTATTTTTTATTCGCAAACAATGAGCACATTAAAGGTAAGGTTAAATCATTCCATTATCGGAGAGTGGGAGGTAAAATGACAAACAGTACTAGAAAGTCTGTAGTTTGGACTTTCGAAATCATCTCTATTTGTCATTTGGATTTTGACCAACCCTTCGTGGTAAAATCTGAGCGGTAAAAAAAAATCTTATGTTGAATTGCTTTTCATCGTAAAAAAAGTGTGACGAACTAAGTCACCTACTCACTCGGGTTCGACTGCCGCTATCGCTTGCAGATTCCATGGATCTTCAATGAAGAATGAAATAATAAAGATGAAGCAGAGATTGGTGACAGAAACAAACTTCGGCAGATATAGATTTACCCGTTTATTGTACGTCTATAGTATCAAACTTAACAAAAAAAACGTGGCGGCAAGTGGATTTCCGAATTTACACCAAAATTCGGTAAAAAAAAAGGAGTAAAATTACCGTTACTATAATTTGTACGCACTGTACAGCCTAGCTAGATACATTGGAACGAATTCTAAAGGCTTCCCTGAGATAAAGATGACACGTGGTCGAGAACATACGGCTGCCTATGTCAAATAATGTGGAAAGAGTGAAAAAAATACCAATTTATATAACAAATATCGATAAAACTTCTGTGAATAGGCAAACGGTAAACTTGTTTGCAGGGAAAATAACTCAAATACGTATAGTTAATATTGCTCGCGTCACTATAACTATCCAATTAACGGGAAACATCATTATGTTACATAATGTCAGGTAGCAGAAATGTGTATTTTATGTTTTGGGTGTTTTGGGGTCTTTTTGGGTAAATCGTGCTGCCGGCTGTATCTCTAGTTTTCTTCTTTTACGTCTAGCAGAAATAGTTATGATAAGGACCGCTCCACGTTTAGGCCTTTACCTCTGTAGCTGAACTAGCTGGGGCGATCGTCGCCGACCGGGTGGCTCAGCTGGTGTCCGAGCGTTCGTCTGGAGTTCGGGGGTCCCAGGTTCGAATCACGGTCTGGCCGTGGATTTTCCCACTTTAGTTACAAAATTGGAGGACTTATACCAACCATTGTTTCAGGTACTGGGTGAATTCTTGGCAAGGGGATACCCTGATCTGGGTTGTAAATAGTTGTGTATTCGGTGGCGGGGTCTTAGTAAAAGAAGGGAGGAACGTCGTCGACCGAGTAGCTTAGAGGCTTATGATGGTGGAGCATCTGTCTAGAGCGTGGAGGGTCCCAGTTCGAATCACCGGTTGGCCGTGTATATTTTACCGCTCCTGTTACACAGCTATAAGTTATATGACTCAAATTAAACACAGTAGTAATATGAAAGTATAATATAAGTATATTTTGTATAATTTCTCGTGTTAGAAACTACTCATGTGTAAGGCAGCCTATAAACAATCCCTGTAACGGTCCAGTCGAGAGAAATGTGATTTAATGAACGCAATTTGTTTTTTGCCGACAATCAACAACCTCGCGTTTATAAATTCTACATGCCTCCGCCCCGCCCCCTGAACAAATTGCGTTTCGTTTGTTCATGTAGAAATTATAACAACACCGGGAGTATAATCACGTGACACCTAAAATGGCTGACGGACGAGAACCACCCCCGTTGGAAGAGGAGGATAGCCAAAAAGATGAAGATGACTTATTTACGGAAGCAAGTGAGGTACGATATTCACCAATATGTCAACAAGAATAGGAAAATGCATGGTATTAATATTGAGCCACCAGCAAAAACCTAAACAGGCTTTTGACATTTACTAATTTTGCCGGAGGCCAATTTTACCACTTTACTGCACTGTAAATATTATATTTAGACGTGACATGGTCATTTCTTTCTAAAACTTCTTCGTTGTAAATGTTATCACACTTATTCAGTATCTTCTGTGAATATTCAAATATTTATTTTGCTTTTAGATACTTAATGAGTCGTCATTTATTACATATAACATTCCTTCAAATATTATAACACCTTATTTCTGAGACCGGAAAAGGTAAGGATCAAAATATAAATGTTTTTCGCATTCAGGCAGTGAAGCTCGTAGCTATATTTATTTGTTGTTTATTATGTATGTATACTATCTCCATTTCGCTTTTTAACAATTGATGTCATACACTGTTGAGACTTTCAGTGGGCATGCAGTTTGATCATTTGCCTGCTCTTTAATAATAAGTATTCATACAGAAATGTAATAGGCCAGACTGCGATTCAAAGAAGAAATTCTAACATTGTAAATGCCCACTCTATCAAATGACTTCATCAACATCTTCAGCTGTACTAATTTTTTCAATGTCTTTGCCCCCAAAGACAACACTTAATATTTACAAACCCAGTTTAGCAATCCATTCCTCAGGAATTCTTAAGACACTCGAATAAGAGTTGGGCATAGGTGTAAAAGATGTGCATTGATTAGGTTGCCTTGCAAGCATCAGGTGTAGGGAATTTCCCTTTAACTCAGAGGTAGAGCATCAGGCTGGAGGGCCAAGGGTCGCAGGTTCGAGCCCCATCGACAGTTCTTTCTGTATCAATTCTTCATCCTACTACACAGGTACTAATTTGCCAGGGTACTCTGGCAAAGATCTCAAAGAGATCGAGGGTGAACATGCATAGTGCTATCAGAGGTAAGGATCTTCAAGTGTGAGAAGCTGAGATCCTAAAAATGCATAACAGTACTAGAGCTTTGATCATTAGAGGCTTTTGTCTGAAAGACGGATTGAAGCGTCCAGCAGACCTAAGGCAAAACTGTCTGGCTTGCCAAAAGCCAAAGTCAAACTCAAGACTGATTGCAGCAGGACTAGTACTTAGGAGCTGACAATGATCAGAGGTTGCCATGCCAGGATATATACCATAGAAAGATTGCAGCTTTAATTGCTATGGTTTATCAGAAGCTGGATCCCAAAGAGGAAATGAAGCAGTAGTAGAAGCTTAGTAAAATCAGAGGCCTGGATCCAACAAAGTGATATATATCAGACTGAGTGGCTGAGATCCCAAAAGTATATAAAAAAAAAAGTGCATAGGGAAACAAGAGTGCAGCATCACTGGGGCTTATCAGTTGCTGTAATCTAAAGGAGGGGTGCAGCTGTAATTAAGTGACCAAGGATCAAAAAGAGGGAGCAACAGATTTCCATGTCTTCATTAGAATTTGTATGGGGGATACCTAACTGTATCTAGTAGTCTTGTCGTTAGTCACTAAATCTGAATTATAACTAAACATAGTACATCACTACATGTAGATAAAGACAACAACACCAGGAGCATGGTGTTTTAAGCTTGCAGACATTGACCGAGATAAAATTCAACAGTGATAGTTTAAAAGTCTGAGCATTTGGAAAAAGTCTGTGGAAAGACACAGACTTAATATAGAGAATAATTTCAATGTGTACTGTATGTAAAATCAAGTGCATCTTCTGATCTACATACTTATCTATTTAGAAAGAAACAGCCCCTCCTGATCAGGAGATAGACCTTAGTGATGAGGTAAAGTGGTTTAATATGAAACTCAATCAGCAGCTGCACTGTATTTATTGCTGTTTGCGTGTTAAACAGTATCAATTTTCACTGTGCTAGCACATATTTCTCCCTTCACAGTCTCGAATTGCATTTCAAGTTCATGTACATACCGGGGTTACAGGTACATTTGTATTATAAAGCTTAAAGCTAACTCCCTGAAGATAATCCTGTTAAAAATCTTGTTCACCAATCACAACCAATCCCCCAACTGACCATTATTACCTCCAGCATTTCCCCTTCCTCAAACCATTCCACAAACCAAAAATAAGCTATACGTAGCTAGTCATGAACAATTACAAGGTTCATAACCAAGTTCAAGTCTAAAATAAGCTATAGGTTGCTAGTCATGAACAATTACAAGGTTCATAACCAAGTTCAAGTCTAAAATAAGCTATATGTAGCTAGTCATGAACATTACAAGGTTCATAACCAAGTACAAGTCTAATTATTTATGAAATTTGAAATTAAGGCCATGCCCTGAGCTCCCTGCCATTTAGAAAAATCTTGTATGCAATCTCTATTTGAAGTTTATAGTTACACATTTGTGATATATTTTTTAATAATTTCATTTCTTCAATTTAATGTATACTATAAGTATCAATCCTAGCACTTCAGTGACAGTGCAGAAACAAATCATTATACAATTTTCAGGACGTCCTTTTCAAGACAAGACTTCACATGCATAATATGTAATTATAGCCTATCATGTTGGGAATTTAACCAATGTTATAGGAGATTGTGTGCGCCGCTAAAAAGGTAGTGGTGAATAGTGATTGTTTAAGGTATTTAAACACAATGTGTAATTGTTACTATAGGGACGAACACCAGAAACTGAACCAGAAAAAGTAGAACCAGAAGTGACAGAAAACACCCGCAAACCAGTGAAGCCCGACATCGATACCGAGGACTTGTTTGGAGGTAAATGTTGATTGTTGTTTGTTTTGTAACCCATAAAGTCCTATGTTATAATAACTGATTCACTGTAAGATGGATATCAGATCTTCTTTCTAATGCTTCAATAAAGGAATGAGAAGACATATATTTTAAGGTGTTAATTTTATTAAATTATGATTTAAAATCCTTAGTGTAGTCCAATAGAAATCCCAGCCACCTGCTTTGGTGGTTATGATAGAGAATTGTCAACCCAAGGAGTGATGCTCTTGATTGTCTTATCCGAAGCTTGCTGCCATCTGAGAGATTAGACTTCAAGCATCTCGTCAGGAGGGATTACATCATATCCTCCCTGTACCGGAGGATTATTTCCTCCCAACTAATCAATAATATGTATAAAACAGAAGATATCAACATTTGTAATCTTTGTACTGGTTCTCTCCCATTGAAAGCTGATTGTGACAACGTTTAATATTGTTCCTGTAACATCAAGTATATATCTGAATCATTTCTTGAAATCCTGTATTTTTTTTTATTAATTCCAATCTTTATTCATCCTTTAAACAATTTTGTATCAGATGATGCTGATGACGGTGATGAGATAAAGCTAGACTCTGATGGAGAGAATGACACTAATGAAACGGTGGGGAAGTCACCATTTTTGGAGCCATTTGAACCAGCTCCTGCCAGTGCCCCAGCCCAGACAGAGGTTGTGTCGTCGGACGAGGAGGAGAAGCCAAGCACAGACACGCCTAAGTTGACAGTTACACAAACAACAACCTCAACATCGAAGGCTTCCAGTGCTACGAAAACCACCAAGGAAGAAGTGAGTCTTAAACGGGGGAAAAATGGGCTGGAATATATAATGAAATAAACTATTGACGAGTTTAACTAAAATAACTGTATTATAAGAAGTGAACAGTTATTAAATCATAAGTAAAAAGGGTACTTTACCAAACGTTATTGTAACTTTACTTGTATTATGAGAGTAAACAACCCTGTGTTGTGTTATAACACTATCTGACCTCGTATTGTGTTTTGACAATAACCCTGTGTTGTTTTTTGACAATAACCCTGTGTTATGTTTTGACAGTAACCCTGTGTTGAACACTATCTGACCATGTGTTGTGTTTTGGCAATAACCCTGTGTTGTATTATAACACTCTCTGACCGTGTGTTGTGTTTTGAAAGTAACCCTGTGTTGAACACTGTTTGACCCTGTGTTGTGTTTTGACAGTAACCCTGTGTAATACGATATTGTTCCAGGTTGAGGCTAATCAGTACACTCTAGTGATAAAGGTCACAGAACCACAGAAGATGGGTGACGGCATGAGTGCCTACATGGTTTACAAGGTCATCACTAAGGTAAGCTTTATACTTTAAAGGATTTATTCCAATTCTTCTGGTTGAACTCAACCTTGGTACAAATATTGCATACCAATATAGCTCGAATAAGTTCGCATTTCAGAGGTTTACGTGCATTTGTGGTGGAGTTATGCCCCTTTTATTGCCAAACAAGGGTATTGTGTAGTAAATGCAAGAACTTTTTTTATTTTGAAATCAATTCCTTTAAATTTTGTACGGTAATGCTAGAAGCAACAATGTTCAATGTATATTACGGGTTTTTCTGTCGAGTTTCAACTTTCCACATTTTGGCATATATCTGTTTACGCAATAACTCAAACTAAGACACTTTTCCTACTAAAAGCACGGAGCAGGCGACACATCCACTCCTGTGGAATTCTTGTTATTGTAATTTCTGATAAATTTACTGGGGAAACAGACATTTCTTTAAAACCACTTTTTCTATGCATAATGCTTGTACATGACATGTTTATTTCATTAGAGAACGCCTCCAGTATAATTATGGTAACTTATAGAGTTACCATATATATGTATAACTGAACATATGTGCTCTGTGGATTTTGTAAGTTATCACAAACATTAGTTGTTTTGCAATACAAATAATTTTGTGTTGTTTATCAGACCAGCATTCCAGATTTCCGTAAACCAGAACTGGTGGTATTAAGGCGTTTCAGCGACTTCCTTGGACTACATGAGAAACTCCAGACTCGATACCTTCACCAAGGTCGAATTGTACCACCCGCCCCAGAGAAAAGTGTCCTAGGTAGGAATCACCATTGTGTTTGTGTGTTTCCTTTAAATATTCTGTGTGTCTGAAACTCCACAAACATTTTGTAAGTACAACATTTTATATAATTACTTAAAAGAGTAAGTACTGGTAACAGACTGGGACTCAGAAGCATGTCTACATTTATCTCTGATGTTTGTAATCATATATAGATTAAACAGTTTTATTTTGTTACTCATGATTGTTATATAAGAATGGCAGGTTTTGTTATGTTAGAATGGAAGGTTTACGTTTTGTTCAGAGTTTTAAGTGTAAGGATTTATTTTGTGAGTAAATGAAGGTATAACTCTCTAATACTATCTTTTCATTGTTGTCAATTGTCTGAAATGAATAAGTATAAGGAAGAAGGCTGATATTTCATTAAACTACATAACCCTTTCACCACTGTAAACCATAATGGACTCATCAATATCAATGCCTGGTAGAGTCTACTGTAGTTACATAGAGGTGAAAGGGTTAAGATGTATTTTTAAAACTTTCTACTCGCAGCTTTTATAAAGAGATTAAGTTTGGGAGTACAGTTTTATTAACATTCCAGATTAATAATGAGATATGCTCATGAAATTGTTGCTTGTTACAGGTATGACAAAAATAAAAATGTCGAAGGAGGAGTCTGGGGCGTTAGACTTTGTTGAGCGGAGACGTTTAACATTAGAGAGGTATGAGATGATGGAAGGGTATTGTTTGTATTATATCTTTGTGGTACACATTTCCATCTATTGTGATAAATATCAACATTAAAACTGATTATGTCTTTGTTTTCGAATTGTACAATGTAAGTTTATTTTCTCCAGTAAAAAATGTTATGACTTATAATTGAAACTTGGTAAAAACATATTTGAAGTGTTTACAAGAATATATAGATAACACTTGTGTAATTCTGAAAACAATATTTAGATAATTATGATAATGAAATAAAGGAGATTGCTCTAGTTTTATACAGATGTATAACATATTATGTAGCTTATATTGGTAACATTTAATGAAGACAATATTGGATTTGAATAAGATTTGCAAATTTTCTGTTTATCTATAAATGTCATCAGAGAGGTATTTTCTATTTAACATGTTACAGTTTAGTTTAGAGATATTTAGGTTTATCATACAATGAACATGTAACAGGTTCCTGACAAGAACAGCCCAACATCCCTTGCTTCGGAAGGATATTGACTTCCGAGAATTCCTAGAGCGCGATGGAGAACTCCCCAAAGCTACGAGTACCTCTGCTCTCAGCAGTGCTGGAGTGAAGCGATTATTCCATAAAGTCGGGGATGCTGTTGACAAAATATCCTACAAAATGGAGGAGGCTGATGAGGTGAGAGTCCCCAACACAAACTTTTTCAAAGTCTTACTTTCTGAAGTTTTAATCTCCAGTATTAACATGTATTAAAATTGAAGAACAATGTGTATAGTAAGATAAGTAAGTGTTCATATAAAAACGAGATAAAGTCTAGATTAATATTTATGCCATTTGATGTAGTGTAAACAGGTAGAATGTAAGAAGTCTCGAAACAGTTGCTTATAGTATATAATTCAATAAACTAAGTCAACTTTTAAAGCAACATAGATGAAGTTACGTTAGCCCTTAAAGCTATGATTTCCCTCTGTTTAAACATTTCTGTTGCTTGGTTTTGCTTATTTACAGTTTCTTTGTTTCTAACTTTGATATTTTACCTGCATGTCGTAGCTACCTGGGAGGGAATAAACACAGTTTGGTTAAGTTGATGTTTGGATATGGAAAATCTCAGAATTCCACATTTTCTCTGATTATTTGTATTTTTTAGTATTTTTTTACACATTTGTACACTGGAGCTACCTTTTTCCTCACGTGTGTACTGGGTTTTTAGCTGAGTTTGAAAAACATAAACAATCCCTCAACATTGTGCAAAAAACAACTTTAATTTTAGAAAATCAACTCTGGTACACTGTAGTAGAAATATCTAGATACAATATGTGCATCGTATTTAACCATGCTGCCCTTGATAGATACTGAAGGATTATCTCCCCTTGTCTAAGAGCTCTTCACCAAATAATTCATCTGAAAATTTGATGACCAGACCTGGTCCTTGTTTTCACCAGATATTTAGCTACAAATATGACCAGATCTGAAGTGAAAATTTCAGAAATTACAATCTTGTGTCATAATTGTTTTGGATATTCCGATGCAGCAAGGAATGTAAAAGGCAGTAGTTTTGCTGTCACAAAGCAAAAATACCAGGTACATTTTTTTTTGACAAACAACGAGATATTTAGGGGTTCCATTATATTAACTCAGCAAACTGATATGTCACTTCAGGAGTTTCAACAAGATTTCAGGTTGCATGTATCCAACACATTTCATAGGACCCCATTACTATTCTAAATTTCTCGTGAAAGTAGCCACTAATGTATACAGATGCTTCAAGGTGGACAGTGCACCCCTCTGTATTTATATTGTTTTTCAAATTTAGTAAAATTAGTGAAACAGTATATCAATCTTGCAGTCTCAATAAATGTTTATGTTTTATCCTGTGTAAATCTTTCAACAGTAATACTTGCAAAAATCATTATATATACTTTTGCATTGTGTACCAGTCATGGAAAATCAGTATACACTGAGCAACCAGTGATTTTTGTAGAAAAAATTGCAGACAGGTCCTTGACTTTATTTTCAAAACGTCATTGAATACTGTGAAAAGATAGACTAGGTTTAAAAAAAATGTGGTTAAGCCCCACAGGAAAACCTCGAGACTTAAACTCATATATATGTCCCAATAAAAAAATGTAAATATAACACAAAGATATTGGATCAGAAAACTGAAACAGTAATCCCTACAACAACAATGTGAAGATGATTTATCGTTACGTGTCGCAGTCATTCACTAGTTCACCAAAATGTAGAGGAAGGCAGCATTTATCTTAACAATATCAGAGATTTTTTTATTAGTAAAGTCCTGCTTTTTCTATGTAATTTTTGCCAAAATACTTCATATTTTACAGATTAATCCAGTTTAATTCATAAGCTTAGTTCTTGGTCCTTTCTTTTGCTCTAAATACAATTTATCTCCGGCTTTTTGTTCATTTGGTTTTGTTTGTTTTATTTTTGTTTGTTTTTGTTTTTTTGTGATAGGTTAAGTAAAAGAAAATTCTTTTGCCTAGGTCATCTTCAAATTTCTTCAAGGATTCGTATAATTTTGGATTGACATTCCCTCATATACTAAAGATTTAAAAATGATTTTGAAGGAAAAGTATTTCCATTCCCGTTCAAAGTGACTTGCTGACTTCTGTACTATATTTATTGTTATATCACTGTACCTGTTGTGTACTTTGTATTGTGTTCGCTGAAAACAAAGGTGGCATACAAATGCTTAATATCAAATACACCAGTACACTTTATATACAATTTGTTACCTATTTTAACTTTTTTTCTGAATGATTTCATATAAATTGTAGTTTGAGGTAGTTCTACCACCGTCACATGCTGTGCCACACAATTACAATCAAATGTTTCAAGGGAGACAATCTTGCTTTGGCAGAGATCTCTTAAAACATTCTGCTGTGTTGGATGTATTATATATAACTGATTTTGTTTAATTTTGAAATAAGTCATATTTGTTGAAAATATATATTGGATATTGAATAATCTTTAAAAATATATGGGATAGTGTATTGTTTATATTGGGGGAATAGCAATAATGAATTTAAAGTTATAGAGGGGAATTATTATATGCTTTGGAAAAATACTGTAATAACAAGAAAATTGCAAGATGAAATGATTTCTTATGTTGGGGAAGTGTTTATTAGGAGAGGACATGATTGATTGAAACTTCAACACTATTGTCCGAGACTGTCAAACCTCAAAATTGTGTTTCTCAAGACATTGCGAGACTTAGACACAAATGTAATGAGGTTGAGATAGTGTCAGACCTCGATCAACACCGCTTTGTCTGAGACAGTATCAAACCTTATCACTGTGCTGTTTGAGTCTGTGTGAGATTTGAGACACAATTGTGATGAGGTTGAGACCGTGTCAGACCTCATGATCATTATGCTGTTGCATTGGAGACTGTGAGATTTGTGACACGATTGTGATGAGGTTGAGACCGTGTCAGACCTCATGATCACAGTGCTGTTGCATTGGAGACTGTGAGATTTGAGACACGATTGGGATGAGGTTGAGACCGTGTCAGACCTCATGATCACAGTGCTGTTGCATTGGAGACTGTGAGATTTGAGACACGATTGGGATGAGGTTGAGACCGTGTCAGACCTCATGATCACAGTGCTGTTGCATTGGAGACTGTGAGATTTGAGACACGATTGGGATGAGGTTGAGACCGTGTCAGACCTCATGATCATTATGCTGTTGCATTGGAGACTGTGAGATTTGTGACACGATTGTGATGAGGTTGAGACCGTGTCAGACCTCATGATCATTGTGCTGTTGCATTGGAGACTGTGAGATTTGAGGCACGATTGTGATGAGGTTGAGACCGTGTCAGACCTCATGATCACAGTGCTGTTGCATTGGAGACTGTGAGATTTGAGACACGATTGTGATGAGGTTGAGACCGTGTCAGACCTCATGATCATTGTGCTGTTGCATGGGAGACTGTGAGATTTGAGACACAATTGTGATGAGGCTGAGACCGTGTCAGACCTCATGATCACTGTGCTGTTGCATTGGAGACTGTGAGATTTGAGACACAATTGTGATGAGGTTGAGACCGTGTCAGACCTCATCATCACTGTGCTGTTGCATTGGAGACTGTGAGATTTGTGACACAATTGTGATGAGGTTGAGACCGCGTCAGACCTCATGATCACTGGGCTGTTGCATTGGAGACTGTGAGATTTGAGACACGATTGGGATGAGGTTGAGACCGTGTCAGACCTCATGATCATTATGCTGTTGCATTGGAGACTGTGAGATTTGTGACACAATTGTGATGAGGTTGAGACTGTGTCAGACCTCATGATCACTGTGCTGTTGCATTGGAGACTGTGAGATTTGAGGCACGATTGTGATGAGGTTGAGACCGTGTCAGACCTCATGATCACAGTGCTGTTGCATTGGAGACTGTGAGATTTGAGACACGATTGGGATGAGGTTGAGACCGTGTCAGACCTCATGATCATTGTGCTGTTGCATTGGAGACTGTGAGATTTGTGACACGATTGTGATGAGGTTGAGACCGTGTCAGACCTCATGATCACTGTGATGTTGCATTGGAGACTGTGAGATTTGTGACACAATTGTGATGAGGTTGAGACCGTGTCAGACCTCATGATCATTGTGCTGTTGCATGGGAGACTGTGAGATTTGAGACACAATTGTGATGAGGTTGAGACCATGTCAGAACTCATGATCACTGTGCTGTTGCATTGGAGACTGTGTGATTTGAGACACGATTGTGATGAGGTTGAGACCGTGTCAGACCTCAACACTGTGCTGTTGGAGACAGTGTAAGATTTAAGGCACACTTATGATGAGGTCTGAGACACAGTGGTCAGTCGTTTGGTCAGTCATGTCCTTCTCTATCAGATGAGCTGGCTAACATTTTACCCCCACTTTTACCTCTGTACTGTTGTGCCGCCCATTGACCAGTGGGACTATGACATGGAGGTAAATCGACACTGTACAGGCTGTAAATTCTCTGTCGTCCACGTAGTATCAACTGTTATACTGAACCCCTTGGTGGTAAAAGTTTACCAATAGAACTAGTGAAGCCAAAACAAGACATTTAAGTAGATAATTATGATATTGTACAAGGGAGGTAAAACACTTACTAATTCCTTCTGTGTTAATGTTGTCTGTAAAGTGACTTTTATTTCCAAGAATTTAAATGTATTGAAACAAAGGAATTCTGGGAAATTTGGAATGTAATGGTTTGTATCTGGATCCATGCCATGAGTTTCCTCCACAACATGACACCATATTTCTTTGGTTACACTTTTTAAATAATTATTTTCAGTAATGATGGCAGTGATTCATAAATTAGGTTTAGAAATCACTTCAGGAACTGAGATTTAATATCAAAGTCAAGAAATCACTATTGGAATTAGGTGAAGAATTTGATACCCCTGTTTGTAACTCTGTTTGTACAAACCTGAACTGATTATTGAGATACCAAGTAGCAACTAGAGTTCCTCCAGTAAATATTTCATATGATTCGGTTAGCACTGTGGACTAAAGCAGAGAATTTACAGCAAACAGATAAAACTGTGTTGTTGTTTGTAATCAGTTTATATGATTTAGTTCAAACATTCACTTTCTGTTCATGCTTATATCTTTTATGTTGGCCTATCTTTTGCATGCTGCTGCAAACTGGTTTAGTTTATACAGATGTGATCGTGTCATTATAAGCCTTGCAATGAATGAATGCTATCAAAATAAGCTTTGTTTACATATATGTCCTACTGATATGATTAAAAAGGCCCTCAGAGAATCAAGCATGGTGATTTAGAGGGAGTAGTATGCCTTGATAGAGTATTCATTATATATACAGGTAACAATAACAGAACTCAATGATAAGCTGATGCACCATTATGATCTGTACATAAATAACAATTCGGCTTAATTAAAGGAAAATGTTTTACTTTCCTATGATCATGAATCCACCACAGTTCTGAACGTTTTGTCTTCTCTACCACGTACATGTACTCATTGACTTGCCAGTTGGTTCCTACGACCTTCATCCTGTCCAGGGTATATTTTGGCTACATATGACCTTTACCTTGCCCAGTGGGGTACATTTTGGTTACATATGACCCTGCCCAGTGGGGTATATTTTGGCTACATATATGTCCTTCACCCAGTGAGGTATATTTTGGCTACGTATGGACTTCACCCTGCAGCCCAGTAGGGTATATTTTGGCTACATATGACCCTGCCCAGTGTGGTATATTTTGGCTACATTTAACCTTCACCCTGCCCAGTGGGGTATATTTTGGCTTCATATGACCTTCACCCTGCCCAGTTGGGTATATTTTGGTTACATATGACCCTGCCCAGTGGGGTATATTTTTGCTTCATATGACCCTGCCCAGTGGGGTATATTTCGGCTACATATGACCTTCACCCTGCCCAGTGGGGTATATTTTGGCTACATATGACCCTGCCCAGTGGGGTACATTTTGGTTACATATGACCCTGCCTAGTGGGGTTAATTTGGCTACATATGACCTTCACCCTGCCCAGTGAGGTATATTTTGGCTACATTTTTCTATCTGATGTGATAAACATTTATATGATTTTTGATACATTAACACTGACGAACTTTCCTTTTTTTTTTTTTTTTTTTTTTTAAATTATTTTCAATATACTTCATAAGTGTAGTTTCCCCTGCTAAAGTCCTAGTCCTCGAAATGTGTTTCCCCCTTTCTAATGAGGTTATGGATGGGATATTATGGTGTTCAACCTTTGTCATCACTCTATCAACTTTTGAATGGATTATGAACTGTTTTATATTTGTCATGTATGAGAATACATCAAAAAATAAATTTTCAAATAAATTTTCAAGTTGTCCTGCTCAAGTCACCATTACTATTTATAGAAAATCTCTTTCATTGCACGAAGACTTACTTTCTCAACAGAATTTAGACAAAGTTCTTGTTTTGGTAAAATATGAGAATGCCTGAAACGAGGTCATGTTTCAGGGTGTCAAAGTCACCGCTATCTTTTATAGAAAATATTTGTCCGCCCTTAACTTACGCCATTCCTTAAAACCAGGAAAAATCAGTTAAGTCCAACATGAAAATAATATCTTAAAGGAGCTTGTGCTTCAGCATACTTCAGCCAAAGTCTTGGCTACTTTCTACTATTTTGATGAAAACTTTGTATCTGGAGTGACTTCTAAACTATTTAAAAAATATTAAGTACTACAGGTTTTGAAATATACAGCTCTACAATGGAATACCTTATTAGATAAAGAACTTGTTAAGAGTGCTACCTAGGTAGGCACTGTTGATAAGAGACATGGAATGCTCTGTAAACAAGGGAACTTGTATCGCCTGCAATCAAGTGTTTCATTATCAATAAATACTATCTTGGAGTTATGGAATACATTAAGCTACCCTTACTCAATGTTTTAGCTAGGAACATATGTCGAGTTTAAAGTCAGATTAAAAGAACTTCTTATAGGAATAGATTCCCTATTCACTGTAAGTGAATTAGTCAATACACTCTCAAAAAGTAGTGAAGGCCCTGTATGAGCATCACTGTCTTTTACTATTTACCTCCATATAAGCGACTCATGTACAATCATACATGATTGTCTAATAAGTTTATTTCATCTGCCTAGTATAACAACCAATTTGTAAAAAAATCAAGTTGAAGCATAAATTCATCATTTAAATGTAATGATGAATCTTTCAATATTTAACAATGATGTGTTGTAAGTAAATGTATGCTGTAGAATATAATTTATAGCAGGTTTATTATGCATTTGTTGACTTCCTTAACTTGTTTCTGTTGTTACATGGTTTAAGTAGATAGATCCTGCCCTTGTGTGATAGTAAGCATGTGATGAAGGTGTACACAACTGTTATACTAGGAAGGGAATGTATAGACATCCTAGTTCAGATGTGAGGTTCCAAGCCCCATCACACATATTACTTTAGTTTGTCAAAGTCACAAAATATATTATACAATTGTATAACGTTCAGGAGATAACTGTTTTTCAGGAACACGAGACACTCGACATACAAAGTGTACAGTTATGACATTCTAATGTGTAACTAATAAACGCCAAATTATATAACTACACTATTGTTTACTTCATGTTTTGAAGTAAATACTAAGTATTACAATATGTTTATAATTCAATCAAAAGAGAAATAAAAGATATACATGTACCCTGTATATCAGTGATATTTAATAATTTCACCTCTGATAATTTACGTAACACTGATTGACTGACTTACACAGATGATTATACAGGTACAGGTAATGACGCATACCTGTATTATTAATTACTTGTGTATATATAATGATAGATGTAAGGTGGTGACTTATACTTGTGTACTTTATGTTACAGTGGTTTGAAGAGAAACAACAACAAGTAGAGTGTTTGGATACACAGTTGAGAAAATTACATTCCAGTATGGAGTCTGTGGTTGGTCACAGAAAGGGTAAGTCATCTTATGGTCACTGGTCAGTTTGACAAGATCTGACCAGTATCAGTATAACAATGACTACAGGTGCTGATGTCCACTCTGATCATTATTACTTGTTTTATAAATGACCTATTATCGTGTAACAAAGTGATTTTGTTGTGAGATCAGTGAAAACATGCTTCATTTTACATGCATTTGCCTTTGTTCTGTTGGCATTCATAATGCATATGAATGCCAATTGAAAACAATTCAATGCTACATTATTACAAATGTATTAACTTTATTTTTTATGTAAAATCTACTTTCCAGACTTGAGTAACAATACTGCTGCATTTGCCAAGAGCGCGGCCATGTTGGGTAATGCGGAGGAGCACACAGCCCTGTCTCGTGCCTTGTCCCAGCTAGCTGACACCGAGGAGAGGATTGAACAGATACAGCGGGAACAGGCTGACCACGACTTCTACGTCATGGCAGAACTACTCAAGGACTACATTGCCTTATTAGGGGCTGTCAAGGTCAGTTTTGCTTGTCTTAACCTTGGGTGATAAAGGGTGTGAGTTTGATAATTTGATAATTTTCTGGCACAATTTTAACGTTATTGCATTATTGACTCTTTAATATAACCAATCCTGCCTGCTTGTACAGGGTTAACACCAGTTATTGTACTCCCTTTATAGAACTTAGACCTCCATGTTTTTACATTGTAAAAAATTCATAGAACATTCTTAACTTGAATATTCTTAAATTATACAGTTCTCTCTAATAGTTGAGAGTTAGATTTGCTGCTATTTATCCACATTTTCAAGTCAAGATAAGATTTATTAACTTAAATTAATAAACATTTTCTGTTTGATTTCATTTTGAGGAAAAATGGCTTTTAAAATAAATCTTATTTTGAAAACTGTGAATGTTCTTGAAGCGGGTTTATCACTGGTTGAATACATGAAGATCGTAAACACTAAACACAGTTTATCAACCTCAACTTCTGTTTGACAGGAGGTATTCCACGAAAGGGTGAAATCCTACAAGAACTGGAAGGACGCAGAAGTTACCTTGACAAAGAAACGGGAAAACAAAGCCAAGTTAGAGCTAGCTAACAAAACAGACAAAATCTCACAGGCCAAGCAAGAGATTTCAGAGGTACGCATGGTTTATATTGCTGCTTATAACACAAGCAAAATCTCACAGGCTTAGCAAGAGATTTGACATAAGTATTTCTTACTGCTAATAATATAGACAGATGCCAATAACATTGGATGAAACAAAAATGAATTATATAGATACTTTTGATGTGATACACATAACAGACAGTTATAAAGTTAAAAGTTATTTACTTTAGTTAGAGACACGTTTAATTGATACATGTGTTACTATACTAACACCATACTACTGAAGTTTGGGGTATACTGACACACTCAGTCTAAACAACTAGTCCTAAGTTACATTAACTCATTCACCCCTGAAATTTCATAATGAACTATTCCGACCTTTGAATTGGAATAGTTCAAATGTGTCTTCAGGGGTGAATAAGCTTAGGTTAAACCAGCATTATGTTTGTTTTGTATGTTTTTCCAGCATACAGATCCCTGAATTTTTTACTGAGTTATAACCCTTCAACTTAAAGCATTAGATTTTATTTTGAGAACTTGTCAGTCCTTTTCTGGTAGGGTTCATTATCTTCATATTTATTGTTTCCATAACATTATTTTAGAGATGGTACATAAATGTGGATTATTTTCTATATTCATGTTAACCTTTGGCGTACAGTTCTAGTTCTATTTCACTTTTAGTGGGAGTTGAAGGTCGAGAAGGGAAAAGATGACTTTGAAAAGATGTCAGCAATGATACGAAAGGAGGTTGCGCGATTTGACAGGAAACGTGTAGAAGATTTCAAGTCTAGCATCATCAAATATTTAGAATATTTAATGGAAAACCAGCAACGGGTAGGTCATGGCATTATTCTTATAAATAAGCGTTTCACACTTATGTTTTGAAATATATTTGGCACTTTTTTAGACTGTGATGCATCATGAAAGTAATTAAAGCTGTGAGCAGACTAATGTATTCGACATTTCTGCAATCTTCATCTCGATCCAAATTTCTTGGAACTATACATCAAGCGTGCTTAAATATAAAGAACATGTTTCCAAATTAAATTAAATTATCTATTCTAATGTACTGTGCAATTCAAACGTGGGTGTTAACTGGAAGAGAAATGTCACTATATATGTTTTCACATGCTTTTTGTGTTTTTCCCCTTTTATTGTTTGATAAACAAATATATTTTCTCTTTGTCAAATTATGAAATGTAAAATATTTATCAAAATTAACAATCTAATTAGACAGTTGATGCTAAGTGTTTGTCCTGTTTCCAGGTGATCAAGTGTTGGGAGGCCTTCTTACCTGAAGCCAAAGCGGTGGCATGATGTGTACCAACACGTTTCCATGGAGACCAAGATGGACTTTCTTCAGGGTGGGACAATAAAACTGAGATTAAATGAAGCTAGCAAGACTCGATTCGCCATCACACTTGTTGTGGCCGACGTTCTGTGGAGACGTGGTCATACCATTTATTATTGACACAATATGGATTTTGTAGTGCTACATTATAAATGTACTTAAGGCACCAACCACACACAAAGTAATACAAAAGATATTGTAACACCAATACCAGGTGCATTGTTGTCTTATTTTCAAATCATTTGTTAGGTATACAGTCAATTTTGACCAAATTTTTCTCGTGGATTTAATTGAAGCTGTCGGTTAAGTTTGACATTCTCTGTGTATAACCACTTTCTTTTCACTCGGAATCGTAAACATCAGCATCACAATATATGGTTACAGGGACACAATTGTTTAAATAGGTTGCAATATATATCAACACTATGTCCTCATTACAAACATTGCGAAGTTCTTCTTTACTTCAGCCTGTGTTCACTTGGTGTTCTATTAATGTTTTACAAGTGAACTAGTCTAGGATGTATTTTTACACCTTAACTAATTTTAATGTCCATATGATGTAAACATAACTCATTAAAGCTGAAATACCCAATTATTCTTTCAATAAGAGCTGATAGAAGTAGGGAAAGATGCCCATGAACAGCAACCAGTAAATCCATAGGAGTGTCATAGTTTATAACAACTAGCAAAAGAAGAATACATTTTATGAAAACCAGGCTTCAGGATGTGCCACTCTTCTTTTGAGATTTATTTTACTTTAAGTGAGAGCTGAAGTTCAAAAAATGATGAAAGATCGCCGGTAATAAGCCGGAAGTTTGACTGACAAAAGTTGTAAATGGTTGTAAATTTCCAGGATGATGTAGCTTGCATGTAAGTCGAGAAATGTTGTTATGTCATGGTAAGTGCGAGTAACTAGAATGCTAGTCATAAAAAGTTGGATTTTTTTTCTTTCTTAATTTTTTGTTTGTTATATTAAAGTTCTTAAAGCCATATAAAACAACACCTTTAATTTAACAGAAACCAACAGACAAGGTATGACGTATTTTATTGTACATAACAATAGTGAGAAAAACATTGCAATGCTAATGTTGATATACAAATTTCTTGTTGCCCCTTATCCTTGATATTTCATTCTAAAAAATGCAAATATAACAATCTAAAATTGATAAAAAATTGTGATATGTATTTTTACCATTAAGTTGACGAGTTATCAGAAGTAGGTGTTTTTTTCTCAATTAAGAACACAGGGATATATTGTGTGTCATTAGGTAATGGTGCCTGACGAGAAACTTGGTGAGGATAGCAGAGGAAAGTAAAATGTTGGTGCATATAACTTAATCGTGTATATAGTGAACATTTTCCTGCTTGATGCAAGGTTCATTATTGTAATATCTGTCTAGCCAATGCAAGCTTTGATGGTTATAACATACTATTGTAATACCTGTTCAGCCCACGTCAGCTTTGTTGGTTTATGATGTAGAATCACTTAAAATGTATCATATTTTACAATGAATATTTTAATGAAAAAGAAATTAATTAAAATAAATACATATATCAAAATAAGGATGGTGTTTTGTTGTTAGTTTTTCTGATACCTTCACCTTGACGACAATGGGCTCTCTTCTACACGTTTTGTTCTGTCTTCGCATTGACAGCAATGGGCCCATCCTCAAAATTCCAAGGGTTACCATCACTTAACTTCTCTGCACAACCCCTGGCATATGTCAAGACGAAATTGAAGGCACGGTACGTTACTCCTGGTCAATGATACAATTGACCTAGTTTGAGTTTGATGTACATCAAAAGAACTGCGGCAGCATTACGGTAAAATTGACCAGCTTTGGTGTTGGATGTCCCTCTTCTGTACTCTTCAAACGAGAAGTTAATCTAAGATTGGGCAGGCGTTTGTTACCTGAAACCAATGAAGTTGCTAACCACATGCCTTCGATTTTGTCATGACATATCCCAGGAGTGCAAAGAACGTACTCTAGAAAGTGAGCGTAACCCCAGGAAGTTCAAGGATACAAATGGCCATATTCTATATGTTTTTTAGTGTCTTCACATCGACATTAGTCTGTCCTGTTTTATAAATTGCAAGTGCTTTCACATTGACAGCACTCAGCCCTGTTCGAAAATAAACATACAATGTACCCCTCGGTAGTCCAACACTAAAATCATTGTTTTCTGAATGAATGAAACGGAATTATTCACGTTTAGATAATTCATTTCCTGAACTTAGGTACCTTAACAAAAATGTTTTGGAATGGCAAGCTATACATGTGTTGTATTTCAGAAATCTATGATGTGGTGACTTGAAGTACATATGCAGATTGATACTAGATTTATATGGGTAGAAATAAGAGTATTTATGTGTAAGTCTTGCAAGTGTAAAGAAATTGTGAACTCCAGGACACAGTTTTGAAGACGAGGATTTAAACTACTTTTAAAGTGTCATTAATCTAATGAAGCTTGTTGTAATCAATTCAAGTCCCTGAAAGATAAGAACCACCGGCTGTTTCCAAACTACTTATCACATTGTCCACATTCCTTAGATGTTCTTGACATCTCACTGTTCTGTACATTGACTATAAACACGTCATAGGTCCATGGTTAAAAGCAATATCCGATTTCTACACTCAAACACGTTGAAGTTGTTGACAACAACTTCTTAGAGCCTACATGTATCGTTGGTCTTTAATGTTATTAGTAATAAGGGGTCAACATGGCCCTTGGGGTAGTTGTGTATGCTATAGGGTAGGGGCTGACTGCGATTGGTCTTAAAGGTTCCGATCTGAGGTTTCTGGACGGCATGCGTGATGGGGGCGTGACGGAGCGCCTTTCGGGAGGAGGCGTGTCACTGCGATAGTTGCTGTCATCCTCTAGCTCTGGTATGAAGAGGAGGCCAGCAATGATGGCAAGGATGCCGCCCATCACCGTCAGTCCCATTGAGAAGCCCACGTAGAAGGGACTAGTTACGTACACCAGCCAAAGTATCATCCCAATGGTCACGAACAGGCCTGCAATACAAAGGCGAATTGTAATGTATACTTTACTCCTCTTTACCCAAACAGACACCCAATTTTTTGTTCAAAAGTGTTAATTTTAATGCTTCATTGGGCCAAAATTGCTAGCTTGATCCCCCACCCCTCCCAGCCCCGAAATACAGCCTGTGATTAGGTCTTCTTGAAGTAACGTTTCCTTTATGATCGATCAGTCACCGCAAAAAAAAATATGAAAAGATAAGTTGAAAAACGGGTGTTATATGTCTCTTTTTCGGCGATAACATAAAAAACGAAGCTCTTATGTTCCTTCATATTTCTAAGTGATTATTTTACGCAATAATGGGGTTGATTGCTGGTGCACTATCAGTCCCGGGGTTGGCCGTAACCATGTAGACGGAATTCATCCTGACACGGTTTACACGAAACACTAGTTTAATGTTAAGGGTTTTATAGGCACCTTCCCCGTGCTGCTGTTTACATATGGTTCGGAACACTTTTGGCATGGATATTTTTTTTCAACTTTTAGTACCAAATATGAGCACTAAATGGACATTCATTAAATGAGTACTAAATATAGCAATATGGTCCTTTACAATGTTAACTTTGTTAAACTGTGCATTTTCAAACAAGATTTCAAATAGATATTTCCGTTCGTCGTTTTTCTAGTGATTACTTTTCAAAGATTAATATGATATACTTAGATACACTGCTGCCTTGTTCAAAATTAGGTAGTTGTTGTTTTGTTTGACGTTATTAGGTCCCATTGTTTGGCATCTGTATCTAATCTGTAATTTGTTTCTACCATTTAAACTCCAGTATATTTCGGACCTACAAACATTAAAATTTGATAGTTTTAAGTCATGAAGCAAGGTGAAGAAGGTCATTTCAAGACACCACCCATAGCTTATACATTAACATAATCAAATACATTTCTTTTAAGGATTCATCACCAAACAGCACTCATCTCTATAAACTCACCATTTACTATGTGTAACGAACGGTACGCGAACGAACTGTAATGGTACGACTTCTTTTTACCTACAGCACTGTACACAATTCCGATTAGAGACTTACAAATCCATGGTCTTTGTTTTGTAAATGAAACATTTCTGGGGAGAGTGTTATAATCCCTAACTTCGTTGTTTTGCAAATAACATATTGACTTTCAGATAAAGATGAAAGAAGAGTAACTGTTATCATGATTTTCTTTTTCTTTTTTTTTCATTCTGGGATTACTAGCCCATAACGAAGGGAAGGTTCACAAAAGAATGTTGTAGTAAGAAATTATTCTTAGCTCCCAATTTTTTGTTGTTCTTATATTGAAGATTTTAACAGGTTTGATAACCGCACGGTAGACTGCACTTCCGGCCAGGGATGTTTTCCCTCGTTTTCTTTTCTTTTAAATGTTTATAACTTCGGATATTCAAGACCACCTTGAAACATCATTAGTATATGAAAACTTTGATACAGGGCTTTCCGTGAACCAGTTTTGTACTGACACTGGTTATATACAAGAACAAATATGATATATATCCTGTAAAGAAATATCCAAAGTTGTGTATTAACGTTTTGGTATTCTCAATACAATATTGAACACTCCAAACTTGGACTGAACGCTGTAGCATTCACCAACACTGGCAATAGTGTTTGTTGTTGAGCTTCCGTGTGCTTTTTATTAGATTGTTTAGCACTTAAACAAAAAAAATATGATTTAAGAGATCAATGTCTTCCAAACTTCTAAATGCCGATTGGGTATTAAAGATCAGTCTTTTCGAAAGATATTCTTTACCTTAAATACAAGTGACTGATTTTGAAGAATGTGCTGCAGAACAATGTAAAAAGAAAATATATTTTTGTTTGGTCATTTTGACTTGGCAGCATTGACTACTTTCACAATGTATGTTATATAAACGTATTGCTATCATATAAACATTTTGAAAATCAGAACATCTATTTTAGCCAATTCAAAATACAATGTTTTGACACTTTTTCACCTTTGCGCCCTCACTTTTCTATGCAAAGACTGACTAATTGAAAAAGAAACCTCATTTCATGATGACTTGACCGTGGAATTTATTTCGGCAAAAAGCTCACACAAGCACTGAAGTGGCCACCTCTTCTTTTCCAACGGTGGCAAGTGTAAGTCAGTTTATGTAACAATCCACTATTTAATCAAACGCTTTCATTTAGCACGGTTATCAGATGAATGACGATCAGAGTTGGGTTGGAACACTCCTCGTGTTTTATATAATTGATAGATATGATAGAATGTTTATTAACATTATTGACAACTACAGCCGAGTGGAGATAAAGGCAGTGTATCTATTTTAAACTTTGGAAGCGACCGATGATAGCTCTCCATTCATATACGACACTGAATATATTATCTTCTCCTTGTATCTAGATACCAATATACCAACATAAACTTACCAGCCAAGAAACACAGAATCATACAGACGAAAGCAAACGTCCAGGTCCTGAGGTTCTCCACCACGACGTAGACGAGCACGGCGATCGGTGCTACGAGGAGAATCAAGAGGGCAATCACCTCCATGGCCTGGGTACCTCGGTAGCCATCTGCTCAAGGAAACATTTGACGATATAATTAGCAAATCGATGATAAAGGAAATATACTTTTAGTTTACCCATAACGAGGGTAATCGGGGGTATACTACATAAAATGAGACTTTGAAACAGTAATGTCTGGTAGGTGAAAGAACTGATGATTTTTAACATGAACGAATGCAAATACAGGAACTAAATGAGTTGAAAAAGTAACAGCCAAATACTAAAGACGCACATGGCCAAATGAAAGCAACTTGCAAGTTTCATTGCTATTAGGATACGTATTTATATTCCGATCTGTTCAAAATTTATCCACGACAACACACAAGGTCAGGATCCTAACCCAAGTCAATATGAAATAACAAAAAGAAAGATGGAAACATTAAAACGAGGAAAGGCGTCCTAAACCCTAAAAAAACAAAGGGAAAATCATGTCTGGTAATGTATTTGACGTCGGAAATCCAGATATTGTTATAAAAACGGAAAATATCAACGGAGTGTGGACATTACCTGTCCTGTACGAGTCTGGTACCGTTCTGTCCGCACAGGTCCCCGCCGATGTACACGCCTGGGCCTTCCATAGGCCTACCCGAATTTTGGCACCGGACGTGAAGGCGTAGACCATCCAGGAGGTAGTTGCGAAGCCAGCAATGAACAAGATCATGGATAAAACAATACACAGAAGGGCTAGTCTCGCCCACAATGATGATGTCCCACACATGTTGATGTCAATTACCTCAAAGTTGTCCGATAAGTTTTATCAATTCCATTTGTTGGCCATTTGGACTGGAAAAAAATGGTATATTCCCTTACTTTGTATTAAAAAAAAAATGTTATTCATTATTTATCTTAAAACTCCATTATATTGTCTTCTGAGATAATCATGTACTTTCTTCGAACGAAACGAAATCCGTTCTCACACATGAAAACGATCTTCCTTTTAACAAAAAACAGCTTCTCTTAAACAGATCGTTTCACATAGACACGAATCTGAGTTTTATATACTTCGCAAGGCTAATAAGTTACCCTCTATACACCAAATGGTGAAATAAGGTACTAAAATTTATACAAAACATACAGAACGTCAAAAAATCACGAAGCGAAAGGGATTCTAATAAAATCATCTCGCATTAATGAATCTAAAAGGCGAACCGCTCCAGTAGAAGGTTATAGAATGGAGTCGTGTACGTGGTTAGCATAGGTAGGGTGCTTGTTGTTGACAGATCCAATACAAAGGTGTTGATTTAAATACACGCTTACATAAATTCACGCCGGGGATTGCATCTTGTTTATCGGGCAGGGACTTGATGGATTGTAAAGAAGACACATTATATACACTGAGGCGTGTATAGTGTTTATTAAGTTCGGATCACAAAGAAGACAAGTTGACACCATCCTTTGAAAATTCCAAATGTCAAAATCATTAACGTTGAAAACAGTGTTTTCAAAATATTTTAAATTCCACATTTTGTATATTCGATTAGCTTACAACTTTTCGTATCTTTTGGGAGCTTACAAGTTTTTGTATCATCGCGTAGTTCACAAGATTTGTATATTCGAGTAGTTCACAAGATTTGTATATTCGGGTAGTTCAAAAGATTTGTATATTCGGGTAGTTCACAAGATTTGTATATTCGGGTAGTTCACAATATTCATATATTCGGGTAGTTCACAAGATTTATAAATTCGGGTAGTTCACAAGGATTGTATATTCGGGTAGTTCACAAGATTTGTATTTTCGGGTAGTTTACAAGATTTGTATATTCGGGTAGTTCACAAAATTTGTATATGAGGATAGGTTAAAAGAACATGAATCATAAGTATAACGACGATATATAATTTTGCGAATAATCAATTTGGGCGAAATTTAAGTTAAAAAACGTTTCCAGTGACTCCTCGATACTCCAGTCATATACTTTATAGTGGGCGTGTCTGCTTTATGAGACAGCTGACACTCAGCGATACCGTCATAGTCTTATATTCCTCATGTCTAGGAAGGCTGCATTACTGGAATATATCATTGTGCATCTAAGGCTATAGTAAGTCTCTTAATACACGGATCATCTGGGTAGTGGGACATATACCTAAAACTGAATTAGCGAGGGCCTGTTGTATGTATCCTTTGTCTAATTATGCTTGAAATATATATTGCAATATAATTATTAATCAATGTTTAATCTGCACCCGAGATAAATATCACAATGTGAGAGTATTTATAGTGATACATAATAACCAAACAGCTACTGAAGAATAACCCCTCAGAACACGAATGTCCTGGGATTTGTTTTGATTTGCCCATCATTGATGGCGTTGCTTTAGTGGAAATCGGTAAATTGTAACCATATATCGTTTATATATAGATATCAATAAATTATAATTGGTTCCATATTATGGTCCATATTTCTGAATTTACACCTAATTCACTTTTACAATGAAAACGGACAGTTGTAAATGAAGGTCACACATCTGGGTGACCCTAGGATTTCCGTCGCGGATTTAAGTTTTGTATCGGAATGTTTTAAGTCTAAATTACAATAAAAAGTATACCTAGAGATTAGGTCGGCCCTTTTGAGATCTTGCCAGGGTTTAGTTCCGGGTAATTAATAACAGCATCTGTACCTCTGTGTTGTGGTGTTTCACGAGTTGGGCCTGACAACGTGTGAAACCCTCGATCATCTCCTACAGATCACTTCACCATGGCGGTCGCTCTATGTATTTTCACTGTCTCCGTGCTTGTTTTGGCTCTGCCGTGCGTTTTTGGAGGTCGTTATTGTAACTTTGATATGCTGTTGCCACGAGATTTCGACGTCGGTCAGGTATGTTTTAAGTTTTGCTCTAATATGTCCACATTCTGTTTATGACACTTCAATATCGATGTTATCTACTACTGATTAGTGTTTTCCATGTTGTGTAGTAATTTTCAGTCTTTATTGATACATTCATGCAATAGAAATTTTTGCAATCCATATAAGGATATTTTGCTTTCCTATAAAATACCTTCCATTCCCTTGTTGACACTACTGTATGCAATATGTTCATATTTTGCGATATTTCTGATGAAAAGTGTATACAAATTGAAAAATAAAACCTATCATTGTATTAACAAATGGATGAAAGTTTGTTGAACAGACGATAGGTTTGCTTTAAATAAACATGAGCAAAGTGTGGTAGTATTCTAGATGAATATGCATTATTGTTTTAATCTAGTTCTTTGGATACTGGTACGAGATTGAACGGACAGAAACAACGTTAGGCTATTACACCTTCGTATCGCAGACGTGGGGCTTCACCGAATCTTACCAAAACATGCATAATATGAAGCTGCACTATGCTGGTCGGCCGTAAGTATAATATGGTAATATAAAACTATCATCAAACATTAGATGATCAAAAGAAAAATATTACTTTAGTTAAATATTTAAATTCTCTGTTTAAGTTATATGGTAACTTGTAGACAAAATGTCAATCCATGCTACAAAGGGAGTCGCTAATATTTGGTACATATTTGCGTGATATGATGTGTTCACTTACAGTTTTATTTCCTTTATGTTAGTTTATTGTCCAGTTTTTTCGGGAAGTTTGGTTGTGCAAATTTATAGAAGCAGACAAACTTGATGTATTGTAATTTTGGCACGTACATACTGGGCACAGATTTACGGTCATATAGTATTAGTTAATACTAAAAACGATAACGTCCTTTACAAGTTGATTTGATTCTTAACCTCATGATAAGTGATGTTACATTTTCTTACATTGCATAATTGATGTCTTGGCATATTTGGTCCTTTTCATCACATTGTGTTAGATTTAACTGATGATGCCGTGGAAGCCCTGAAGAACAGGCTGTATCTTATCAGTGCTGTTAACTAGACGAGATGGTAGCGGTAATCTAGAACTGTTTCCATGATGCTAAGGGGTCAGTGCTCCTGATAGCTGTTAAGGTGGCTGTGTGATTATCTGGGTTAGATTATCAGTTTAAATACTTTACACATCCCACTGATCATATGACCGAAATAACTGTAATTTTACATTTATGTGGGGTTTTTTTACGTTTGATAAGCTTCTTTTTATTTCGAAGACACAAATATTTTATGTCAAAGACACAAATATTTTATGTGAAAATTACTTTTTTTTGATATATAGATAATTTCGGTCTAAATGATCAGAGTGCACTTCACTATACTGGTATCTGAATCAAAGTTAATAACATAATGAGTTCCTTTTAACTTGCATTTACATCACAGCGGAGGTGTGTAAGCGATGTAAACCATACGTACAGGCATGGGTCTTATCTTGTCGAAGGTCTTTGTGTATAACTTGCATTTATTCATATTTTGCCCTATGATTTCATTGATTTGATTCGAATTCGAGATCATTTCATTCTACTTAAAATGAAGACTTAATAATAACAGCTTTATATAAAAGAAATTGGAACAGAATTTTTAATTACCCATCGTACAGCGGGAAGTTTTTGTGACCAAACAGTTTTATGATGTTATCCTAAATATTTAACTGTTTCTAAAGTTTTAATGATCTATCTTACGCAAGGTGTTTTTATAAGCTAACTAACATATACATTGTCTATATTAATGTCTGTCGAATTATCCATTTAAAACTCTCAGGTTAATACAATGTAAGTGAAAATCGGAAAACAGAAACGTAATCAGTCCATGATTGATGTCGTAATGCAATAAAAAAAATCAGTGTGTTCCATGAATAATGGTTTGTCAACTGAGTCTTAAACCACTGAGACCTTTATACTACCAGGTATAAACTGGACACACAAGATGTATGGACGCTTTGGTGTTTTCTTTCTGTTCAAGTTGCACCTGAACTAAATGTAACCATTAACGATATATTTGGTGTGATTCCAGCCCAGGGTATTACTGCATGAGAGGGACCCATGAGTTACTACCCTATATTGGGGCGCCAGGCAGGTTCCTGATGGAGGACACAAGTAGTAAGTATACTGATTTACTCTCGTGTGGGCAAGTCAGCTGAGCACACATATCCCAACAGGTATTCGACTTGAACCTCAAATAAAATTAATAAATGTTTAATTTCTGTTTTGGGCCGTGGAACCTTGTTTGTCAAGACTTCATTAATAGGAAAGGCGTTCGGTACCTCAGTTGTACATTCTTTATTCTGGACACAGAATCCACAGTGTTATATGATGATATGTTTATTGACTTTAAAATCATTTCATTTACATTATAGCATTCAATAACGGTAGATTTTCTGTTGTATAACATGTCATTGTCATTAACACGGCAAAGTACAAAGCATTGCACGTTTGCAATACCTTTATATAAGTTATAGAGCGTACAGATGTGTTTGGGATTGGTTGAAAACATATCTTTATATATCTTTGAAGCTATGATAATGGTACACTGTATTTACTTAGTACAACGCGGTATAACAGTGTTACTTTTCTCTTACGTAATAACTAGGTTAACTATTGTTACTGTAATACAATCTTGCTATAACTTTGTTACTATGGTTTTGCTATGTTAATATGTGGTGTTGTGTTACTATGGCGTGTTTTTGTTACTATGGTATTGTTGTGTTACTATGTGGTGTTGTGTTACTATTGCGTGTTTTTGTTACTATGGTATTGCTGTGTTATATGGTATTACGATGTTACTATGGTACTGATGCGTTACTCCGGCATTGCTGCGTTACTATATGATGATGCTGTGTTACCATGGATTTGTGATGTTACTTAGGTACCGTTGCGTTAGTCTTGTATTGCTGTGTTACTATGGTGATGCTTTGTTACTGTGGTGATGCTGTGTTACTATGGTGATGCTGTGTTACTATTGTGATGCTGTGTTACGATGGAATTGCGATGTTGTTATGTTACTGTTGGGTTACTTTAGTATTTTACTGATACTTCGCATGTTTTACAGATGTATTCCAGGTGGTGGATACGGACTACAATACTTACGCCCTAGTCTATATCTGTTACGGACAGCGACTGAAGCAGGGATACTGCCACATGAGTAACATGCACGTGTCGCTGCTAAGTAGACACCCGTCCTCTGACTTCGCGGAGCGGGACATCATCCAACATATCAGTAACCGATGTATTACCAGGAAAGACCTTGTCCGGGCCCCAGAGGTCGGTATGTACTGCAGCACTGGTATATTAACCTGAAGTAATTTCACACCTACGTAACGGACACGGTAATTTAGACATTTCATCTGTTTTTGTATAAGCTCCAGTTCTAACTAACTTGTAATAGAATACAGACGGAATGATATAGATGTGTAAGTGTAAACATGATTGGTTTCGTTATAGTAATATAATTGCTGAATGATATTCGCTGCTTTACGAAATGTTATTTTAAACGATGATTGTTATAGTCATGTCTTTTGAATGTGCACTGCGGCAATTTGTTCCGTGAACGATTGAATGTAACAACGATGAATGATAGCTAACGTTAGAAGTCTGTTATATTCATGGCAAATGTAAACAATTGACGCTACGTTACGACAGATTAACGGGGTTTCCTGAACGATGGATGTTTGTGAACGATGTTTATATATAGCTGACAATCTTGTCTTTCCTGAATGATTAAAATGATGATCGTTCGAAGTTGATGTGTGTAAGGTATTAATAATGGCTTTTCGTCATAAAATTATATTCATAAATGGTTACGTTAGAGAAAGTAGCAAGTTAACTTGTTAATGCCATATTTTACGTTTAATCATAAATATTTACCATCGTATGGCATTGCCACTATATAACCCTTCCAAATTCAATTGGCATTCATATAGGCTATGACCCGTTTGTTGATGTCATCATTATTCTGACGTTATAATTGTTACGTTAGAATCCACTGATCCTCCCCTGGCGATGGCTGTTCTATTCATTGAGCAAGCATACACGATACTTTCATTATTTGAACTTAATGCTAAATAATACATGAAATTTACTTTTTTATGAGAGGAACAAATTTCAAAAATGGTAAATGTAAGTATTGAACTGCTTTCAGTTGGCGTTCATTGGCAATATGAATTCAAACAGGATATAAAGGCAAATTCAATTAAGCGCGTGTTTATCCAGTTAGAATTCATATTGCCTATGCATGCCAATTGAAAGCAGTTCAATGCTAAAATACTGCAGATAGTGCTATTCATTGATGGCGATATGGTGGTAATATGATCAATGACTCTGAAGTTAAGAATTATGTAAGGTGGAGTATGCTAAGTGTTAACGCTATTCATAAATTGTGTATTTTGCATGAAGTTCTGAAGACAATAAGTTACCGATACTGATCAGCTGTGATTGAAAATGAAAATATTTATGAATTGTTCTGACGTGGTAGAATATAATAAATCAACTGCTGTGAGTATACTATGATGGAAATATCATTCAAACTCAAAAATGCATTCAGACCAGTCGATTACTTATAAACGATGAATGTTAAGCATAATTAAAACCCTAATGGCATAACGTTACTGCCCATATTGTAAAACTTGGCTTTAATTACGCATGAGTAACATACTGTATTCGTGAACCGTACATGTTATTACGTAATGTTAACGTTATTCGTTAACTGTGGGTGTTACTGCGTAATTAAACATTATTTGTGAACGATAGATGCTGTTACGTTTCATACATGATTATCAATGTTGCGTTATAGTCGTTTTTACGTAATGTCGCATGTTGCTTATTAATTAAACTACCAGTTACATTTGTTTTCAATACACGCTTTCCATTGGGTATCAACTGAACTGTTGTCATAAGGGCAGATACAGTTAAAAAATAATTAAATATTGGGAACGATGTATGTATCCTTATATTATTTAATTCATACAAATAGTGAAAGACACGAAACATGGGGAGTGCAGCAATTTGAAGAAGCCTGGATGTTCCTGAACAATGTTAACAGGCTAGAAAGTAATGTTATTAACGTTAAGTAACGTTGTTTTATTTTGCAGCGAGCTGTCAGGTATGAAGTATTCATTATACACAGGAAGAGCATCAGCATCACATGTCAGACTACCATCGAAGTGAGGGAGAGCAGACACATGTATATCATCTGTATAGCCATGACCATCTCAATAAAACCCTAGTAACTCGTTACCACTGTTGTGTTATCATTTATTAATATACTAGGTATTGGATAATCGGGTCTATGTCATTAAAAAAAGACAACAGGGTTTTAAACGAGTTGTAAGTATAATGAACCAGTGCCCTTCGGCTCACCATGCAGGAGACCTTCCATATAACGTCACACACCTGTTATAAGTGCTGTTTACTCTCTATCACAACAGTGAGAGTTGACTGGCCTTTTATCGACAACGGGTTCTGTTAAATTTCTAATAACGAATTTTTACCGAGAATCTAGAAACTGATTCGAACTGAAGTGTGTAGGTATTGAGTAGACTGGGGACATACAGTATGTAATCCCGTGTTACTTGTACATGTAAATCACAGCTTTCCGTTATGAATGTTCACCGCTAACGGGTAGATACCCTATGAGTTTGACAAACATACCGAAGGCCTGATGTCCTTTTAAACCTTTGTTAATAAGAATAGACTATAGAATGTATAAAATGTCAGCACCTTTATATCAACTATAGCACATTTGATGCGTATAACTCAGTATGAATTACAAACGATATATAATAGAAAATAGTGAATGACGCTTCACGTCAACTCTTTACCGTTATTATAAAGCTCACACCTCGTTAACTGCCAAAGATCCGTACGTCATACCTCGGTAAGCCTGTGTCACTCTGACAGAAACATCCTTATGGATCTGTCGAACATTCAAGAATGAGAAATCCTTATTGCGGTTTCCACGTGTAGACTGGATCATCATCGACGCGGTAAGACGTAGAACATCAGCTTTAAAAGATGTTTCCAAAATGTTAAAGCTACATTTTCTCTATACCCGAGTTCTAATCCTAAGAACATGCTTTGCATACGAGTCATAGACATTCAAAGTTTTTAAACCAGAGACAGTCTTGTGTGCAAGATCAATACTTTCACAATCTTAAGCCGAAGACATCAACATTAAAGACATGGAGTTAAATAAAATGCTGTGACACCCAGCGATAAGACGATATGTGATGTTAGCGTCCTCTCAACATTCTGACGAATCGTCCGGGATTACACGTTATGCCTTGACGTGTCACGATTAGACGTCGTTAGTATCTAGTCCACCTGTAAGCTCGGACAATGTGTTGTGGTACCTCCTCTCTGTGGGTGAGGTTTGCTCTAGCCCTCATCATCATCGGGTTTATATTCGAGACGGTGGGTTTCGCAACAGCAACCTGGATGTTCAACAACACAAGTGGCGAGACAAGGGTAGGACTGTGGATCTCCCAGACCTGTAGTGGATCCGTGTGTACCGACTCCGAAGTACCGTCCTCCTACAAAGATGGTAAGTACACCTGTCTTTACCAAGTCCGACGTACCTTGTCCTACAACGATTGTAAGTACACTTGTACATACCAAACTCTGACAACTTGGTGTTCTACAAAAATGGTACTTGTGTAAGTTAACCTGTCATTATCGACACTGATGCCCAATCTTCCTACAAAATGGTAGATTTATCTGTCTATACTTAGTCTGATGTTCCGTCGTCCTTCAAACATTGTAAGCACACCCGTCTTTACTGACTCAGATGAACCGTTGCCTTCCAAAGATGGTAAGTACACATGTACCGACTCGGAGTAACATAGTTCTACGTCGACGGTAAGCACGCCTGTCTTAGCAAACTATAGGGTATCGTTGTTCTACCATATAGTAAATACATCATACTATAGTATTCCCTATCCCACATAATATGACATTTAAGGGCACTGTAAAAAGGCCATTGAGTGGACAACATCGTCAAATAATCTGATGCAAAGATAAAAATACTCAATTAGCATACGCTCAAGTATATTTCTCGGTAAATAATTATGTGTTACAACACATAGAAGTAATAAACATATACAATGCAATACCATTATGATTGTTTAAATTTTCAAATATATGGTGCTATGCACAACAACATTATCAGTGTTTAATTCACCTGCAATTCAATCGTATGTTTCCTTTCTACAAATACATCGGAGCAATTTAGAACCACTCTAATGAGTCATCAATGAAATGTTTTGTCATAAGGTACAATCAATATTGACCTCGTGTTGCTTTCTGCATCGAGTTACTATGTTTTATCTGTGCTTCCATATTTCAAAAGAGTATTCATCGTGAACTGATTCAAGCCATATTTAAGTCTATTTTGTATTCAACTTCTAATACATAGGCTGCAGACACCCCACCTCGTAAACAAGCAGGACCTGGGTTCTTCCGTCCTACACCAGTTGACAGTTTAGTCCAGAACAGTCAATCAATGGGTGTTGGAGTAATGCACTGTCCCATTACGTACAATAGTGTATGTTATTTTTGAGGGTAAAAATTGATGACGGAGTTAAACTATGGTCATGTATTTGGTTACTCGTTTACATTATAACAAACAGACCGCTATTCCCTTTACTATTAATTTATTTTATTGGGACATAACATAAAAGAAATCTTGAATGTTTACGGCAACTGTATGATAGTGTCGATCAGTTAGATAATGGTTCGGAGAATTTAAATAAAATTCTCTTTTGTCAAATCACAAGTTTGTAAAGGTAACCCCGGGAAATTAACGATCAATGTCAAACCTTGTGGTTATAGTCAAAACTAACAATCATTGACTTAACTAAATGTAACAGTCAAATCTAACGTAAAGGATCAATACCAAAACCATGGATCATAGGAAAAACTTACGGTAATTGTTAATATTACCGATCCAAGTCAAAAATAACGATCAAAGACAAAACTAGCCATCACATTGAAAATGATGATCATTGCTGAAACAAATAATTATTGAAAAAAAATAACAACACTTTTATCATTCAATACTTGACTGACAAGGTTCTCCTATCGGAATATATCTTTTATTCCTTTGACCCTAAAATAATCACTAGAAGAATGAAGTGAGGAAGCTTCGTTTCAACATTTAGTTTGTCGAGGATGCCGAAAGTCAAACGAAGCATACATCTATATGAATGATGTTGTTCCATCCCCATTAAACATGTGGAAGGAAACCCATTCCTACAATCGGTTTGTTGATGGAAATATTGATCTAGTACATGATAACATTTTTCCGTTTTGTCTTATACTTTTACTCATTACAATGAGCTAATGTTGCCAATACGTGAGATGGGCTTAATTTTGGTTAGTATTGCTGTATCGAGCATCACCAATCTGAAATAGAAATATATTGTAATGAACATGCATTATGCAGTACAAAATATTCAAAAATATGTCTAAATGTCTATATACATATGTATGTATTGTGATATGAAATGCCAAATAAAGGATTTATTAATGAAATATATATCTAATATATCAATATATCTTAATGTTCATTTGTATATCGTAGTTACAAAACACTCCAAGAATATAATTTAATATATCAGTATGTATTGTATGTATAAACAAATTATATCTTAATGTTCCTGTTTATGTATAGGTGTTCTTGTTGACAATAAGATTTACTTACGTACGTTGGAGTTAAAGTAAACAAGTTTTACTTACGTACATTGTAGGTGTTAATTAATGTAAACAATAAGTTATACTTACTTGGATGTTCATGTAGACGTAAAACTTACATAGGTGATCTTGTAGACAATACGTTTTACTTACCTATGTGTTAACGAAGACAATAAGTTATATTCAGGTAGATGTTAATGTAGACAATAAGTAATACTTTGGAAGTAAGACAATAAGTTAATCTAACCTATGTGTTAATGTAGAAAATAATTATATTCAGGTAGATTTTAATGTAGACAATAAGTAATACTTTGGAAGTAAGACAATAAGTAAATATAACCTATGAGTTAATGTAGACAATAAGTTATATTCAGGTAGATGTTAATGTAGAAAATAAGTTATATTCAGGTAGATGTTAATGTAGACAATAAGTAATACTTTGAAAGTAAGACAATAAGTTAATCTAACCTATGTGTTGATGTAGACAATAAGTTATATTCAGGTAGATGTTAATGTAGACAATAAGTAATACTTTGGAAGTAAGACAATAAGTCAATATAACCTATGTGTTAATGTAGACAATAAGTTATATTCAGGAAGATGTTAATGTAGACAATAAATTATATTCAGGTAGATGTTAATGCAGACAATAAGTTATTTTCAGGTAGATGTTAATGTAGACAATAAGTAATAATTTGGAAGTAAGAAAATAAGTTAATCTAACCTATGTGTTAATGTAGACAATAAGTTATATTCAGGTAGATGTTACAATGTAGACAATAAGTTATAATCAGGTAGATGTTACAATGTAGACAATAAGTAATACTTTGGAAGTAAGACAATAAGTAAATCTAAATATATTACTGTAGATAATAAGTAATACCTACGTAGGTTTGATATCGACAATAAGTACGGTAATATTGTCCTGTAATACTTATGTAGATAATAGCGAGTGTCATATCACTCTAAAGACACAGTTGATTGGCCCCGTCAACTGTAGATATATGGCGTTAACAGTCGTGAAGTCAAAACATTCCTATTAGTGACGAAGTTATGTATATGTTGTAGACAAGTTTCGGGCTACCCAGGCTGTGGAGATATTGGCCTTCATCCTGTACGTGATCGCACCATTCCTCATTGGGGCATTTGTCTTCTTTGAGGCGACCAGGAACCAGAGGATGGTCATAGTGTGTATGGTCGTCTGTTTCGTTATAGGTGAGTACACTACCCCGTCTGTTTCGTTATTGGTGAGTACACAATCCTGTCTGTTTCGTTATAGGTGAGTACACTTCCCCGTCTGTTTCGTTAAAGGTGAGTACACTACCCTGTCTTTTTCGTTATAGGTGAGTACACTACCCCGTTTGTTACGTTATAGGTGAGTACACAACCCAGTCTGTTTCGTTATAGGTGAGTAGTACACTACCCCGTCTGTTTCGTTTTAGGGGAGTACACAACCCCGTCTGTTTCATTATAGGTGAGTACACAACCCCGTCTGTTACGTTATAGCTGAGTACACTACCCCGTCTGTTTTGTTATAGGTGAGTACACTACCCCTTCTGTTTCGTTATAGGTGAGTACACAGCCCCGTCTGTTTCGTTATAGGTGCGTACACAACCCCGTCTGTTTCGTTATACGTGAGTACACTTCCCTGTCTGTTTCGTTATAGGTGAGTGCACTGCCCCGTCTGTTTCGTTATAAGTGACTAAACTACCCCGTCTGTTTCGTTATAGATGAGTACACAACCCCGTCTGTTTCATTATAGGTGAGTACACTCCCCTGTCTGTTTCGTTATAGGTGAGTGCACTCCCCCGTTTGTTTCGTTATAGGTGAGTACACTTCCCCGTCTGTTTCGTTATTGGTGAGTACACAACCCCGTCTGTTACGTTATAGCTGAGTACACTACCCCGTCTGTTTGTTATAGGGGAGTACACTACCCCGTCTGTTTGTTATAGGTGAGTACACTACCCTGTCTATTTCGTTGTAGGTGAGTACACTACCCTGTCTATTTCGTTGTAGGTGAGTACACTACCCTGTCTGTTACGTTATAGGTGAGTACACAACCCAGTCTGTTTCGTTATAGGTGAGTAGACTACCCCGTCTGTTTCGTTATAAGGGAGTACACCGCCCCGTCTGTTTCGTTATTGGTGAGTACACACCCCTGTCTGTTTCGTTTTAGGTGAGTACACTACCCCGTCTGCTTCGTTATAGGTGAGTACACAACCCCGTCTGTTACGTTATAGGTGATTACACAACCCTGTCTGTTTCGTTTTAGGTGAGTACACTACCCCGTCTGTATCTTTATAGGTGAGTACACTACTCCGTCTGTTTTGTTATAAGTGAGTACACTACCCCGTCTGTTCCGTTATAGGTGAGTACACTACCCCGTTTGTTACGTTATAGGTGAGTACACTACCCTGTCTATTTCGTTATAGTTGAGTACACTACCCCGTCTGTTTCGTTTTAGGGGAGTACACAACCCCGTCTGTTTCGTTATACGTGAGTACACTTCCCTGTCTGTTTCGTTATAGGTGAGTGCACTCCCCCGTCTGTTTCGTTATAAGTGAGTACACTACCCCGTCTGTTCCGTTATAGGTGAGTACACTACCCGGTCTGTTACGTTATAGGTGAGTAAACTACCCCGTCTCGTCTGTTTCGTTATAGGTGAGTAGACTACCCCGTCTGTTTCGTTATAGGGGAGTACACTACCCCGTCTGTTTCGTTGTAGGTGAGTACACTACCCTGTCTATTTCGTTATAGGTGAGTACACTACCCCGTTTGTTACGTTATAGGTGAGTACACAACCCAGTCTGTTTCGTTATAGGTGAGTAGACTACCCCGTCTGTTTCGTTATAGGGGAGTACACTACCCCGTCTGTTTCGTTATAAGGTAGTACACTGCCCCGTCTGTTTCGTTATAAGGGAGTACACCGCCCCGTCTGTTTCGTTATTGGTGAGTACACAACCCCGTCTGTTTCGTTGTAGATGAGTACACTACCCCGTCTGTTTGGTATAGGTGAGTACACTACCCCGTCTGTTTCGTTATAAGTGAGTACACTGCCCCGTCTGTTTCGTTATTGGTGAGTACACAACCCTGTCTGTTTCGTTATAGGTGAGTACACTACCCCGTCTGTTACGTTATAGGTGAGTACACTACCCCGTCTGTTTCGTTATAGGTGAGTACACAACCCTGTCTGTTTCGTTATAGGTGAGTACACAACCCTGTCTGTTACGTTATAGGTGAGTACACTACCCCGTCTGTTACGTTATAGGTGAGTACACAACCCTGTCTGTTACGTTATAGGCGAGTACACTACCCCGTCTGTTTCGTTATAGGGGAGTACACAACCCCGTCTGTTTCGTTATAGGTGGGTACACTACCCCGTCTGTTTCGTTATAGGTGAGCAAACTACCCCGTCTGTTTCGTTATAGGTGAGCAAACTACCCCGTCTGTTTCGTTATAGGTGAGTACGCTACCCCGTCTGTTTCGTTATAGGTGAGTACACTTCCCCGTCTGTTTCGTTATAGGTGAGTACACACCCCCGTCTGTTTCGTTATAAGTGAGTACACTGCCCCGTCGGTTTCGTTATTGGTGAGTACACAACCCTGTCTGTTTCGTTATAGGCGAGTACACAACCCTGTCTGTTTCGTTATAGGCGAGTACACAACCCCGTCTGTTTGTTATAGGTGAGTAATCTACCCCGTCTGTTTGGTTATAGGTGAGTACACAACCCCGTCTGTTTCGTTATAAGTGAGTACACTGCCCCGTCGGTTTCGTTATTGGTGAGTACACAACCCTGTCTGTTTCGTTATAGGTGAGCACACAACCCTGTCTGTTACGTTATAGGTGAGTACCCTACCCCGTCTGTTTCGTTATAGGTGAGTACACACCCCCGTCTGTTTCGTTATAAGTGAGTACACTGCCCCGTCTGTTTCGTTATTGGTGAGTACACTACCCCGTCTGTTTCGTTATAGGAGAGTACAATACACAGTCTGTTTCGTTATAGGTGAGTACACTACCCAGTCTGTTTCGTTATAGGTGAGTACACAACCCCGTCTGTTTCGTTATAAGTGAGTACACTGCCCCGTCGGTTTCGTTATTGGTGAGTACACAACCCTGTCTGTTTCGTTATAGGTGAGTGCATTGCCCCGTCTGTTACGTTATAGGTGAGTACACTACCCTGTCTGTTTCGTTATAGGTGAGTACACTGCCCCGGCTGTTACGTTATAGGTGAGTACACTACCCCGCCTGTTTCGTTATAGGTGAGTACACAACCCCGTCTGTTTCGTTATAGGGGAGTACACTACCCCGTCTGTTTCGTTATAGGAGAGTACAATACACAGTCTGTTTCGTTATAGGTGAGTACACTACCCTGTCTGTTTCGTTATAGGTGAGTACACTGCCCCGTCTGTTTCGTTATAGGTGAGTACACTTCCCCGTCTGTTACGTTATAGGTGAGTACACAACCCTGTCTGTTACGTTATAGGCGAGTACACTACCCCGTCTGTTTCGTTATAGGAGAGTACACAACCCTGTCTGTTACGTTATAGGTTAGTACACTACCCCGTCTGTTACGTTATAGGTTATAGGTGAGTACACAACCCCGTCTGTTTCGTTATAGGGGAGTACACAACCCCGTCTGTTTCGTTATAGGGGAGTACACAACCCCGTCTGTTTCGTTATAGGGGAGTACACTACCCCGTCTGTTTTGTTATAGGTGAGTACACTCCCCCGTCTGTTTCGTTATAGGTGATTAAACTCCCCCGTCTGTTTCGTTATAGGTGAGTACACTTCCCCGTCTGTTTCGTTATAGGTGAGTACACTCCCCCGTCTGTTACGTTATAGGTGAGTACACTGCCCCGTCTGTTTCGTTATAGGTGAGTACACTTCCCCGTCTGTTACGTTATAGGTGAGTACACAACCCTGTCTGTTACGTTATAGGCGAGTACACTACCCCGTCTGTTTCGTTATAGGAGAGTACACAACCCTGTCTGTTACGTTATAGGCGAGTACACTACCCCGTCTGTTTCGTTATAGGAGAGTACAATACACAGTCTGTTTCGTTATAGGTGAGTACACTACCCAGTCTGTTTCGTTATAGGTGAGTACCCAACCCCGTCTGTTTCGTTATAGGTGAGTACCCTGCCCCGTCTGTATCGTTATAGGTGAGTACACTACTCCGTCTGTTTCGTTATAAGTGAGTACACTACCCCGTCTGTTTCGTTATAAGTGAGTACACTGCCCCGTCTGTTTCGTTATTGGTGGGTACACAACCCTGTCTGTTTCGTTATAGGTGAGTGCATTGCCCCGTCTGTTACGTTATAGGTGAGTACACTGCCCCGTCTGTTACGTTATAGGTGAGTACACAACCCTGTCTGTTACGTTATAGGCGAGTACACTACCCCGTCTGTTTCGTTATAGGTAAGTACACTACCCCGTCTGTTTCGTTATAGGTGAGCAAACTACCCCGTCTGTTTCGTTATAGGTGAGTACACAACCCTATACATTTCGTTATCGGTGAGTACACTATCTTTTCAGTTAGGATAACTTACTGTTTTGATTCCACCGAGACGATAAAAGATTGTGAGAACTGGCCAATATTGTTTTAGCTTTGTGATTGAAATACTATTCCTTTATTTGAGTCAAGTCTGGCATTATAATCTAAATCCGTCAATACCGAGTCGTTAGCAGTCAGGCTAGGAATACTACACGATCACCACAAAATGAGGAGTTTGTCTGTTTAATACTGTACACGTGGACAATCAAATGAAAAGCTTTGAAAGAAACGTTACTCACACTTGCGGACGAGCTGTATGCCGTCTAAAACCAAATTATGATGGTTGTCATTTTCAATAAATCTGAATATCTATATTGGAATTTCAATAAATGAAATTACATATTTATTACACTTTAACATTAACAGCGTGTTCAATATGTGTTCAATAGCCTAACTAACATGTTTTACTACTCTACCCGTTGTAAGGTTGTATAATATACTTTAGGGTGGGTAATAAATCTACACCTTATACCATCTAATGGAGCTCTTTGATGTTCATTATGTATGTAATTCTCAATGTATGGTGAAACAGCTGTTAAACTCGTGAATGCATTCAATTTCAATTACAGACACGTCGATAACAATTTATATGTATATGTGTGAAATCATATACTGTTGATACAGTGCATGATCTTAAATAAGTGTTTGCAGGGTTTTTGATGGCACCGCAAATCATTGACCAAGGTTCAAAAATATATTCAGTAAATCAAATATGCCATAAAAATGCCCTAAAAGACCATAGCTGTAAATAGAACATACAACACCAACAAACAAACAAAGCCATAAGCTAGTAACGAACTTCTCTGTAATATAGGGGATATATGGCAGGTATTCTAGTCCTAATCATTCGTACAATACGTGCATATGTACCACTGTTGAGACTCATACAGAACATGCTAGGCGCTTCCTTACTTCACATTTGTCACAAGGTGATTATCTGCTGGTGGACTATCAGTAGCTAAAATACTTCTTTCAGTATAAATGATCTACTGTACTAGTATCAATAGTTGTGAATTTGTAACATAAAGGCTTTTAGACACGTTTTACGTAAGACATGGATTGTTCATTCTATTAACCTTTGGTACCACTGATGAACCCTATATGGAGTAATGGTCGTATGCTGTAAATGCTTACTTAGTCTGGCTTTCTGTAATGAAGAACAAGATTTTGAAATACAGAAGTTGCATGTTTCCTTAATTAATATTTCGATTATTTTGTGGGAGTAAAACGACACATTATATACAAAAATCGTATGTTTCCGTTATGTTTTGCTTTTATGCCCATCAGATAAAAAAAATATTCTTATCCATGTACTAGTAATACAGTGCCGAAATATTAAATGTATAAGAAGAGCAAATACACCATACCTATTGAACAAAAATGACGAATTGTTCACCGATCATTCAATAAAATGCTCCAGCAGTTACCCAACCTACCTTTTGTATCGTTTCAGGAGCCTTGCTTGGCGCGGGGATGATCGTGTGGATGGTTTACGTCCAGTCACAGGCCGCATTCAGCGCTGGCTACTCCATGGGGCTGACAATTCTAGGCGGGATCCTCGCTGTGTTTGCAGGACTTCTCTTCATTCCGGAAACGGGCGAGGATTACGAATTCGACGACCGTGTAGTCAAAGCACGTGGTGCAACTCCGCAATATTCACGTCATCATTCGTCACGTCGCGTGAACGTGAGGTCTATATCCCCATCTGACGATTCCTCGCGTGGATCGACGCCCGATTACCATTCCTCACGACAGACTAGGAAGACTTATGATTCCATGCCATCTCCCATGGACACCCCTAAAACGTACGACTCCATGCCTGTCCCTATGTCACAGACTGTCTATGATGACGGAGTCTCCACAGGAAGGAACTTCCGGCCGCCGACATATAACGACGTGTCAGGCGTTACGCTGCAGCGAGACCGTGTCGGCATATAATACATAAAACACTTTACATCATTTACATCTTCATCATCATTGCCATATACATGTTAACATTTGAAGGGAAATAAATATTAATAACTCAGTTGTTTTTTAAACTTTTGCTTCTCCTGTAGGTTAAATTAGTGTATCGAAGGACCAACGACATAAATAAGTTGACAATACTTGAAACTGCAAATCCTTGTCCCTAACTTCACTATATCGGTTATTTTGTCTGAATCTGAAAAAAAAGCAAATAACTTGTTTGACATCGCATTGCTAGCAACCAAACCTACACCGTGTTATTCAAAATTAGATTAATCAGTTTGGTAGGAATAATAAATGTTAAGTTTGTTTTGAACACAAGCAGCACAATGCAATTAAAGACTTATTTTTCGAGCTTTCACGAAATCAGCATTCATTATTAATATCGAACTGATGAACCGCTTTCCGAACGTGAGCCCGAGTTTCCTCTGGCCCTGAAACCAGCCTTAGACATTTTGACAGATAGATGTCTGGTCATCTATCTGTCAAAATGTCTATGTTCGGTCTCAGGGCTCAGGGCTAGAGGAAACTCGGGCTTTACGAAGGCTAGATTGAGATATGTCCATGAAGGGTTACTTCCAGGCTCATTGCAAATGCACTGCCCTTAAACACACTTAGGGCTTGTAACATCACAGACAGAGCTGAAAAGCAGATAATAAGAGAAGGAACAAGAGTCATTAACAACACCATTGAATGCTTAAAGACCAAACGTAACAGCATTATCAACAAATTATCAACCATTTTAGACAAAGAAACAGCTGACCAGACCAGGGCCTACTGTATACAACACTGAATAGCAAAATGTAAAGAAAGACAGCGGGAAATGATTGATAACATGCTGAAGAAACAAAAGAACGATGACTTACATCTGTCATTATGTCATCACTATTGTGGCTTATATATGACATTTCGTCTTTTCGCTTTTTCGCCCGCAGAAAGACACCAAGCGGCAAAACGAAATAAGGAAAGACGAAAAAGCGTCAAAGCTAAATAACGCGAAAAGGACTGAGAGAAGACGTCATATTATGTCTACGTTGTGGCGTTATTTTCACTTCGGTTTGGCGTTATATCGTTACTTCGCTTTGGCGGGTTTTCGTCTTTTCGTTATTTCGTTTTGTCGCTTGGCGTCTTTTCGCGAGCGAAAAAGCGAACAGACTATATGCCATATATAAGCCACCATATGTCACACCTAAGTACTCGCCGGTGGAAGAGTTTGTAGCTGCCACAGAGATCGCAGTTTCAAAGCACCCCCAGGCAAAGCCAGACAGGATTGGAGGTGATTGGGGTCCTAAAACGAGCTAAACTACCAAATGACAATCTTGATAACGGAGAAAGAAAGGATATTTATGCATTAAGGAAAGAAGAGTCCATAATAATTCCACCGGCAGACAAGGGCAGAGCAACAGTCTTTATGAATAACGCATATTAGTGTTATACTAGTGTAGGCTGTTTAGTAGTAGTGTTAGTGTTGGTGTTACATTATAACGTTATTAATACAGCAGTCACGTTAGTGTTATTAATGACATACTCTAAAGTAAGCCTTAATTTTAATAATGTCGTATAAAAAAAATCGTCATCTTGATAATATTACTCCGATGTGCAGGTAAGAACTCGCTCTCAGCTTAATAGCGTGATCTTAGGTAAACCGTTAAATAAATAACCTCAATTAAAGCATTCCGTAAGCGTCATAGCGAATTAAGTTATCTCGTCAGGTTTATAACGTCGATAAAAAAAACACCGTCAATATGAGCCATAAGGTTAATAACGTCGATAAAAAAGCTCAATTCCGTGAGACTTCATCTGAATGACACAAATGGAAGATAAAGACAAAACTTTGTTGACAATAACGACGGATCGTGATGTCTTGGGGTGGCCCATTTTCAAGGCAACAAGGGTAAGATTTGTTGGAACTACTACTGAATAACCAAAAGGCCTAAGGTGATGACAATTTGTAAGTAGCATAATGGGATGGAGGGCAATTAAGTTTATTAAATGAATAATCTTGACTCGCTTTCAACATCACAATGGTTAAACGTGCGAAAACATTTTAACTACTTCTTATGAATAACAAATAGGCGTTAGGTGATGATATTGTTGCCTAGTTGTATTACGGAATATAAAGTTTGTTTATGTTCTCAGAGGACACATTTGTTACAATCTTTAAAAGACTTCTTCTGAACTACCAAAGGCTTAGGTGATCATATATGGCCAGTACTTATACTTATCGCTTACGATGTATTGTAAAATTCAAAGTCAGACTCGTTGACACTGTGTTGTCGACCGACAGCGTTTGTGTAGTGGTACTCATCCGCGATACTCCAGGCGCTATGTTCACTTTCGCTCTCTGCACCCACTTGAATATGAGGTAAAAACCCGACAAATCGCTGGGTTGTTGCTTGTCCTTTGAAGATCACAAAGGAGCGACATCCAACTTCAAAGCAAGACAATTTTACCGTTACGCAGCCGAGAGATTATTTTGACAGATAATTAAACTAGTCACCTCGTCTCATTCACAAGGTGACGGAAGACAAGGTGACGGACACTGTGTATTAAATTTTGCTATGGAATAGTCTAGGGGTGCAGAGAGCTAAAGTGAGCGAAAACCCTGTAGTGTTATATTCTCACTGAAAGGCCCGGATATTGCACTATTTTGGTCGTAACTACGGCTATCCAAAAAGATAAAACTGACCACAATGGCTTCAGGTCATGTCATCGTTGAAATATATTTAATGGATTTTAAGTTATCATTTGACTTAACATAAGTCCCGTAAAAATGTTAGATATCAAGAGTTCCACCCACTTGAATTTTTTATCTTAGCTTTGCAAAAACAACATATATCAAAATGTAGGATAATAACTAAGACACATTTTAATAGCAAATCGTATATCTTTAATTAGGCTTTGTGCATGTGTTCAATCGAATGCGCCGAGTTGCCTTGAACGCTTCTATTGCAAAATTCTTTCAAAATTCAAAATCATTGACTGGTTTATCTCTTTCTTTTTCTGTGGAAGACGTTTCTGAATAAAAGGTCACCGTTGCTTTTTGATAAAACAATAAAAGACAAAAATGTGACAAATCAGATACAGGTAATATAAGAGAGGGGTGAAATTTCAGTCGACACCGCCTCTACCTTCGATACTATTTGGCATGAAGAAAATATCCGATGTGTTCCGAGGTTAGAAAATTTGCACTTTGGCCAACGACGAACATGTTTACAAGCTGACAAGCACAATCTAAATTGATTTAACAGAAAAGTAACAACATGTCGACAAGTCTAGACCTTGCAACACAGATCATCAAGTTTGGAGGTCAGGCAAGTGGCAGGGACAAGTTATTCAGGTAATGTTTTTGGCATTCTGAGCATAAAACATGATCTACTACCATGGTCTGCTACCCGGTATGTCTGTTTGACAGTTGTCACATGTAGACCGACAGTTACCACATCTTGATCTTGATCTTGATCTTTATAGGTATAGGGTGACACATCCAAGGAAATTATTACACCGCGCGTGCGTCAAGGACTTTACTTAAGTGGGACCCCCCTTACGATATCACTGAAAGTTTTAGCTGGTTCTTTAGCTGTTTTGATTTTGTTGAAAATATCCGGTGGTAGTAAGTTCCAATCTTTAATTGTGTTGGACATTGACGCAGGTACACATGTATACCTTACATATATACCGCGCATATACAAACTATAACACAGTTTGGTGACACGAAAGCGACCAAACTTAATCTGCTGCACCTGGCCCAGACACCAGACTTGACATTTTGACAGATACAGCTAGTAACCCTAGATGTCTGCATGGTGTGGGCCAGAGAAAACTCGGGCTACTGCACCCATTGCAATAATTGGGATCTTTATCTTTCTTTCTACTCCTAACTACCTTTTATTTCCTAGCGTTTTGCTTGGCAACACCTCACTTTTGGCCTTAATGTTTAGCGTTCTCCCAGGTGAGGAAGGCAATGGGTCCTGTCCCCAGGCCTGGACATACCAAATTCTTTAAAAATGGTAGTTGTTATTCCCTGCTAAATGTTAGCATTAAGGGTAATGGCAACAACTGGTTTACCCGTTGTTGGTATAATGTGACCTGGCAGAATCCTGTGCTATGTGCGTTTGGCTTGGTATTTCAGTGAGATAGCACTATAAAGTCGGCATCAGATCCGAGCTATAACAAGGAGGCAAACACACCAAAATACCCTGTCGCCTTCATACACAAGCACGCATACACTACACACATGGATGCACGTCCTTAAATGACGTTAGCTGTTAATAGGACGTTAAACATAATTAAACCAAACCAATCTGAAATTGGTCTTTTGAGCTATTTTCAGGAAATTTTCTTTTTAAAAGAAAATCTCACAAAGTCGCATTGAAAAGAAGATTGTATCATTATTTTATAAAAAAAAAATGATAGCTGTAAAACTTTAGCTCAACACTGCTATAAATTATATGTCCTCTTCCCTCTTTCAATGTCGCCTTCTACTCCAAATACACTGGAGACCCTAAACCACTTTCCATGGGCATTTTTTGTTTGGTGCCAAAAACAACAGAAGTCAATATATGCTTCAATGCTTCTGCTAGGCATCAAACCAGGCACCGACTAGACTGAGGCAATATTCTCCCTAGCCGAGTCAGAAAAACCACAAAGCCTGGAATACTTCAAAATCACAGGAATCAAATGCTACGTATAATCCTGTATTTATTAAATTAATAGTCACGTTTCACAGTTTGATAATATGGTGTGTCCATACAATTTAAGGATTGATAGATGGCTTTTCTCAGCCATTCTCGTCAAATAGCAACATGTTTAAAATCTTACAAATGACCTCCCCAAAGAATTACAATGCCCAGAGTAAGGAAATAAGAATTGCCAGACATTATTATGTGTCTCCACTTACGTAGCCTACTTTGGATTCTATCAATATATAATATTATTGTTTATAATCAATCATTGGTTACTAAGGAAAACCAATAATAAGTTTAAATGTATTGAAATCAATTTCTATTACATGTACTACTTATACTTTGGGCAAACTGCTAAAGGATATTTACTTAAACTTGTGTGTATACCTTCAATGATGAAATCTGCTAGTTCTTGTGTACATTTTGGAGTGCTTGGTTGTTATAGTAATGTCATAATTTTACAATGAAGCTGCCAGCCAGTGCTGTGTTAAGCACACAATGCAACAGCTTTTAATTTCTTTTTAAACAATTCAGTTAACCTAGATATGTCAGTTTCATGATGTATCGAACATGTACACAGAAATTAAATTCCTAGCATACACGATGGCTTTTGCTGTATCACAACTGACATTACTGATAACATGGCTGATTTCAAATGTTCAAAAATATGTAAAAATGAAGACCATCCCGTTTATTGACCCTTTGGTTAGATAATATGACATGCAGGGCTAACTTACCCTACCCGGTCTGACCTGATAACAGCCTAGATAAATAGGTATGATCACATTTTCTTTAGGAGAGAAAGGCACTATTATCTAGATCTATCATCTAGTTAGATAACATTTAGATGTAGCCTAGGTTCAAATAGCTCGAACACAGGAGATCCAGTTTAACCGTGAATGAGAAGAGTTAAAATGAATCTTCAGTGTAGTAAGTTTCAGAAGCAAGTTATGAAATTATGTTAGGATGAGTCATAGTAAGGTCAAACACGTACACATTGACAGGTCAAAAAATGGGACTCACTTGTGGGCATATAGGACTGATATAATATCCCAGATTAATTTATAGGGTAGGAGTAGTACATGGTTACTGACCTCACTACAATACTGTGTGTAAAGGACAGCATTGCTATACAGACGGTTTTAAAAACAAGTAAAAAAACACTCAAAGGCAACTTGTCTCACATGTAATATTTTCCAATATATACTTGGAGCAGAAAAATGCTCTAAACTGTTTATTAAACAAATAAGGACATGTAATCTACCACTGGCATTACCAGAGGGAACTAAAGATTTGCACTTTGCCCTTTAGCCTGTGCATGATATATTGTCTGGGACATACCTCACTAACTCTAGATCTCTCACCTATAATTGCCTCTACCAATGGCAGAGTGTTGCATACTAAAAACAGATTTCATGTATCACTATTTTCAAAGTTATGGCCTTTTCTAGTCCCCAACCGGTTCCCAAGGGGGACTATAGGTTTGCACTCCGTCTTTCTGTCCTTCTGTCCCAAGAGGTTTTTTTGGGACATATCTTCTATACTATTTCACCTGGAGTAACTAGATTTGGTGTACAAGGGCATCTTGGGATGGCGGAGTGCACAGAGTTCAAGAATGAGGTCACTGTGACCTATGAATTGACCCTTACTTTTGAAAGTGTTTGTTTGGGCATATCTTCTATACTATTTCACCTGACATAACCGGATTGGTGCAAGAAGTAGGTCACTATGACCTCACAGTGACCTATGCTTACTTTTCCTTGTTTCACTGTGCATCACTTTGTTTGGGGCAAGTCATATACAATGTGAGTACCTCTTGGGATGTTAGAGTGTCACATACTGAGACTGGATCTCATTCCCCACTAGTACTAAACACAGATATGGGCTGAGGTTCATTTTTGATACTGCAAACTTTGTCAAGAGGTAGAAGACTGAGGTGGAAGACTGGATTGTTTGCAACACTCTTCCTTGATTCCATTAAGATTAATATTTATAGATTTTATTTAGACCAAATAAAAGAAATGTTAATTTCCTGTAACCCTTCATACCCTTAACTTTTTTGGCAACTTTCAAGGAAGCATGTACAGTTAATGTCAAGATTACTCTCCTATATTAAGCTTATAAAAGTATTGAAAAGTTTATTTTTGTATGTACCTACCCTAATTTCTTCAGCCATGTAACAGGAAACAAACATGATTTTTTGATAGGCCTCACATACCATATACAGTTTAAATCTTACTATACATCAACATCCTGTTGATAAAGACATCCTACTTTTTCTGGTACAGTGTAGCAAAGTTTGTAGCATTTGTTGGGCTATAGAGACTAAAATGTATATATCAGTTGTATCCATAATGTATAAACATGATACAGACAAGGGAGACTAGTAAGTGTATAAAAGAGGTTCCCCAATGTTTGTAGGTTGGTTATCAGGTTTTCCTCACTCGAGGTATTTCTAAACATTTTCTTCAGGTTGGTAAGTATGGATTATGAAAAGTTCTTTTTACACAACCAATAAGATTTTGTATGTGACACTGTCACCTTCATCAGATAAATGACCAGTGAAGGTTTACGTGTCTTTTAAAATTTGAAAATTAACTTACACGAGTGAGATAAACCTAATAATCAACCATTACCAGCTAGGGGGACCTTTTTTCTCTCACAACATTCAGATATCATTTCTACAGCCATTGGAGACAGATTAGTATGAAAAATGTGGAGTGTAAAATTTGGGAGAATGTAACATACATGTATCATAGAATTGTAAATTCTGATTCGACTTTGGTACATTTGATTTTGACAGACTCATCCAGTATGGCAGTAAATTGGTCGGGTGGCATCTTCAAAAGAATGCCAAAGGCCTGGAGCTTGTGGAGAAACTCAAGAAACTGGAGTCCTCCTTGAGTATGACCAGGAAATGTAAGAATTTCAAAGAATAAGACAAACAAATATTATTCTTTCTGCAGATTTTAAGTTCTTTTTTGTCTTAGCTGCTGTAAAACTCTTCGACATGTTCCAGTTAGAGCCTGCTTACAGAGGCGTTTCTTTATGAATTCATTTAAAATCTAAGCTACCTGTGTATAAAGGCCAGTGAATGAAATACTGTCATAACATGTAAATTAAGGCTAGCCTATGACACCTTTAGTTTTCACACCTGTCGATAAAGACTACTCTGACATACTAATTTATTTTTCTGTAATTGGCAAAATTATGATTTTGTTTGTATATATACATACTATTCATGTTGGAAAAGAATATAAACTCTCATTGTAATAAATATGTAATTGCGTACTTAACTCTCCGGTAGGTTTGTCTCTTGGTTATAATGTATACAGGGACTACCCTTGTCTATTAGTACACTTATGTGTTTAGTATTAGTGTATTGACAGATGAGACTAGCACCTATGATAATGTCTCAGTATTTCTGTTAAAATCTGAATCATTTTTTACAAACCTTAATTCATTAGGAGGGAGGATGATGGTGAGTTCAGATATCTGTTATTGTAGTTGTATTATGGTATGTGTCCTATTGTAGTGCTGCGTATGGGTAAGAGTCTTGACTTTATCATGGCTGCCCTGAAGAGCATCCACATCAAGGACACGGTACTGAGGCTGACGATCACAATGTCAAAGCTCAACCAAGCTTGTTTCCTACTCTTTGACCACATCATTTATGCTCACAATGTTGGACTCATCAGCACCGACAAGAAAAAATGGTCAAACATATCAGCCAGATTCTGGGTGTTCAGCTTGATTCTGAATCTGGCGAGAAACACGTACGACATCATGAACATTGTACAGGAGGAGATGAGACGACAACAACTGCCGAAGAAGCAGGATCAGCAAGTGAATGGGGATACTACCCACAGCAGGCGGAGCTCTAATTCACAAAACACAAACGTTGTCAGGAAAATTGTGATGCAGAATAAACCAGTAATGCTAGATCTGGTTAAAAACTTGGCAGACTTGATTTTACCCCTGAACACTCTCGGAAAGGTGAATGCGTCTGCAGGCACTCAAGGGTTCCTGGGATTGATATCCTCATCCATAGGAATAGCAACAGTCTGGGACTCTTCTCTCAAACTTGTTCCATAATGACAGACTGACAACATTTAGGAAAATACATATAAAATATTCACAAATCAATCAAGATACATGCAAATGTATTCTCAGACTGTCAAAGAAATTTGATATTTGTGTTTTTACAGTAGCACAAGAGTTATGAAATGCTCAAAAATCTATCAAGATATTTGGTACGGTAATTATATATAAAACAAGTTGCTAAGCCTATCTGCTTTGAGATTGGATAGGTAATGGGGTTGCACAAAAGTATAATATTCTGGTTTATTTTAGGCTGCATAAACCAATAGTTGGTAGCATTGATGGCATGATTAAAGAATATTTTATAAGTAGCAGTTTGTTGGACTGGTCAGGTGCCTTTCACCAAGACGGCCAGGGTTTGACTCCCAATTGGATGTAAAAAAACATGCGAGTCCCCGGCATGATCATCCAAGTTTCTCCAGGGTCTCTGGTTTCCTTCTGCATTAAAAACACTTGCGCGCTTCTGTGCTTCCAACCGGGACAACAAGAGTGATTAATCTAACTTCAAATAACTTATTTCATATTGTTGTGAAATAGAAAAAGTTACCGTTTTACATCTTCATCCAATCTAAAAAGTACCAGGTACAAGGTTATATTTTGGTTGAGCTTTGTAAAATGATTCAAACTCCAATTTATGCATCTCACACAGTTCCTGTTTGGGATATGCATTCATTTTAGGATTAGGTATGCTATAATGACAATCAATTGTTGACATAATTTTTTTGTTTCAAATTTTACCATTTTTGACCCTACTTTTTCGTCAAAACTGACTGTTTTGGGTGCAATTCTTTTAAATGATTCTAACTCCTATAAGTATACACCCTACACTCTCTTGAGCATCCAATTGAAATCTAGACTTCCTCTGGTACTGATTTAGATTTAGATTTAGAGGCTTTCATATTGATCTTACTTTATGTGCAAACTTTTTGAAACTAATATATTAACAATTTGCTATGACTGATGCTAGTGAGCTTTGTAGTCGTTGATTGCACTTGTTTCTATTGTGTATTTTATCTTCAGTATTCCAAGCTTTGGATTTTTTTTAAATGATTTCTCAAATGTTTTGAAGCTTGAATTCTTTAAATACTTTTTTAATTTTTTTTTTTTAAATATTTCATAGAAAAAGGAATTGTAGAGAAAGAATGTTTATTTGTCATTCTTATTTCTTTTATATTGTATGTAAGCCTTTGATTGAAATATTTTTAGTTCACATAAAATGATTTGTCAATTAACATATTGTTGTCAGCCTAACAGTAGGAAATTTAAGTATGAAATGATAAGTGCTGTTATGTGACATATAAAGGAAGACTGAGATATTGAAATTCGAGAGAGGATTGAGTATAAAACTGTGATAAAACATCTTCCATAATGTTTGATATGTTTATAATAATAAGTGCCTATCCAGTTTTATATATAGAAAGTAGTATATGTACAGTATGTTCCTACAGTTTTAGATGTTGACCTTGTGATCAGTCTGCAGATGGACAGACACATGTCACATACCATTTTATAAGATTGTGTACAGATGTTTTTTTCTTTTTATATTTCTAGTCCAGAGACTGTACTTTTCAGTTTCTTAAACTGTCATACTATTAGTTACATAAATTTGAATTAGTAGATTGTGTTCTGGTTTCTTTACTGAATCAATGTTTGATATTTGATTTAGATAGTTGTAGCCATGCTTAAGTTCTCACATGTATTCCCTTCAAAGTACAAATTATATATGAAATTAGTGTGTATCTGTCTCTGTGTAAGTAAATACAGTTGTTGCACAGAAATATTGCCAAGAAATCAAATGTATAAAATGTAGTTTATATAGAACATATATACAGTGTTGTATATTATTATGTAACACAATGATGTACTGAATATGATTAAATTGTTATTGATGATATTAGATCATGAAAAAAAGACATCTCATTTTCTTCACATTTCCCTTGTGAATCGATCCTCTCTACATGAACATAATTATGTACAACAGTAGTTTTAACCCTGTGACAGATTATGTCTGTGATTTATGTTTTATTTTTATTATAACATTATAGTACAAAGTCTCTAGTGGTTCTTAGCTAAGCAGAAAATAGTTCAGTTTGTGGAGGTGACACATTCTACTAGTTAGAGGCCAATCGATTACACAAATGATTGTCATGCATGAAATTGATTCCTAGCTGGGAATGAAAACTGGTAAATCCTGTAGCCTTGTCACCAGAATAATACTGTAGTGAAATATTTACGAATATACTGTATTGTTACCTATCTACTATAACAGTTTTGTTGTAAATGTATATCCATATACCGGGTATTCCTATTAATTTTATGTTTGAAAATGATCTCATTGTTGTTGATTAATTTATTACTGTTCCGATATTAATAGGATCTTTTTATTTAAATAGTATATATTGATTCCATTGAATTTTCTTTTTTAAAATAATTTATCAAGTTGATATATTCACAGTCTTTTATGTATTTAATGCTTTCATTTATACATTAATATTTATCAAATCTTGTTCTTTCCATCACAATATTTACGAAGCAAGTTACTGAAGTATCATTCATGACATGTTCAGTGTATATTCGGCAAACAATTGTATATATTGTTTCAATGTATGCTGATACTACAGACATAATATACTTGTTGTCACCTTCAGATGTCCTGTGCTATATATCTAGGTTATACGTGATATATATACATGTATGTTTTCAGTGACACAACACAAATATGGGAAAAAGCTACTTCAGACATACATGTATTCGATAAATCTGCTTATGTTATATACAGGATAAAGGCACCAGATCTAATGCATTAAATCAGTACTTTATATGTATTACAAGTTATTTTATAACTGCTTTAAATCTGTTGCAGTTAAGGAGATTATTTTGATGTAGTGTTCTGTAACATGTTTTACTGATGAATGCTATAATCATTTTTCCTGTTACTTGACACAATAATTACTATCCTAGGTATGTGAAACACAAGTATACAAACATGATAATGCATTACCTGTGGAATTTAATTTCTTAGTCAACCTTATAAGTCAGATATCATCAGCACAATTCCCAGTACATAGATGTATTTAGTGTACTACATTACCATTCAAATGCTTTATTAAAGGTTCGTTACAGAAGTATAAAGACATCTTGTCTATGTAGTAGTGCCGTCTTTTACAATGTTCAATGACTGTGTTGTAAATCAAACCTCTAACAAGCCCATTGATACTGTAAACTAGCTAGTCACTAACAAGTTGTCTGACTACAATTGTAGGATTTCAGTGCTCTTACCACTTAATCAGTACTCTAACTGTAGTCGTCAACTAGTGTTCTAACTTTCGTGTTCTAGCTAGCCGATATATTTAGTGCACTAACACTGCCAGTTAATGAGGTAACTAACTAAACCTAGTCAGCCTAGTGCTCTTATTCTACCAAGTTTTAAGAAGAAAGTAACTAGCAAGATCTCATACTTGTCAACCGTCCCTAGGAGGGAGACTCCCTCATTTTGACCAAAATTGATCAATNACCAGGTTAGTGAGATAACAAACTGGACCTTGTTAATTAGTACACTTACATGTAATTACTGCCACCAGGTTAGTGAGATAACAAACTGGACCTTGTTAATTAGTACACTTACATGTAATTACTGCCACCAGGTTAGTGAGATAACAAACTGGACCTTGTTAATTAGTACACTTACATGTAATTACTGCCACCAGGTTAGTGAGATAACAAACTGGACCTTGGTAATTAGTACACTTACATGTAATTACTGCATTTAATTGTAACAACATAATCATTACATTGTGTAAAATCAACAAAATGTAATACCCGGTAAACATCTTAAATATCTATACAAACTTTTCATTATATTAATATTTTTTCTTAACTGTGGGAATCGTAGCTGGTAAAATAATGTGCATTTCACATAATGTCATGTTGTTTTATGTTACTTTTCAGTTAATATCATGTTTTCTTAAAACGCTGTTTTTCCCTCTGTGTTGGTGGGGAAATGAGCCACTGTTCCTGAAGCAACAGTTTTCTATACATGGTGACCATCAGTGTTCATTATTAAATGCCAATAAATAAATCAACGAAAATGATGGTGCAAGTACAAGTATATATTCAGTGTTGGTGAGGTGTGATAGAGAATGAGGAATGTTCAGGTTTGTGTAATGTGATGTACATTATGTAACATAAGCTATATTTTCAAAGGTAAGCCCTTTGTTTTTATGCTGTACTAATATATCATATGCAAACTTTTCCAACAAATGATAATTAAACAACTGATCAAAGTATAAAATATTTGTTTTATTATTTTTTTAATTGGCAAGATTAGTAATGTACACATCCAACAAGAGTAAAGACTTACATATTAATGTGTGATCTAAGATGATTGTCACATTCAATCAACCTCTGGATGGCTCTCCGAGACCAAACATGTAGAGAGTCGGGTAGGATTGGTCAAAGAAGAGTTTAGCAAGAACAGACACTGTTATGTTCATTTAAGGCAGTTAGTTTACAAGTATGTCAGATGACAACAGGAATTGGACATGATTTCGGGGTGAGATTAGCATTCAAGGAGACTTCCTGTCCATAAACATTCTTTGACACAAACAACTAATACAGAAGTAACAATCAAATCAATCATGGCAGACAGACTTCCAATGGTATCCACAGTGTTGCAGTGTTATTGCTGAAGAAGTCATTATGGAATCTGATGAGTTTTACCAAGTTTCTCTTGCTGTTACATGCCAGAAGTAAGACTTTCCCAAAAAAACAAAAAGTTTAGCCAATCAGAGCTAATAACCAATTTTTGTTATGTTTCATTTTGTGTGACCAATTCGACCAGACTGTTCATGTGGAGGTTTGTGAGTCCGTGTTTGAACTAGGCTCAATCTACATGTATGACAGAAGCGTGCTACCGTATTGTAACGAGCATCGCCTGACCAAAAGAAATCCACACTAATAAACCTGAGAAACATCTTGAGATGGTAATTTGAACTTCGAGGCACACAGGGATGTAGGCTATGATAACACTGCAGCACATGTACTTTTTAATTATGAAATACTGCTTATTGATTTATAAAGGGAGATAACTATGAAAAAATTACAGACATGTCTAAAGTAGCATATATCCTCAAGGGAGATAATTATAACACAAATCACATGTATAATGTGTAAGGTAGCATACATCCTTAAGGCAACTAACTCTTAACATTAATTAAGATATGTGTATGGTAGCATACGTCCTTAAGGCAACTAACTCTTAACATTAATTAAGATATGTGTATGGTAGCATATATCCTGAAAACACAACATTGAACCCCAATAGTCTTGGGTAAAATAACAACAAGAATAACTCAACACTCTCATTGTAATGCTGAGGAGGATCTGGACTCAACTGTACAGTATGAAGGGGAAAAAGAAACTATTTAGTTAACTGTATAAGTGGTAAATCTAAAATTTCTCAAAAAGTTGGCAACTGTGATCATACAGACTCCCAAACATTGAATACCTAATGTTATAGCAAAGGAAGTTTTTCAAAAACAGCATCTGGTATAAAATCTTTTTTTTCAAATCCTAGATATTTGGAATATTACTTAAAAGTAATAAATACATACTATTATATAAAATACAGTTGTCTGTTTTAAGGTTTGATATCATATTAATATTGTAAAGCAATCAGTTAATTTTTTTATATCCTAGTGCAGAACAAAGCTCACACATTGCTATAAATAACAAGTTTAAGAAGTCATGTTAAAACATTAATAAAATGTAATATTACAAACATTGAACTGTTAATCATTATAAACGTTTTTTGTAAAAGTAAAAAAATCTCAATACAAAATTGATCATGACATTAAGAATGATCTACTGAAGAAAAACAAAAATCCCTGACAACATTTATTGCTTTGGTTTATGAGCAGCAAAAGTATACTCAACTTTCTTAACATTGCACAATCCTGCCTGGATAATGACATGTAACAAACAAGTCAAAAATTAAAAACCATCAACTCTATTTAAAATGTAAAATGCAAGACAGCTGAACAAACACCGACAACAAACTCTTATATTAAATGGAAATACTGTATTGACCATTCAGTGAACAGATGTGACTCAATGTTGAACCTATGGTTAGTCTTTTTACGTTGTAGATGTCTATCATATTTCATAAAAATCCATTAAAACTCAAGGATGTTATTGTATGGAAACAAAAAGTTAACAGATGGACTGAGGTCATACCATCGTACCTTGTCAAGATTTTTGACAGGGATATAACAAGGAATCATCTAAAATAATCAATATTTGATATGTATTACAAGACCATTCGATGTATATGCAGTTTAGTTAACTGTAAAGCAAACATTTAACTCATTATATGTCAATTAAAACTTAAAATTAAATTCTTTAAAAATAACATCAATTATCATTGCTTGATTACAAATAAAATTACAAAGTGTATAAAAAAGTGTCATTAGTGACAAGAATTCTGGCAGTTATGATCATCAATTTATTGATTTCTTCTATTACGTAAATTATACTTTCTCGATTCTGTGATGTCTGCTGAAGAATCCCTTTTATCATACATCAATTCTTTGTCCTGAGAGTCTGAGAGTTCCAGCACAGCTCTCCCATTATGGACTGTACTGACTTCAGATTTTGTTGGCATGGTGACACACCTGTACGCATACAGGTGAGGGACGATGAAGAGAGCTCCATTGATGACCCAGAACAGTAAGTTATTACCTTGAGGAAGCTGCGAGGCGGCTGGTGTGTATGGGTGGATGGAGGCCCCAATAAAGGAGAACTGGCCCTGTGGGGACAGACAGAGCTATTTTTACAGTTATGAAGTAAGCAAGCTAGTGGGAATACATCAACTATGATAATTTGTTATTACATGATATATTTTATATCTATATTGGTGTTACATTTAACAGAAATATGATTTCTGTTCCCACCCATATGGGAAAATTTTACACCTTTAGACAATAGCATCAGCAAAGACACCATAGATTTTGATATTGTATTACATGCATGGAATATCAATATTAACGTACCTCGCCTGAAGCTCCAGCCATTATCAGTGACCAGTCAACCACCCATGATTGACCACTCGGATACAGCAGATCGAAGATGACCAGCACATAGTAGGGCACAAAGTAGAACAAATACAGCAACATCTGGGGAGGAGTCAAGGTCAAAGGTTAACAGAGGACCTAACATACCGTATCTGTGACAAAAGTAACACAAATGGGACACTATCTCTGATGTGCCTGTAAATATTTCTAACTACTGAACAGCTTTAAATTTTGAAATACATTTTAAAATAAATATATATTATCTTAAAGTACCAAGTTTCAACACTAACACTACACCAATTAAAACTCATGGTAAAAGTTGTAAATACTATCAAAAGGCAATTTTGTCCTCACACAATCTTCCATGCAATACATTTGAGCAAGTAAGTAGCCAGATATCACAACATAAGGTATTTTGGTTTCTCAGAAGTTGTTTGAGCTTTTTTTTTTATAGAACTGACTTCTGTGAGCTTGAAATAAGGAACGTGTGTAAAGGATTTTTTTGTTTTTTGTTGCAAACTTTGCTGTTGTCCAAATTATGACAAGGCTTTTCATTTCTTCAGAAGAAGTGGTTTGTGTTTTCACTCTTGACACTAGATCCAGCTACTGGCCAAATATCATGACTGAAGGCGTTGCGGTTATTTAGAAGACTCTGTTTAAGTGTTCATAACAAAATTATCGGCTAAGTACCATTATTCTACACATTGGTGCTCTTTGTCGTGATATCTTCTAACTCTACACTTTCAGCATCCCAGCATATGCTACCAAAGTAGTCATATATATCTGGACTGTAAGCCTCTAGGGTATTCAAAATTAGTTTTTATGTTGGTATTTCTAAATTAAGATATTTACCTGTACTTTGGGGAAGGCCCACACCGTCGGTAAGGTAGGGTTCGTACTGTTGTAGGTAGTTCTTAGTTAGATATTTACCTGTACTTTGGGGAAGGCCACACCGTCAGTAAGGTAGGGTTCGTACTGTTGTAGGTAGTTCTTAGCTAGCTCTGCTGGGCTCCCAAGTACTGCCTGTAAGTCAACATAAAAGCTGTGAGCAGAGTTCAGATGTACTATTTTACTACACATGCCAGCATTTATCAGTACTCCCCTTCTTCATTGAAAACTCAATGTGGCATTACTCTTATTTTAGACTTCCCTACTGATTCTGACTTATTAATTATGTATTATCTATGGATGGATATTTAGTAGACATCACAGTGAAAGATGAAGTTATCTCCCCCTGCGTAATATATTAAGTGACCCCACATTTTTTTCACTTCTATTCATAAACAGTTTTCCCACAGATAATAATCAAGTTATCTCCCCTTGTTAAGTAGCCCTACACAGCACTTGTGTATATATACAGTATACTCACAGATAGTAATCTAGCATACAGTATGACAGAGTGAAGGATGGATTTGTTTCCCCCTGGTTACTGTGTTAATTATCACAGAGTGAAGGATGGATTTGTTTCCCCCCTGGTTACTGTGTTAATTATCACAGAGTGAAGGATGGAGTTGTGTCCCCCTGTTACTGTGTTAATTAAAGGGCCCTGCACAGCATTTTAACTTCTATCTTATAAATTAAGAAAACTTACTGATGCTCTCAGCACGTGAACACCAATAGCAGCTGTGAACACGACAATAAACATCAGGTCTACAGGTCTCTGTTGAATAGGTTGACTCCCTCGCTGATCACTGTCACTCTGAAAAAATAAAAGGTAGTTTAAAATTAAAATTAAAGGAACAGTGCTATAAGGGGGCGTGTCACAGATAATGATTGCCATCGTAGGGTCAATGTGGGTCTTCACAATTGAAGCCACAAAAATAACAAGGCATTACATATAATACAAATCCCCTCGTATGCAGCCGGTTACAAAACTTTGTGAGGTATCTCACTATCATGGCCTTATAATAGCTTCACTCTAGTAACTTCATTGTCTGATAGTGAATATTTAATTATATCTGTGTTGTTTAACTTTATGTAAAGAAACACTTTCCTATCCCTACCTTGTACTGAGTTTGGTGTTGTGGTGCGTTAGTCAGGAACTTGTACCCCATCCATACAGGTATACACAGGTAGGGCATGTTGAGTAGGATTGGCCACCGCACACCATATTCACCTGTCATTATGAATAACAGAAAGTTGGGTGAGGACACCTTTACAGGTTAGAAACAAAAGGGAACCAAACGTTTTCATGAAAACTAGCGATATAACAAACTATATAATAATCATACTTACAAACATGTTGTTTTACCATTTATTACAATAACTCTCACTTATTATGGCCCCGCCGTCAAACATCAAACATTGAAACTAATTTCACATGGTGACGGGGGCATTCATGTCTTACAGACATTCACTAGTTTTTGATATATAACCAACAAAAATTGCAAGTATTTCTGTTCATAAACAGGAAAATGAGGCCCAACAAGAGCAGGGGATCTGCTAATTGAGTTCAGTGGGAATGATGAGGTGAAATCTAAGTGGGGATGATACATGACCTATATCAATGAGCTTAGTGACAAGATGACCTTCCAAAGAGCTTAGTGACAAGGTGACCTTCCAAAGAGCTGAGTGCGAGGGGACCGTTCAAAGAGCTGAGTGACAAGGGGACCTTTCAAAGAGCTTAGTGACACAGTGTCCTTCCAAAGAGTTTAGTGACAAGGTAATCTTCCAAATAGCTTATTGACAAGGTGACCANAGAGCTTAGTGACAAGGTGACCTACCAAAGAGCTTAGTGACAAGGTGACCTACCAAAGAGCTTAGTAACAAGGTGACCTTCCAATGAGCTTAGTGACAAGATGACCTTCCAATGAGCTTAGTGACAAGATAACCTTCTAATGAGCTTAGGAATGTGATGACCTTCCAATGAGCTTAGTTACAAGATGACCTTCCAATGAGCTTTGTGACAGGATGACCTTCCGATGAGCTTAGTGATAAGGTGACCTTCCAATAATCTTAGTAACAAGGTAACCTAGTAATGAGCTTAGTAACAAGGTAACCTACCAATGAGCTTAGTGATTAGATGACCTTCCAATGAGCTTAGTGACAAGATGACCTTCCAATGAGCTTTGTGACAGGATGACCTTCCAATGAGCTTAGTGATAAGATGACCTTCCAATGAGCTTAGTGACAAGATAACCTTCTAATGAGCTTAGGAATGTGATGACTTTCCAATGAGCTTAGTGACAAGATGACCTTCCAATGAGATTGTGACAGGATGACCTTCCGATGAGCTTAGTGATAAGGTGACCTTCCAATGAGCTTAGTAACAAGGTGACCTTCAAATGAGCTTAGTAACAAGGTAACCTAGTAATGAGCTTAGTAACAAGGTGACCTACCAATGAGCTTAGTAACAAGGTGACCTTCCAATGAGCTTAGTAACAAGGTGACCTTCCAAAGAGTTTAGTGACACCCTGACCTACCAATGAGTCCGGCAGGAAGAATTATCAGGAGACTGTTGGTGATGGATCCCACCCAGTACAGACCAGCCTTTCTGTACCTCTCACTGAAACAACAATGCACAATCATTACACATACATGCTTCTGCTGACCATATGGAAGTAAAGAGTTACAAGCTGGCATCAAAATGATTCTCATCTTTTAGAGCAAATACTATATATCGATATACTTTGCCAAGTAAAACTATTGCCCTTAAGGAGNCTTAGTGATTAGATGACCTTCCAATGAGCTTAGTGACAAGATGACCCTCCAATGAGCTTTGTGACAGGATGACCTTCCAATGAGCTTAGTGACAAGGTGACCTTCCAATGAGCTTAGTGACAAGATAACCTTCTAATGAGCTTAGGAACGAGATGACCTTTCAATGAGCTTAGTGACAAGGTGACCTTCCAATAAGCTTAGTGGCAAGATAACCTTCCAATGAGCCTAGTCACAAGGTGACCTTCCGATGAGCTTAGTGACAAGATGAACCCTTCCAATGAGCTTAGGGACAGGATGACCTTCCAATGAGCTTAGTGACAAGATGACCTTCCAATGAGCTTAGTGACAAGGTGACCTTCCAATGAGCTTAGTGATAAGATGACCTTCCAATGAGCTTAGTGACAAGATAACCTTCTAATGAGCTTAGGAACGAGATGACCTTTCAATGAGCTTAGTGACAAGGTGACCTTCCAATAAGCTTAGTGGCAAGATGACCTTCCAATGAGCCTAGTCACAAGGTGACCTTCCGATGAGTTTAGTGACAAGATGAACCCTTCCAATGAGCTTAGGGACAGGATGACCTTCCAATGAGCTTAGTGCTAAGATGACCTTCTAATGAGCTTAGTGACAAGGTGATCTTCCAATGAGCTTAGTGATAAGATGACCTTCCAATGAGCTGAGTGATAAGATGACCTTCCAATGAGCTTAGTGATTAGATGACCTTCCAATGAGCTGAGTGATTAGATGACCTTCCAATGAATTAAGTGATAAGATGACCTTCCAATGAGCTTAGTGATTATATGACCTTCCAATGAGCTGAGTGATAAGATGACCTTCCAATGAGCTGAGTGACAAGGTCACCTTCCAATGAGCTTAGTGACAAGATGACCTTCCAATGAGCTTAGTGATTAGATGACCTTCCAATGAGCTGAGTGATAAGATGACCTACCAATGAGCTTAGTGACAAGGTAACTTTCCAAAGAGCTTAGTGTCTAGGTGACCTTCCAAATGACGTTAATGAAAATATTACTACCAATTAATCTATTGATAAGGTGACTTAGCAGTGTAATTAGTAGGGATGACAAGGTGACATCCTAAGGGCTTTTTGACAAGACTGCCTTCCAATGAGTTTAGTGACACCCTGACCTACCAATGAGCCCGGCAGGTAGAATTATTAGGAGACTGTTGGTGATGGATCCCACCCAGTACAGACCAGCCTTTCTGTACCTCTCACTGAAACAACAATGTACAATCATTACACATACATGCTTCTGCTGACCATATGGAAGTAAAGAGTTACAAGCTGGCATCAAAATGATTCTCATCTTTTAGAGCAAATACTGTATATCGATATACTTTGCAAAGTAAAACTATTGCCCTTAAGGAGACACTTACTTGTACGAGTCCTGTTTAAGACTGAAGTGTACCACAGTGTCCCAGTAGTTGTAGGACACACTTACTTGTACGAGTCCTGTTTAAGGATGTAGATGTACAGACTGAAGTGTACCACAGCATCCCAGTAGTTGTAGGACACACTTACTTGTACGAGTCCTGTTTAGGATGTAGATGTACAGACTGAAGTGTACCACAGTGTCCCAGTAGTTGTAGGACACACTTACTTGTACGAGTCCTGTTTAAGGATGTAGATGTACAGACTGAAGTGTACCACAGCGTCCCAGTAGTTGTAGGACACACTTACTTGTACGAGTCCTGTTTAAGGATGTAGATGTACAGACTGAAGTGTACCACAGCGTCCCAGTAGTTGTAGGACACACTTACTTGTACGAGTCCTGTTTAAGGATGTAGATGTACAGACTGAAGTGTACCACAGCGTCCCAGTAGTTGTAGGACACACTTACTTGTACGAGTCCTGTTTAAGGATGTAGATGTACAGACTGAAGTGTACCACAGCGTCCCAGTAGTTGTAGGACACACTTACTTGTACGAGTCCTGTTTAAGGATGTAGATGTACAGACTGAAGTGTACCACAGCGTCCCAGTAGTTGTAGGACACACTTACTTGTACGAGTCCTGTTTAAGGATGTAGATGTACAGACTGAAGTGTACCACAGCGTCCCAGTAGTTGTAGGACACACTTACTTGTACGAGTCCTGTTTAAGGATGTAGATGTACAGACTGAAGTGTACCACAGCGTCCCAGTAGTTGTAGGACACACTTACTTGTACGAGTCCTGTTTAAGGATGTAGATGTACAGACTGAAGTGTACCACAGCGTCCCAGTAGTTGTAGGACACACTTACTTGTACGAGTCCTGTTTAAGGATGTAAATGTACAGACTGAAGTGTACCACAGCGTCCCAGTAGTTGTAGGACACACTTACTTGTACGAGTCCTGTTTAAGGATGTAGATGTACAGACTGAAGTGTACCACAGCGTCCCAGTAGTTGTAGGACACACTTACTTGTACGAGTCCTGTTTAAGGATGTAGATGTACAGACTGAAGTGTACCACAGCGTCCCAGTAGTTGTAGGACACACTTACTTGTACGAGTCCTGTTTAAGGATGTAGATGTACAGACTGAAGTGTACCACAGCGTCCCAGTAGTTGTAGGACACACTTACTTGTACGAGTCCTGTTTAAGGATGTAGATGTACAGACTGAAGTGTACCACAGCGTCCCAGTAGTTGTAGGACACACTTACTTGTACGAGTCCTGTTTAAGGATGTAGATGTACAGACTGAAGTGTACCACAGCGTCCCAGTAGTTGTAGGACACACTTACTTGTACGAGTCCTGTTTAAGGATGTAGATGTACAGACTGAAGTGTACCACAGCGTCCCAGTAGTTGTAGGACACACTTACTTGTACGAGTCCTGTTTAAGGATGTAGATGTACAGACTGAAGTGTACCACAGCGTCCCAGTAGTTGTAGGACACACTTACTTGTACGAGTCCTGTTTAAGGATGTAGATGTACAGACTGAAGTGTACCACAGCGTCCCAGTAGTTGTAGGACACACTTACTTGTACGAGTCCTGTTTAAGGATGTAGATGTACAGACTGAAGTGTACCACAGCGTCCCAGTAGTTGTAGGACACACTTACTTGTACGAGTCCTGTTTAAGGATGTAGATGTACAGACTGAAGTGTACCACAGCGTCCCAGTAGTTGTAGGACACACTTACTTGTACGAGTCCTGTTTAAGGATGTAGATGTACAGACTGAAGTGTACCACAGCGTCCCAGTAGTTGTAGGACACACTTACTTGTACGAGTCCTGTTTAAGGATGTAGATGTACAGACTGAAGTGTACCACAGCGTCCCAGTAGTTGTAGGACACACTTACTTGTACGAGTCCTGTTTAAGGATGTAGATGTACAGACTGAAGTGTACCACAGCGTCCCAGTAGTTGTAGGACACACTTACTTGTACGAGTCCTGTTTAAGGATGTAGATGTACAGACTGAAGTGTACCACAGCGTCCCAGTAGTTGTAGGACACACTTACTTGTACGAGTCCTGTTTAAGGATGTAGATGTACAGACTGAAGTGTACCACAGCGTCCCAGTAGTTGTAGGACACACTTACTTGTACGAGTCCTGTTTAAGGATGTAGATGTACAGACTGAAGTGTACCACAGTGTCCCAGTAGTTGTAGGACACACTTACTTGTACGAGTCCTGTTTAAGGATGTAGATGTACAGACTGAAGTGTACCACAGCGTCCCAGTAGTTGATGAAGGTCCCATGTGTTGTCTTGAGGTAGGGCTCACCTTCCAGCAGGTAAAATGCCATGAAGCTGTGAATGATGCGATCATTCTCCAAAGCAATTATCAAATCCACTACACATGCAAAGGCAAACAGACTCCATGCTGCAAGTGAAGATTTTATATGTTTTCGAATGTTTCAAATTTATTTGTATGTGGCAAACATCATATCAAAATCTAAAAATGAACAAAAGGTGCTATGACAAAATAATAACATCAAATTTTAAAAGAGTGTTAAGTTGTTTGGCATTTTCTGACTTGGAGTCACTTGCCCATACACTGTAGCAAAGAATCAAATGTTAGATAGAAATATTTTTGTTATTACATTGTATAGTAATAAAAAAAACACCTCTGCTACTGAGGTTTAATCCTCAAACTCTTGCATGATTATGAGGTACGGTGCTATTCCACTGTGCTACAGGTCAACTTTGTTATGATAATACTTTTCTGCAAGATTTTTGAGAATAATAAAAAAAAATCTTAATCCCTTAAATGATTATTAGCGCTAGCTCATAATATTTAGAAAGTAGAAACATGGTGGGATGGTGGGACTGCCTATCTCATAGGTTACTTGCAGATGCTTTCTTCTGCATCAATGTTTTTATTTATTGAAAATCATAATAAATAAATGGAAATATTACTGAGATAGTACAATGAAGTACCATCTGACCAAGACTTGTACTAGCATACCAGAGCTTAGTACCATTTGAAAATTTGAATAACCACTTTAGCCATCATAACACCATTTTAGCATTTCTTCTTTCATTTAAATGCCAACTTAATTGGCTAGGATTGGCCATCATTGCTAGAAATACTATTTAAAATGCCTAATTCCCTAAAAGGCTCACAACCTTAATCCTTTTCTCTGTATGGATATATATATAATGTACATGTCGATAAATGGTGACACCTACACTTGATAATTTTTTGTCTAATTTTGTGCAAGTTTTGCTCATTTGTGTTGGAACAACTTAATTTGGTGTATGTCAGAATTCATTTGCTTGGCATTTCATACTACCTTTATTTCAGTCTGAAATGGCATGCTCGATCTTTACTTATGTTAACAACAATAGTCAACTAGCTTTTTCCAATTTTACAACTTAATATATTAAAAGTACCTGTAGCACCAGTTGTCCTTACTCAAATACGAGGTCAAAAGTAAAGAAGCACCCTAATATAAGAAGCTACAAGGCGTCTACAACTATATGAACAGATATTAGCAGCAGACTTGCTCAAGTCCGAGTTTTGTAAGCAGGATCTAATCGGTTGATAATCTGCCACTGTGTATTACCTGTCCTTTGATATTTTATTTTACTTGTATATTGTTAAGAGAATTCCATAAGTGTTGATTATGTATGAATGACACGTACCATAAAAGTATGGATCTCGTTTTGGAATGTCAGTGTTCCGGGTGTACAGATACGGCAACAGAGCCACAAGGATCAGTGCAACCCCGCCTATACCAAGGATAATTAGAGGATTGGAGACGTTATCCTTAAACAGGTTGACGCTGTATGTAAGTGGAAGTCCGATCAGAGAGGTCAGACAGATCACGACAACACCCGACCACGCCATCTTTAACGTATCGTCCGATAATGAAAGTACGCAATATAATCGGTGTCATAGAAACGCTTTAAATGCCACCTGTACTTAAGGATGCCTGCTCCGTATTATTTTGCATCATTATTCCAACGAGTTAAAAGATGTGTTTGTTAATGGATATGTATGACATGACTTAATTCTACTTCATATTAATAATAAAGTTTTTAACATAATTCAACAATCCTGTAAACCTTAAATTAGGTCAAGGTCATTCAGGAGTCTTTATAGTACTTCACCCGTAGTAGTTCCTGGACAAATATTACAACCCCTTTGAAACTTGAGAAGATTTATCTTAAAATACTTTCTCCTATATTATACAGCCTTTATGTTGACCTTTGACCCAAGTAACCTCTTAAAGTTCATTTTAGACCTCAATATGTAAGAAAAGATTTGCACTGCTAGTCTACATTATATACCATACCTTATGGTTTTTGGGTTGACTCCCTTTGGGAGTCGTACCCAATGCTATCAGACAAATGTTTGTTCCCATTTTAAATATATCCTTATCCCATCAGATCTAGTTCCAATACGTTGATTAATAATGTTATCTGAAGTTTTCCTTGACATATTCAATACCTGGATGTGGGTCAAGCCAATTTGTTAGAGGAAATATTATAGCATTCCATCCTAGATACCTACTGGCCAAATAGAACAACCGGGGGCTTTATGGAATTTTAGAATTATTTCTTTACTCATTATGCCAATGTTGACAATTGTCAGTGCTTCAACTGATCTTATAATCCTACATAATATGCTAGAAAAGGTTTGCACTGCTTTTCTACAAAACATACTCAATAACCAGGATTGTGACTCTAGGCCTTATGGTTCCTTAGACACTGTTGTTTGAAGCTTTCAATATACATGTACTTGACCCGTGATCTTAAAATAGGTCAAGGTCATTTCTATGAAAATATGGTGTAAGCTCAAAGGTCCTTTGGACCAAAACAAGTCAGACAGGATGTTTCCTTAGCTCATATGACAGCAAGTCATGATATATGCATGTTGGAGAAAGGGCTCTCACGATTGGTAAAATTGCCTTGAACCACTGTCAATGCCAAAGGAGTCTCTGTTTAAACTTTCATACAATAACTTCAAGAGAATTAAGAGGCATATGGTTATATTCAACACATATCATGGGATAAGACACTTATCAATTTTGTTAGCTCACTTGATGTTGTTCTCACAAATATCTACATAAATATGTACCTCATACTGATTTTTTTTATACATAATGAAACACACAAATTTGTTCAATTTTTAGAATTTTTTATTCACATGATAGATATTTTATGCACATATACATATAACTTTAGCATATATCATGGCAAGGCAGTTTAACACTCGACACATTTATTCTGCACAAATGTCAAAAGCATTCTCGTCACAGTAAAATAGTTATTTCATTATAACAAAACTGCCAACAATCAAAAACTTGTTACCAATATTTTTTGACAACCACAATTTCTGTTTACAGCATATGTAACTGTAGCCAACAGTAACCAGTGGCGTAGCAAATAATTTTTCAGAGTGTATGCTTACAGAGGGTCGAGCGTCCGAGGAAGGGTATGGAATGGGAGGGACCATAACCTACTAGGTCCTGGAAGCAAGGACTTGGATAGCTAATCTTATTCCGTTCTAGAAGCGTTTTCTCATGTTCTGGGAACTCCTTTTAGACCGATTATTTACAAGTAAAAACCAAATTTTCATACGAATGATATGAAATTGTGTACTTCATTAATTATTTTTCAATTTACATAAACCTTCGTGATTTGTCAATCTGTATAGACATAACATAACAACAATATCTTATCAGACTTAAGTTTTCAAGAAGATTTTTTCTTTACTTCTTTCCCTTTTTATCATTGATATGGACAGTCCATATTAATCATAAAAAGAAATTAACAAAATTATATGAATAAAAAAAAATCTTAAAATTTTTAGTGTATGCTTAAGTATACAAGCAAACATGTATGCTATGCCACTGGTAACTCCTTTTTAGCTGTACTCAGCACCACAGATCCAGCTGTAACTCCTTTTTAGCTGTACTCAGCACCACAGATCCAGCTGCCAACAAATTGACCTGTTAATTTGTCCACAACTGACCCTGACCAGCAGAATGTTTCCATTCATTTAAATTATCAGATGCAAATCAGCGTTAAGTTTTAATGGGTATTTGTTTTTTTCAGAACACAGTTACTTCCCTTCCTCACCTAGTCATGGTAATTCTCTGTTACAGACACACAGACCAGAAAGAAATGTACTAATGCAGTATAATTAATAAATATATTTACGATAACTTCATATTTTACTTGACCTCATTCTCCATACAAACCAGTTTCTCTGACTCAAAGAAATAATAATCTCATTTAATTTTCCATCCTGCACACAAAATGAGCCGCATTTAACCCCACATTGATTTCATCAAGTATCAAAGATTACACCCCTTCAGAGATTTGTTTATTTATTTTCTCCATGAGGAATGTGTCAAGTCTTTTCTGTCTCTTCTTGACCACAAAGTAGGATGCTATTCCAATCAGGAGGCATACCAGCTCAAATACCCAGAATCTGGTCGCATGTTTGTCTGGATCAATGTCGCAACTGTAAATATAAACAACATGTAACATCAGTACACTTCTATAACCCCCAGACAAATACCCAGAATCTGGTCGCGTGTTTGTCTGGGTCAATGTCACAACTGTAAATATAAACAACATGTAACATCAGTACACTTCTATAACCCCCAGACAAATACCCAGAATCTGGTCGCGTATTTGTCTGGGTCAATGTCACAACTGTAAATATGAACAACATGTAACATCAGTACACTTCTATAACCCCAATACAACATGCATCATAGAGGTTCCAAGTACATATGATTTTATATAACCCAAATTGAGAATCTGTAATCAGATGTGTTCCAAAATAATACATTTAAAACCAATCTATTCTACCAGTGTCAATTGCTCCACCAGAAAACACAGGGTAAAATGCCATCGTTAGTTTCCCCTGAAGTCTGTTAACTGATGACAGTGAATCCGTCGACAAAACATCAATGATTGACTTATAAATAGCAACAGTGACTTTGACATTGACTTTAAATTGAGATACAGAATCATTCCAGGTATTCTCATACTTGGATATTAAAGCTGTATGAAAATCTTTTTCAAAAAGTCAATACAGCACTTGAATTGGATAATAAATTGATTTTTCTGATTTGTGTGCAATCAAAGAGCTAAATATTGATCACCACATAACCATATTGTCAGTGATGTAGAGCATTGTCCTACTGATGGAATTAATTATACAAAGCTGACATACTTCCTGGATATTTCTTTTTTATCCTCACACTCAATGACTTCCATGTAACCCCACAATCTACAGGAAGGCCTCTCCCTCCGCTGAAACCAAACAATCAGCTGTTAGAGAAAACATGACAATGTACAGCATGAGAAAGTACAAGTTTTCATCATAACATACATATGGCCTAGTAGTGGTAGTTCATGTCGGTAAAAACAGAATTTTATCATCAAGTTAGAAATGACAATGATTTCACAACCCATTATTTACTTTAATTCTTACGCGTTGACAGTTCTGACCTTGATGGTCGTCTACAGCAGAAATCATTTGAGATTTTCGATGAAGACAACATGATAATTCAAAACTGTCAACTTGTCAAAGATTTGGATAATACTACTACTCATGTAGTCTGAGACTATTAGATTTCAGCAAGGACTAGTGAGTCCCCTAACCTAACTGGTCCTTTGAACTCATTCAACTAATTGTGTCGACTATCAAGTAAAAAAGTTAGCGCCTTTATGTTGATGTTTGATAGAAACGGGAAAGACAAATCCTTCAAAACTATGGGGCCAATTTCAAGGGAAGTTTTCAGATATGATAACTACCGTTTCATGTTGTGCAACCAGGTGTTTTTTCCCAAACCTTCCTTATGGAGTTATTGCCCGACCTTTGTTGAAAAATTCCTGTCCTGACAACTCCTAATCTACTGGGCCAATTTCAAAGTTTACAGGAATGGTAACTGCCCCCTTACATTGTGCATCCAAGTACTTTGCTTCATTCCGACCCTTTAGAAGGAGGTAAAGCCCTCTGTTGAAGAAAAAACAACTTTGCCTGTCTCCTCTCCAAAAATACTGGCTTGAGCATGAAACTGGGACAAGCCTATCAGATACCAAGAATTACCAGTCAGATAGCACAACAATCAGATTATCAGGGCTGTCCTCCATTACTCACCAAATCTAACTTGGTACAGGGATGACAAGCTTTCAACACCCTTTCATTTCCAGAGGAACAACTCTCATTTCGTTCCTTTCGCCCTATTTACACAAAACAGAAACACATTTTTTTCAAAACATTGTTTAAAACCATAACATTTTTTTATCGTACTTCCTAAAAAAATCAAATAAAATCAAAGGTCAATAAATTATTTTGTATTTAGGTGTTTCAGGTCTTTCCATAAGCTCTCACTTTTGAAGTTTCAGACCTGCTTGAAATTATTTATGTAGGTTTATGTATAAACATTGAACAAGCACTGTTAAAGCCACGATCCTCTAGCTCTATGTAAAAATATTTTTTTTGCATGATTTTTACACAGCCAAAAAGCTTAGTTTGACCTTTGCCTGTCTGTAGAATTTGAAGGTTTGTAGATACCCCTTTGTAGAGTCAAGAAAACACTTCAGTATGACAGTTTACAGTGAATTTGACTTTTGACTACTGACCCTCAAAATTCCCTCCTCATCCAATCAAGTCATCTTGTGGACTTTCAATTGCAAGGTCCTATGGGAAGTATCCTACTCACTGTACATTACCGTCAACTTGACATAGACCTTTTAATCCAAAATGTAGAGGGTTTTCTAAGTGGAAAGATGCTCTACTTGGTGTCATGAAAATATTTAGCAAAACCAGTCAATGTGACCTTGACTTTTGACTTTATAATCAACGAGAATGTAAAGCAGCTAGCTTGCGAGGTTACAAGGAAAAATACTCCAGAAAGAGTCTGTAAATGTAACTTTGACCTTTGACCTTTGAACCAAACAATCAATATGATTCCTTCTCACCCCATGGGTAGCCAATCTGTGAATCTTAAAGGTGGAATAATATTGTACTTAAAGGGTCTGGCATCAATTTTTAAACAATTTTTGCTCAACATGGTAATTGTGACCAAACTTTTCATCTGTCATTTGTACACACATGGACAGTTATACAGGTTATTCTAGTTTCTCCCACAACCAGTGACCACTATATAGGTTTACTCACAACCAGTGACCACTATATAGGTTTACTCACAACCAGTGACCACTATATAGGTTTACTCACAACCAGTGACCACTATATAGGTTTACTCACAACCAGTGACCACTATATAGGTTTACTCACAACCAGTGACCACTATATAGGTTTACTCACAACCAGTGACCACTATATAGGTTTACTCACAACCAGTGACCACTATATAGGTTTACTCACAACCAGTGACCACTATATAGGTTTACTCACAACCAGTGACCACTATATAGGTTTACTCACAACCAGTGACCACTATATAGGTTTACTCACAACCAGTGACCACTATATAGGTTTACTCACAACCAGTGACCACTATATAGGTTTACTCACAACCAGTGACCACTATATAGGTTTACTCACAACCAGTGACCACTATATAGGTTTACTCACAACCAGTGACCACTATATAGGTTTACTCACAACCAGTGACCACTATATAGGTTTACTCACAACCAGTGACCACTATATAGGTTTACTCACTCCCGACTCGTTGGATAAACCTGCTAGGAGCTCGAGTTGGTAAACATTTTTGGTGACCCACTATAAGCTAGTGGGTAACACCCTGAACATCATTTCATTGGTCAACCTTCTAGTTATGACGCAAAGTAACAATGCTATGCGACATTATCTGCCATTGCGAGGTCATAGTTTATTGCACTGTTTCCCCGATCATCAACAGGATTAAGGTATTTCCAAGAGAAACTTAAGATTTTCTAGATATAATATCTTAGTGGAGATAAAGGCCCCTTATCTTGTGATGGTTGATAATCATGTTGATCTATATACTGACTCTCGGTAGTTACTTTTCAAATGTAAAAGACACTCGGTAAACCTCATGTCTTTATACAATTTGAAAATTAACTAACTTGAGTAAGATAAACATGATAACCAACCATCACTAGTGGGGAACCTCTAGTATATGCAAAATCTCTTAACTTAAACATGTACGATAATGGAATCAGTAACTTGGAAATGCTGTTCATGGTTTTACTGTTCCTATTTACATGTACCTTGTAATGTGTTGAATTCCCTTATGGAATGATGTGTTGACCAAGCGCTCTGTACCAGCAGGATTACAAAAGACACACTGAAAATAAACAATAAGTTCTAATTAAAATGATTTTAGGTAGGGGAATGGATTTACAATCACTACTCAGTAGTAGTCTATTAATGAGAATGACATAAAATGGTGTCATTGAGGTCACATTCACCACTGACCCGCTGGTTAAGTATTAGTCAGAAAGCTACGTTATCGCAGCTGGTTAAGTATTAGCATTGAAGCATGATTTCCTATGGCTCTACTCCCATAACATGAGAGGCCGCTGGTCGGCCTTTTTCAATCGGATATGATTTTGCCGACTGCGACGCGCCTGTCAAAAGTTTTTCGCCGTGTAAAACCTCTAACATTGTTGGAGTACCTATGGCTCTAACAACCCCAGACTAGAGTAGAGACATACTGACAGATGTCTCCCTTCTCTGGTGTTGACATCTGTCGGAACTTAAAGGGCTCGGCAACTTGTCACCCAATAAATGCTGGCTGAGACTTGAGATATTCCGACAGATGTCAACACCAAAGAAGAGAGACATCTGTCAGAATGTCTAAAGTCTGAGCCAGCATTGTTTGGGCGACTAGTGCCGAGCCCTTTAAGTGAAATTGTCAAATGTAATAAGAGCAAAATGATACCTTAATAAGATGCAGAGCGCTATCAGCATGCGTTTCTTCGTACAAAATTCAATCATCTTGTTCTGCAGTAAGGCATACTGTGAAGTTATTAGGCCTACTCCATTTCTAGCTTTCAGATTTCACACAATATGTAAGGCAAATCTGTATAAATTCTGTCGATCACGTGATTACAAACAAAGCAGAATGTACAGTTACATTCTAAATACAACGGAATACCACACAGCAGATTTTAATGCCGGTATATCAACTAGGAGCCTATTTAACCGAAACAACTGTTGGTGACTTCATTTCCATCGCGTTGTACGCAAGTGATGTCATGGGTGCGTTCGATCATAACTCAACCGGTGTTTACAAACTAAAACTACCTACTTAAATGTTCTGGTCGGAACTCCAACAGAAAAGGTTGTGTTCTATCATGGAATTAGATTATCCAAGTCCGTGGTTCTATCAAAGATCTAAGAGCAAATGCCAAAATGCATAACTATCAATTAGAAACTCCTTTTTTTCTGGCATGACTATGGCTTTAATAAAACATTTTGCCATTACACAAAACAAGGAAATCGAAAATCAGTGAAAAACTTATGTTACAGACCAGTGAGTCTTACTTCAGTAATTTGAAATATATGGATTTTTTTTTTATCAAGGATGAGTGGCACTTAGAGGAAGGGAACGTTTGTCAACACATCAATTTGAAAATTGTGTGTTTAAACTTCAAAAAAGCGTTTGATACAGTGCCTCGCCAACGACTATAACAAAACTTGAAGGATATCTGTAGCTGTATCTGTATTTGTACTGGAAGTTAGCTCACTACTGAGCAAAATCTATCCAGGGCGAGTGAGTGCGCTATATCAATCTTTTGGTCGCAATAGTGGCATTAAACTGTTCCGTAGTTTTACAGTTGATTATGTGCGATGATAGTGCATTCCAGTCTTTTATGGTAGCTGGTACAATTGAATTGTTATATATGTCGGTTTACTGTGCTGTGTTCTAGATGGTCTGGTATTGAACTGGAATAGCGAGTCATTGCACACAAAGCATAGAATATGGAATAAGAGGAACATTTTGAACTGGATAAGAGTGTTTTTAGAAGGAAGACAACAAAGAGTCGTGATACATGGAAAAACATATATTGTTAGGTAGAGGTAAAACGTGGAATACCTCAAGGACGCGTCTAGGACCGATTTTATTCTTAATCTTTATAAACGATCTACCAAAATATTTCGAAACAATCATCAAATTATTTCCAGTTGATGCCAGGTTAGAACAGATAGAGTGCAAAGGGATTTAGATAAACTCTTGCAGCAGATGGTCAGAAAAGTGGCAAGTGAATTCAATGCTGGTAAATGTGAATCACTACATATTGGTTAAAACAATGGAAACGTCTACGGTATAAAAGAAAATAGGCGGAAAAAATGAAGCAAGTTGAGGATTTGAGTATTTTTTAAAAGAACTTGAGATTCAACCAACAAATATCAGAATGTGTGGCGAAAGATGTGCCGAGGAGAACATTTGGATACATGGATCCGGACATGTTTTAACCATATATAAGGCACTAATAAGACCCCGTATTAAACATGCCAGTGCAGTATGGAACCCAATTGTATAAAAAAGAAGAAGACATAATGGCATTAGAAAACACTCAGCGAAGGGCAACAAAATTGAATGCATACAAAGATCTGACAAACAAGGAAAGGTTAAGGATTCTAGGACTACCAACATTACAGTAGAGAAGGAGGGGGAATGATATGTTTTAACTTGCAAAATGATAATAGAGTTTGACAACTTGTTGACAAGGCTTTTTTTTGAGATATAAGATCAATCAAGAACTAGAGACAACAACGATGAACAAAGTTGAAGCGCAGGAAAAGCTGTTTTTCTAACATAATCATCTCAGACTGGAACCGCTTGCCTAATGCTGTGGTTGAAGCTGAACCTTTGAACAGTTTTAAAAGTAAAATCAACGACCACCGGAATAACATGCCAATGAAGTTTGAGCCAGACTGTTACTACCGCTTGATCTTATTTAGGTATTCCTTGGTGCCGATTTCTTATACACAAACTGGAATCTTCTGGAATACAAGGTCAACTACTTAGTACGGCAGTTGATAAACAACTCCTGGGCAACATGACAACAGGTTGTAATCAAAGGGACAAAATAGTAATATTTGGCACCTTTCTCATATTCAACGATCAAGTAAGTGCCGCTGTCACCAAATCTAACCGGATGTTAGGAATTATCTTGAATACTGCTCCACCATATGGTAAAGAATAACATCTCAATCGAAAATGTTCAGCGCAGAGCCACAATTTAAAACGTCTGTCCTGAGTGACCCCCGGGAGGCTCAAATCCCTAGGAATACCCACACTGGTATACAGACGGAGACGAGCTTACGTTTTTCAAGTATACATAATCGTGAACAACATCGACGAAACGGATAAGTAGAAAATATTTTATTTTCATGACCAACAAACCACTCGGCAAACTTAAGAGGTCATCGACATAAGCTGTTTAAAAGACCATTCCAATTAAACACAAACAAAAACCGCTTCACCACTTCAGCAGCCGTGTGGTCACTTTGTGGAACAAAACCGCCCGCAAACATGGTGGAGGTGACCAACATATTCAAGTCTAGGCACAACAAATACTGGGAACGTCAAATTCTACCCAACATAGTGTTTTGTAGTTCGTATGAAGACTTCGTCCGTACATGTGAATCTGTTGCAGTTTGATGTACGCTGTTAAAGAATAAAACAGATCACTAGGCACCCATTTTTAAAACGTTATAACCTCGCGCATGCAAGCTCTAGAAAACCTACAAGTTACTGTAAACCCGAAGAGGCATCAAAACAAGCTGTAAGCCTTCCAAAGATATGTAACCCAATCAACCGTTATCTTATTACTTATAGAGCCTTCTCATGCATAGCTACCACTAGTGTTTCAGTTTGTATCAATAAGTTTTAATTAAGTGTTTTGTAATCATTATACTCTTTGTTTGTGGGATGAACTGTGCCAATTTACATACATGCATGATGTACTTTAACTGAGCCAAGTTTTAAAAAAAAATCCAACAGAGAAGGAAGAGTTGAGCTTATAATATTTCTGGGGCAGGAATTTACTTTCAATGGCCATATATATATATCTCAAGGAAAAAATAGTCATATCACAATTTAAAAGTTCCTATTCCCGTATACCCCACAAACTCAGTTAGCGGCGAGTAGAGTTGAGGTGGATTTTTTGTTTAATGTCCTAGGCCTATTAACCAATTTTGATTAACACTGAGCTAAGCTAATGTGGGGACGTGGGCTGTAAACAACAACAGGAGCGTACTGGGTGTAGAATTGAATGTGGCCAGCCTAGGATCTGAACCCTGGATCTTACATATTTTACTGTCATTTTAACCCAGGTCTTGCGCATTTACGACCGCCAAGTCGCCAAATGACAATTTTTCATTTTAGCGATAATTTTAGGCAAAGCATTTACATTTTTACCTACACTATAATGATTAAAATCGGTAACTTGTTGCGACAGCCGGGTACAGGTGATAGTGTTACAGGTAAGCTGAGTGGAGGGCAGTACCACGCACGCCGGATCACCATGCTTCAGCGGAAAATATTGACACTTTTCAACACCACAGCGGACACAAGGCAGTAAACTAGCTAGCGCTTTATCTGTGATTACCGATTAACAGCTCTAGGAATTTCTAGAAATTTAATTGAAATTAGCTAGCGGACATCCGAGCAAATACTGACAAGCGGGAAAATACGGACAGTTCTGAAACATACATAATCTGTAAGTTGCATTAAATATGATTAAATATAACTCCATTCATGCTAGACGTAGATCGATCTACTGGAATGGACGTTTGTCACTTCGTTGGCGGACACTACCCGGAAAATATCCAAAAGTCTAAAAATAGTAATGGCGTGTCTAATAATGTTCGTCGTCACCCGAGCACCTTGCGACACATCCGGTAACTTGATTTCCGGAAACGATGTCCAAAACACTAGGCCACGATTCGATTATATAACATTTATGTTCACAAAAACCGAATACATATACTTAATTACAAACTCTTAGTGTTGTTACTTATATATATTTAGAATGAAGTAGTTTATCAATATAACTATTTGAGGAAAAACTGTTGTGTCTGAGGTGTCCGTAATCCCCCCACCCCCACCCGAGTTTTATTAGGCGGGTAAATACGGACAGTTCTTAATTGATCAATTAATTTTCGTTCTGATCGAGGAACGTAAAGTCGAAGAAGCAAGAAAACCCGGCTCGGCGACTCCCCATTGAGAAGCACAGGTCAGCTCCTTAGTGACAGTAAATAAAAGGCTGAGACGCTAGTCAAGCAATTCAGTTCAGTCTTCACCTGGGACGATGAACCCTATATCTTACCACCTGTGCGAACCCATATCGAAAAGAATATTCCATACATATTGCGATCAGTGAGCAGGGGGTCCTGACGTTGCTTCGTCAACGTCCAGACGTCTAAAGCAACTGGTTCAGATGGCATACCCAATATGGTTCTAAAGGAGTGTGCTGCAAAACTCACCACTGGAATCATTAGACACAGGAATCCTACCGAAGGATTGGCTAAGCGCTAACATTGTCCCTGTCTTCAAAAAAGAAGACCGCCATACCCCGGCGAATTGCCGCCCAGTATCCATGACCTCTTTCCTAAGCAAAACCTGGAGCATATATTGTGTGTCGTCAACTGTAAAGCAATTTCGATCAGCACAGTGTCTTGTCATTCCTAGACCACGGATTCCGTGCCGGTTAATCACTCACGACCTAGTCACCCAATTTTCGACAAGGGCCATCAAATCAATATTGCCATTCTCGACTTTTCAAAGGCCTTGACACCGTGCCTTACCGGAAACAACTGCTTAAACTGGACTCGTACGGGATTCGAGGCAACATACATCGATGGATTAGGGCATTTCTCTTCGAACGACATATGGGGGTGGTTGTGGAGGGAAAAGCTTCCAGTGAGGAGCCTGTCGCCTCAGGTGTTCCACAAGGAACAGTTCTCGGCCCGCTACTCTTCTTATGTCATATCAATGATCTACTCGACGCTGTCAAGTCTCAAGTCAGTTTATTTGCTGGCAATTGCTTGTCATACCGTACCATCCGCTCATACCGAGACCATGTTTCTTACAGGAAGACCTTAAAAGCCTTGAAGGGTGGGCAGAGTCACGGGGTATGCGCTTTCATGCCAAAAAGTGTTACATAATGAGCGTGAATGCAAAATCGTCGTATTTTTATGAGCTCAAAAACATCATCCTTCAAGGAGTACAACTACCCTATTTAGGTATCACCACTTCGGACAATTTCAATTAAGTGGGGAACTCATATCGATAACATCTACAAGCAAGCCAGTTCCACCATTGACCATCAGGCGCAACCTACATCACTGCCCTACAACCACTCGGAAATCGGCCTACGTCTGTACGCCTCGCTTGTGACACCAACATTGGAGTACATGGGATCCATTTCTCCAATATTACATTGACAAGCTTGAGATAATCCAACGGAAAGCAGCCAGATTTATAACCTGGGACTGCTAATCAAAGAACATGGGATGCGTCGCAACAATGTTGAAGGATCTGGATCTACCGACCCTGCAGCAGCACAGGTAGGAACTGGTTGACATTCCTGTTTAAGGTGGTTGGTGGGTTGGTGCCAGCTAATACCACCTAGTCAATACCTACAGCCGGAAAGGGAGGAACGACGTGTGCGAGCCGATGCTACAAACCTATAAGTGCCAAAACTGGGACGCTAAAATATTTGTATTTCCCAAGGACCATCTTAGACTGGAACTAAATTTTGGACGATATTGTGAAGTCAACCACTATGGAGATATTCAAGTCGCGCCTTCACAGTAACTAGTTTAAAGTGCGCTCCTCCTATCTATTGGTAATACGCCAGAATTGGTTTTCCAACGTATTCAACAGATCCATATATTTAGATGGTTCTCACAAAAGGCTACATTTACCATACCTGGGACGACACATCGGCAATATTGCTTTTGTTATACTTCGAGCGTATATAAGTTGATATATCATAAATAGAGGATCTGTCAGAAGTTTCCCTTCATATTAGATTTATGTGATAATATCTTTATGACACTGCATAGCACAGTATTCATATGATAAAAGAAAATATGATAATAAAATGAAATACTAATCCATAGAAATATTAGTCTGCATCTCTTTACCAGTTAACCTTATTAACAGTATGCTAATTTCTTTAAAAGACTGTATTTCACGGAAGGAGTTGATATGGGATTCAGTATTTTTCTCATTTTCTCCTGCGCTTCTCCCCTCGTCCATTTTTCTTCCATAAACATGACGTCATATTCAAATCCTAACGACGAAATCACAACTGCAATACACATATACTTTGACTGACGGCGTCTGTTAAAGTTTTTCAGCCAGTTGAGGAGGAATCTACATCAGTTTGTTGTTAAACGTCATTGCAACAGTTAAAATGTGAATATCAATACATGCATAAAGTATATTTCTCGAGTCTTTGCTTATATCGGTAATTATTCAACACTACAGTTACTCCTAATTCTCCTAAAGGAATGGGCCAAAATAATCTCAGAAACCTGTTAGTTCCTTCCCCCCAAAAAAAATATGTACCCCTCCTTATTTTCCCTATATTTTCTTTTTAATTTATTACGATATTGAAGATAAGCTAGCTTCTCCAGTGATGCAGTATAACCAGGGGACCCGTCCACTCGTTCAGCAACTTCGAACGTGGTCAGTAGCTGGATGGGTGACTGCCCGCACGTTACATTTGGTGGCAGCGGTGGGATTGTGTGATCATATAAGGCCATTTCCCGGTTGTAAGGGAAGGTACATTGATACACAAGTAAGTAAGGGATTCCCCAGCCCAAGTCTCCGGATGAGACCTCTCGGAGGGGGCAATAGTGTAAGAGCTAATGAATATGAGGGAGAAATACTGCCTTACTGGCAAGATTGCTTTTCCATTGATGCAGTATAATCAGGGGATTCGCTCAATAGTTCAGCAACGTCGAGCGTGGTCAGTAACTAGATGGGTGACAACACACACATTACAATATTATATTATTACATTTTCTTGTTTTCTGTGTTATATTTTACATGCGTATATATTGCACACGATATTCAGTAGATGTACTGTATGTGAATGTAAACCCATGGAGTATTTTGCACCAGTTAGAGATGTAAACATGAGAATGTAGGTAGGTTTCCGTCTGAAAGCGGTACCTGAACTAATTTTGCTCATCTCCCAAAAGGCAACATTTCTAAATCGTCACAAAAGCTATCCCATGCATGCAATAAGAAAATAGAATGGATCTATATAACTTATGATTTTTATAAAAAAAAATAGTCAAAGATAGTGAGTGACCCAAATATTTTTTTCTGGATTTGAGACAATGTAATAGAGGTACCTTATGGTGCAGGAAACACTTTGCCTTTCTGAGGAACATCTTGGTCTGATTCTGTTTTTGATAAAGAATCATGTCTTTCCTTTTTTTGAATTTCTCCTTGGTTCCTGTTGTCTTTTTGTATGGTCTTTCGATTCTGTCAAACTGTAAATGCTAGAGGGCCACTGTAGCCGAGTGGTTAAGGCATCTGACATTCTGCTTTCTACTAGCCCTCCACCACTTGGATGCGGATTTGAGGCCTACATTGGGCAGTTGCTAGGTACTAGCTACAGGTCAGTGTTTTTTCTCCGGGTACTCCAGCTTTCCTCTACCACCAAAACCTGACATATCCTTAATTACCATAGTTGTTAAAAGGACGTAAAACACAAACAAATCAAACAAGAGGCCCATGGGCCTAAACTGTCACTTGAGTAAATTCTGATGTACTCAAATTGTAGTATGTCCTTTCTTTTCAAATTGCCACATAGTTACTTTGGAGAGAGGCCATATTAACCTGGAGACCAGGCATACACATGCTGTATAGATGAATTAGATGATACGTTTAATGGATTATGTACAGATGAAGTTGTAAATGTCCTAGCCAATCATAGGCCAGAGTGGCCATCTGGAATTTAACAATCGGCATGAAAAGTACCAAACTTGGTCAAAACCTCATAAGAAACGCTTCTACTAAGTTAGAAGTCAATCGGTGTAGCCTTTCTTGAGAAGAAGTCAAAAACATCTCAGTCAATGAGATCAGGATGACCATCTTGGATTTTCTGATCGGCACAAAAAGTAAGAACACTTGTTCAGAACCTCATAAGGAACATTCGTACAAATAAAGAAGTGAATTGTTGCAGATAATCCTGAGAAGTTGAAAATTTCTTGTCTCAGCAAATCAAGAGGCCATGATCGGCCATCTTGTATTCTCCGATTGGCAGTAACTCTGCAATTTGCGAACTTGCCCGAGATCTTATTGATATAAAGCAGCATAGCAAAATTCATCGAAATTCATTCACATTACGCAAATTATTGTGCTCACAAGCTAAAGTCCTATAGGCTCTAATAGTAATTAAAATTTCAAAGTCCCATAACTCTGCCAGTTACTGTCTGATCGGGCCCATTTGCGAACTTGTTCGAGATCTTATTTATATAAAGCAGCATAGTAAATTTTATCGATATCCATCACTTTTACTCAAGTTATTGTGCTCACAAGATAAAAGTTAACGCACGACGCATGGTGCACGATGACAGACGAAGACGGATGGTAATAGGTCACAATGACCTATGGTCAGGTGACCTAATAAAAATTCAAGGTAGTCACCTAGCTTCCATCTTGTTAAACTGATCAGGGTGACCGTCAAACTACAGACAAAGGAAGAAAGGTGATATGATTCCTCACCATCCTGAAATTTAAAATCGTTGAAAATATTATCATATTTTATTAAAGTCTGGAACATTTTAGACTGGTAACCGCTCTAACCACATGGACTTCAGATTGTTATACTATCGCTCTAACCAGGGGAGGTTACTGTATATATGGGGGGAGCGGGGGGACAGTGTAGATAACAACAAACAGCATATACTGGCTCCAATTTGATCAACAACAATCATAATACTATCTCCTTAAGCCATATTTCAGCCAAACATTTTTAACAGAAGTTAAAAATGAGAAAAAGTTGAGAAATGGCATAACCTCAAATAAATTAGAATAAATTTTCTGATTTTAGAAGTTTTAATTTTCTGTTTCATGTTTTATAAGAACAAAGTGAAGTAACATTTTATAAAAATAATGTATAAGAACGTGTAAATCATTACACCATTATATGTGTGCACTAAAGATTATGATGTACAAACAAATTGCATAGATATGTATACATATTAAGTCACAGCTGTAATTCTGTGCAGAAATATTGCCAGCGATAGAAAAAAGCAATTTAAATAATGCAAAACACCACTCATGAAATAGATCAAATCTTGAATATCTCTACAACATTCACAGAATGAAAAACTGTACACCTACTAAGTACTAAAATGTACTAGTATACTGGTGCAGGCCTATTTTAGCAACCTGACCAAGTCGCCATATTCATGTAATCATAAGTAAGCATGTTCCTGTCTTGATAAAGGGGCAGATCGCCCTGAATAATTGACTAATTTCTTTGCCTGCACTGTCGTTATTACTTCTTTGCCAATGTAATCATAAGTTAGTGCATAGTTAAATAATGTGAAACGCAGTACCGTACAGATATTCCTTCTCAAAAGACTCAAAATAATATTTAAGCAGAATATAAAAGTTAAACATATCCTGGTAAAATGTCAGTAAAATTGATAACACCTAGTGTGTCACTTTGATCTGATTATAACAGTAAATAGTTAATGTCTACTTCATCTTAAACAGATACATCTCTATTAAGGATGATAATTATATATCATAGAAAAGAATGAGCCTCACAACCTGTATACTAAAGTAAAATAGGAAAAACTATCCCATCAAAACACATGTCATACTACAAATTAACAGTAATGGAATGTAATGGGTATGGAATGAAATTGGTCACATTTTGTACTGTGTAGAACACAATACCTTCAGTAAGTCATGTTGTGTAAGGTATCAGCACTTGACATTTTGTTGACTTTTAGACTTTTATCATACTAAAAATTGAGAGATTTGCAGGATATTCTCATGAATCTCTGAAATGTTAATATGGAGGATTTTTTTTCAAATTGATAGAGTCTTATAGATCAGATCAGGACTGAAAGCTTTGCTTTGTTTAAAACCTCTATCATTGAGGTGAAAGCAAAATTTTGTACATTATCAGTACTGCAAAAATATGCTCTCAAATATATTGACACAGATGAAGCTGAATTAGCAACAATATCCCAACCACAAACTAATCCAGTGTGTTCTAAATAACACAGTACTCGGTTAGTGATGACTTCACTAAACTAGTGTATTCTAACTAGTAAGACTCCAGTGAATTGTGAAAATTAATCAGATTTGAAGCTTTAAATTTTAGTACGCAGATTTACAGTGTAGACAAGTGTCCGTGATGCTTCATAACAAACATTGCATGTAAAAATAGAGTCATGACACTTGTTTTGTTTCCAAGATTAAATCTAAACAATGATATTGTCAACTATAACTCCTCGTGTTTCATTTTTTTTGGATCCGTTTTAACTTTGACGACCACTTCCTCCGGCTCCTGTTTAACATGATGTATATGTACCGGTATCCTTCCACTGTAGGTTTCAATCGTCTCACTATCAAATGGGTTAGATGTTGGTTTTTCAAAATCTGTCTGTTTTTTAAAATCTTCCTCTTCTTTTTCCTCTTCAACCATATCAAAATCATCAGCGTGAAAGTCACTTTTTCCTGGTTCCCTATTGTCAGTTTCACCGCCCTCTACTTCACCCTGCTCTGTGTCAAATTCACTGGTTATGTCAGGAAACAAGACAGGGTGGTCTTTCACCATCTTGTTTAAATCAAACTTGTACAGTTCTGGCCAGTCCAGCAAATCATTGTTATCCTCGTCAATGATGCCAAAACACTGTAAAGCAGACAAAATAACGAATGTAAGCTGTTTCCTTGGTTCAATATTTCACAGATTTACACAGAAAGTGGAATTCATCAGATCATTTTTCTGCAATATTTTGTAATATGAGTTCTTGAGCTTATTTTCAGTGAAGAGTTTGTTTTTTTACTTCAATTATATTTTGCATGATATTTTGACAGCAAATATAATGAAAACCTAGAACAATGACATTTCAGAAAGGGCCCTGCCATGTGCATAACTGTAACCCCACCCCAATCCCCCCCAACACCCATCCCCTAACATCCATCATCCAACACCCATCCCCCAACATCCATCCCCTAACATTTATCCCCCAACACCCATCCCCTAACGACCATCCCCCAACACCCTTCCCAAAACACCATTCCCATAACATCCATCCCCCAACACCCATCCCCTAACATCCATCCCCCAACATCCATCCCACAACACCCATCCCCCAACATCCATCCTCCAACACCCATCCCCCAACATCCATCCTCCAACACCCATCCCCTAACATCCATCCCCAACACCCATCCCCTAACATCCATCCCCCAACACCCATCCCCTAACACCCATCCCCCAACACCCATCCCCTAACACCCATCCATTGTTATATTCTTTAGTAACAGTGACCTTAACCAAAGAAAATTTTCAAATCACTTGGATTCCGATGTTATTTCCGGAAACGAAAGTGCAGACAGACAGACGGACAGACAAATAATACACATAAGGTACATATATCAGGTAGTTGGACTTCAAACTTCAGATAAACATACCTCAGTAATACAAACATACCTCAGAAATACCATCATCCTTCTGATCTGTACCAAACAGTGCGGAGAAATCCTCCAGTGTAATTCTTTCCTTCCCCTCCAGTGATTCCAATAGTAAGCTCCTGCAAGTAACATAAGAGGTATCAAGTAACAATAGTTTACTCCTATAAGTAACATTAGAGGTATCTAGTGACAATAGTTTACTCCTATAAGTAACATTAGAGAGGTATCAAGTAACAATAGTTTACTCCTGCAAGTAACATTAGAGGTATCAAGTAACAATAATTTACTCCTATAAGTAACATTAGAGGTATCTAGTGACAATAGTTAACTCCTATAAGTAACATAAGAGAGGTATCTAATAACAATAGTTTACTCCTATAAGTAACATTAGAGGTATCTAGTAACAATAGTTTACAACTATAAGTAACATTAGAGAGGTATCTAGTAACAATAGTTAACTCCTATAAGTAACATTAGAGGTATCTAGTAACAATAGAAAACTCATATAAGTAACATTAGAGAGGTATCTAGTAACAATAGTTAACTCCCATAAGTAACATAAGAGAGGTATCTAGTAACAATAGTTTACAACTATAAGTAACATTAGAGAGGTATCTAGTGACAATAGTTTACTCCCATAAGTAACATAAGAGAGGTATCTAGTAACAATAGTTTACAACTATAAGTAACATTAGAGAGGTATCTAGTGACAATAGTTTACTCCCATAAGTAACATAAGAGAGGTATCTAGTAACAATAGTTTACAACTATAAGTAACATTAGAGAGGTATCTAGTGACAATAGTTAACTCCCATAAGTAACATAAGAGAGGTATCTAGTAACAATAGTTAACTCCTATAAGTAACATTAGAGAGGTATCTAGTAACAATAGTTAACTCCTATAAGTAACATTAGAGGTATCTAGTAACAATAGTTTACTCATATAAGTTACATTAGAGGTATCTAGTGACAATAGTTTACTCCTATAGGTAACATTAGAGGTATCTAGTAACAATAGTTTACTCCTATAAGTAACATTAGAGGTATCTAGTGACAATAGTTAACTCCTATAAGTAACATTAGAGAGGTATCTAGTAACAATAGTTTACTCCTATAAGTAACATTAGAGGTATCTAGTGACAATAGTTTACTCCTATAAGTAACATTAGAGGTATCTAGTGACAATAGTTTACTCCTATAAGTAACATTAGAGGTATCTAGTAACAATAGTTTACTCCTATAAGTAACATTAGAGGTATCTAGTGACAATAGTTTACTCCTATAAGTAACATTAGAGGTATCTAGTGACAATAGTTTACTCCTATAAGTAACATTAGAGGTATCTAGTAACAATAGTTTACTCCTATAAGTAACATTAGAGGTATCTAGTGACAATAGTTTACTCCTATAAGTAACATTAGAGGTATCTAGTAACAATAGTTTACTCCTATAAGTAACATTAGAGGTATCTAGTGACAATAGTTTACTCCTATAAGTAACATTAGAGGTATCTAGTAACAATAGTTTACTCCTATAAGTAACATTAGAGGTATCTAGTGACAATAGTTTACTCCTATAAGTAACATTAGAGGTATCTAGTAACAATAGTTTACTCCTATAAGTAACATTAGAGGTATCTAGTGACAATAGTTTACTCCTATAAGTAACATTAGAGGTATCTAGTGACAATAGTTTACTCCTATAAGTAACATTAGAGGTATCTAGTAACAATAGTTTACTCCTATAAGTAACATTAGAGGTATCTAGTGACAATAGTTTACTCCTATAAGTAACATTAGAGGTATCTAGTGACAATAGTTTACTCCTATAAGTAACATTAGAGGTATCTAGTAACAATAGTTTACTCCTATAAGTAACATTAGAGGTATCTAGTGACAATAGTTTACTCCTATAAGTAACATTAGAGGTATCTAGTAACAATAGTTTACTCCTATAAGTAACATTAGAGGTATCTAGTGACAATAGTTTACTCCTATAAGTAACATTAGAGGTATCTAGTAACAATAGTTTACTCCTATAAGTAACATTAGAGGTATCTAGTGACAATAGTTTACTCCTATAAGTAACATTAGAGGTATCTAGTAACAATAGTTTACTCCTATAAGTAACATTAGAGGTATCTAGTGACAATAGTTTACTCCTATAAGTAACATTAGAGGTATCTAGTGACAATAGTTTACTCCTATAAGTAACATTAGAGGTATCTAGTAACAATAGTTTACTCCTATAAGTAACATTAGAGGTATCTAGTGACAATAGTTTACTCCTATAAGTAACATTAGAGGTATCTAGTGACAATAGTTTACTCCTATAAGTAACATTAGAGGTATCTAGTAACAATAGTTTACTCCTATAAGTAACATTAGAGGTATCTAGTGACAATAGTTTACTCCTATAAGTAACATTAGAGGTATCTAGTAACAATAGTTTACTCCTATAAGTAACATTAGAGGTATCTAGTGACAATAGTTTACTCCTATAAGTAACATTAGAGGTATCTAGTAACAATAGTTTACTCCTATAAGTAACATTAGAGGTATCTAGTGACAATAGTTTACTCCTATAAGTAACATTAGAGGTATCTAGTAACAATAGTTTACTCCTATAAGTAACATTAGAGGTATCTAGTGACAATAGTTTACTCCTATAAGTAACATTAGAGGTATCTAGTAACAATAGTTTACTCCTATAAGTAACATTAGAGGTATCTAGTGACAATAGTTTACTCCTATAAGTAACATTAGAGGTATCTAGTAACAATAGTTTACTCCTATAAGTAACATTAGAGGTATCTAGTGACAATAGTTTACTCCTATAAGTAACATTAGAGGTATCTAGTAACAATAGTTTACTCCTATAAGTAACATTAGAGGTATCTAGTGACAATAGTTTACTCCTATAAGTAACATTAGAGGTATCTAGTAACAATAGTTTACTCCTATAAGTAACATTAGAGGTATCTAGTGACAATAGTTTACTCCTATAAGTAACATTAGAGGTATCTAGTAACAATAGTTTACTCCTATAAGTAACATTAGAGGTATCTAGTGACAATAGTTTACTCCTATAAGTAACATTAGAGGTATCTAGTAACAATAGTTTACTCCTATAAGTAACATTAGAGGTATCTAGTAACAATAGTTTACTCCTATAAGTAACATTAGAGGTATCTAGTAACAATAGTTTACTCCTATAAGTAACATTAGAGGTATCTAGTAACAATAGTTAACTCCTATAAGTAACATTAGAGAGGTATCAAGTAACAAGTTAACTCCTAGAAGTAACATTAGAGAGGTATCTAGTAACAATAGTAAACTCATATAAGTAACATTAGAGAGGTATCTAGTAACAACAGTTAACTGATATTATAAGTTTAATTCCAAAATTTGTCAAAGCATGGATTGTTTTAGGTGTTCTTCTCCTGTCCACACAAGTCCAACAACACTGACGAGTATAAACTGGTATGGGGTGGAGCATAAACTGCTCTGGGGTGGAGTATAAACTGGTCTGGGGTGGAGGATAAACTGGTCTGGGGTGGAGTATAAACTGGTCTGGAGTGGAGTATAAACTGGTCTGGGGTGGAGTATAAACTGGTCTGGGGTGGAGAATAAACAGGTCCGGGGTGGAGTATAAACTGGTCTGGGGTGGAGTATAAACTGGTCTGGGGTGGAGTATAAACTGGTCTGGGGTGGAGTATAAACTGGTCTGGGGTGGAGTTTAAACTGGTCTGGGGTGGAGTATAAACTGGTCTGGGGTGGGTGCAACAGTGCTTGTGCTATGACATTCAAATGATGTGGCACTGTAGAAAATGATGCCATCTGAAGCATGGTCCCACCTCAAATAGAACACTAATACGCCACTAGCACACATGCTGGCACATACAGATGAGGTATTAATCCAGGTGGCATAGGGCCAGTTGTTCTTGCCTAATAAAGCAGCTCCAACACAATCCTCATATGATGTTCATTGACTGATTGTATGATTTGATAAATTATGTATCATATAGCACCTTAGAGTGACTTAATCTTTCTAGATAAGGTGCTGTATCAAATGTATCGAATGTGCAATGACTACTATATTTATAACAAGAGGCCCAAGGGCCTTAGCGGTCACCTGAGTTATATCATAGGTACTGGTAGCTTTATTTTATTGTTTAGATGTGATGTGGAAATCAGCAAGTAAACTAAGTGAAATACAACACATGTCATGTCATCAAAGGATAATAATTTTAAAATATTGGTAAATGTTCCCTTTGGGGCCCTGCCCTAGCCCCTGGGGATGGGGCAGGAATTCCAATTTTACAATGTAATACCCTCATCCATCAAAGATGATTCTGACCAAGTTTGAATAATTTTCTGCTGAAAATGGACAAAATATACTCAAAAGTGTTATTTCGCTATATAAACTATAGTAAACTTTACCCCCTCCCCAAGGGAGAACGGGTAGCTTGGGGGTCCTGATATTGACAATTTCAATAAAGCTCCTGATGATCTTTCTATCTATGCACTGAAATTGGCTGTAGTACCTCAGAGTCTGCGGAGAAGAAGATTTTTGAAATATTGGTAAACTTTCCCTTTGGGGCCTGTCCTGGCCCCAAGGGGTTGGGGTGGGAAAACCAATTTTTAATTTTAAAACCATCTTCTTCCAAGGTAAATTCTTACCAAGTAAGAATAATTTCCTACAGAAAATTGTCAAAATATACACAAAAGTGTTGTTTCCCTATATATACTATAGTAAACTTTACCCCCTCCCTCAGGGAGAAGGGATGGCCCGGGGTAGGAATCCAAATTTTATAATTTTGTAGCCTCTTCTACCAAGGATGATTCTGACCAAGTTTGAAAAAATTCCATCCAATGGTTCTTGAGAAGAAGTTGAAAATGTTAAAAGTTTACGCACGACGCACAACGGACACGGACGGACGGAAAGTGATCGGAATAGGTCACTTGACCAAAGCTCAGGTGGTTTAAAAATTGTTAAGGCTGATTAAGGCAGACAGCTCAGGAAAAGTACTAAAAAGAGATTTACTTGTCAATATTGTACATTTCAACTATGAGAGGATATATGTTACTCTACTATATTTCCATATCTTTAAGACTAATCAAGTTTTTTTTTTTTTTAATATTTAGATTAATAGAGGCAGTCTCGCATTTAAAAATAAAATGATCCCATCTTTTATTGGTAATCTTCAACAATTTTTACCATTTGTCGGAATATTGCCTGCTTTTATTGTGATCTAATTTTGTCGCCGATTTTTTATCATTATTTGAATGATGTATACATTTTACTATGAAAATCACCATATTAATTGTCTGCTCATCAATTTTAATTTTGAACTTTGAGAAATCTTAGGGCAGTGTGCCAAAACCAAACACACTCTACCATGGTCATCGGTTAATCATTTATAGCAACACCAGTGCTTTCCTGCTTTAAAAATTGGAATGTTTTATCTTTTTTTTTTATATATTTCACTTCGCTACTTTACAACTTTGCTTTCTTTTAATATCCGTCATCCATATCTTGTCTAAGACTCCTTGTCACAGTCAAATACTGATACTGTGTTCCACTGGGCATAAAGTCCACAGTTCTCACCTGGCCTCTTCCATAGGTTGAGGGAAGTCAAACTGCCTAAGAGGTTTGGAAGGCGCCGTATAGGGGTCCATGTCTGTACACTCGGAGGAATTGTACCACATCCGATGGTGGAACCAAAAGTTTAGAGCCAGGTTACGACCGGGCAATGAGTGGACCTGGTGGAACCATCTACAACAGGGAAACTCATAAAACACGCTGACTTCAACGTTACTGTCAGTAAGTGCTTTACGAAGATATCACAAAGCACATCAGACATGAAATCACAGTAATGTGTATCACTCGAAAGTTGAATCAATACATTATCACAATATCTGGTATACGATATATCCATAATGTACAGAATTAAATTACCATCTACAACAGGGAAACTCATGAAACACACTGACTTCAACGTATTTGTCAGTAAGTGCTTTACGAAGATATCACAAAGCACATCAGACAGGGAATCACAGTAATGTGTACCACTCGAAAGTTGAGAATACCACTTACACCAATACATTATCACAATATGTTGTACGTCCATAATGTACAGAATTTAATTGTCATATAACCCCAGATGTAAATCACACACCTGAAGGAAGAAAGGGGGTAATAATTCAAACACAACCCTGCAAACACAAGCTACAATACAACACACAAGCTACAATACAACACACAAGCTACAATACAACACACAAGCTACAATACAACACACAAGCTACAATACAACACACAAGAATATAAAACTTCACAGAAATGGTCTCTGTTCCACTTACTACATAAAGCCAATATCTTGATATAAGTAGATTATATCACATTGTACTGACCTGTACGGTATAAAGAGACAGTCGCCTTTGTTGACCACAATTTTGTGCCAGGGGACTTTCTGCAGTTTTGGGAACTCGTGCATGTCAACCCTGTCCACATTGACCCGACTGTAACTTTCTTTCTCCTCCCAGCCGTCGGCGTGTATCAAATCAGCATATTTCTGTCAAAACAACAACCGTTCGACATCGATATCTTATACTGTTGAATATTGGTTTACCTGCTGGAAGTGTAATATGAGTACCTGTTGAGAGCAAAATATAGCATCATATAGGGAATGTATTCAGAGTATCATTTCATATTCAATTATTTATTACTATAGATCTTGAATAAACAATCGAACGTTCTGAATAGATCACCTCTATAAACAGGCCACCTGTGTTATGAGACAACAATTCAGTATTAATCATGTGAACTAAATCTATATAGAGACCATGTTATGGAATTCTTAATGTCGTCTCTAACTACACGTTTGACTGCAACACTACAAGTAAACACATGCAACTATTTTTTGTATTTTGGAATTTACCTTGAATAACCTTGACCTTTAACAGAATGACCCGAAATGTATGGGTATCGACATACCAGCTACCTCCTATAAGTACCACTTATAATTACAACATTTTGAAGCTCCCTGCAGATGGGGCGGCTAGCTAGGAATAATGAATTTAATAAAATTGACGAAAATGGTGAAAATACATGATTTTTAAAGAAAATTCTCCGGGTGGGGGGGTTTCCTGAAGCCCAAAAAAACCCTCTGGATCCGCCACTGTTTATGGAGTGGAAATATCAGTCTACCAGACAACATGTAATTTGTTGCTAAATTAGCTATAATCTGCTATTAGACAACTGTTTTAACCAGCTGTTACATTTTATATCCAAACATTATTCTAAATAATTTGCTCAGAGAGAAGATTTGTGTAGGTCATACCCTGGTCAACACCGATCATGTGACAGTCATGTGACATTTCAGGTGATACCAGGTCAGTAAATTCTCTTCATCATAGCTATAGCATGCAGTTTAGGTCTAGATCTGAATGGGTGATAATCAAAAGTTGTTCTTTCTCACTAATATTGACTAAGTGTGTAAAGATGATCAGTAGTCATGTGACCTGCAAACCTTTCCTTGATTTTACAATCTTAAAATGCAGCATACTGATTATGATCTAATATAATCCTAGTTAGTGGGTGGCCCTTACCAAATCTATGAGGACGAGTTCCTTAGTCCCATCCAAAACACAGTTGATATTGTCCAGACCATCATTATGAAGATGGGACTTGGTGCCCCCGCTACTGAACCACATGATGATGTTCTGCAGGTTGTTCTGGAAACCACCACACTGTAAGGTCAAGGGCACTTTTAGGTCCACTGCAAGGTCACAGAAAAGTACAAACACTACAGTTTAGGTACAGTGACCTACATACAGAGCACTGCAAACCTGTCAGTGATGCAGGTATACTTCAAATGTCCTCAAGACAAAATCTTTAACAGTTTAAATGTTACTTTCTGGAAAAGATGTTAATTAGAATCACTGCTCTGTGGTTTTACGAATATACAGTAACCTCCCCTTAACTTCATTTTCGATATAAGTGTAGCGCAGTTAGGACAGGACACTTCCGTTGATCAGGTAGCTCAGTCAGTAAGGGGAAAAGTACATGAATATGACGTTTGGGGTTTGAATCTCGGTCTAAACACTTAATTTTTACATTTACAACACTATTGTTGATTATACTTTGTTCACTTTGTCTGTAGTATTTTTTTTATGGTTTTCTTTTCAGGAATAATTTATCGCAGCTATAGTCATGCCGTAAAAAAAGTTTACAATGTGTAGTTACAGTGATGTAACCTGTCGTGGTACAAGGATCCTTAACGGAAGAACAGGAACTAGGAGAACCTGTCGTGGTACGAGGATCCTTAACGGAAGAACAGGAACTAGGAGGACCTGTCGCGGTACGAGGATCCTTAATGGAAGAACAGGAACTAGGAGGACCTGTCGTGGTACGAGGATCCTTAATAGAAGAACAGGAACTAGGAGGACCTGTCGTAATATTCCTGCCTTTCTTTAAACTCTCAATTATGTGAATAACATGCTAACAAGTATGAAGACAAGAGGCCCATGGGCCTTAACGGTCACCTGATATATTTATTACAGAGAGTTGATTTTGTTTTTAACATGTACAGAGAAATATTATTCAAAGTGACAAAAAACAATAAAACCACCTTATTCAATATCTAGCATACAGATTTAAGACTAAAAAGTATTTGAAACTAGCACCTCTGATTCTAAACAAGGAAAATGAAGAAATTTTAGCACACTGACTCCTTTGGGCCCCACCCTTCGGCCCTTGGGGGTAGGGCTGGCTCAAAATTTTCAAAGTATCAAACTGTCAACTCAAGGTTATAATTCCAATCAAGTTATTAACATGTAATATTCAAAGTATCATTTGCCATTATAAACCATAA